AATTTATCAAGCAGTTTAACCATCTCGGATGGCAAACAAGAAATTATGGCTCCTAATAGACTGCCAAGGTCAAATCAGAGCATGACTCAAGGCGAAATGTGCGTGGGCTGGCCAGCAGTTTGGGTTAATAATATGAAAAGTATTTTTATTGGGAGTTTTCCACTGAAGGAAAAACACCCACTCCGTAACTACTTAAGTTTGCTAACAATTTTTAACTTACAGTCCTTGGAAAATAGTATTTAAATGCAATTTAAATTTAAAAACCAACAAAAGGAAATATATAAATTTAATCTGGGGATCTTTAGCTAAATAAAAGTTAGCATATTTTATAAAAATCAAATATGAACAAATTGTTATTTACAAAATTTAATTTAAGCTGGTATTTGGAGTAAGTAAATTTTTTTTACAATCTTAGTTTTCCTTTTGTTTTTATTATTAATTAAATAATAATAACATTATTCATTATAAACATGTCATTAAATGTTATGTTTTTGTAACTAAAATAAGTTCAATAAACTGTGAAACTCAGTATTTAAAATGTATACCTAAGCCCAAAAACGAAGAAGCTTAAAATAAATCAGTCAATTAAATTAAGCGAAAGCTGATAAATCTAAATGCAACTAGCGGTAACTAAAGTACATTCGAAATAAATGGCAACTGAAATCAACAATTTTAAGCGGATTACATTTAAAGAGGGGTTTAAAACTAGAATTTGCTTAAGGCTAGCGTTTAACTGGATCAACTTCTGACCGCGAAGTCAGCCCCTTGGATCCGCATGTTGGTATTAGGGGTACTCGGCGAGTGGGGCAAACAGTTTTGTGAAAGTTGCGGCGCGAAAGTGAAAACTGATTTGAAGCTGAAAATGTTGCGCCGGCGCCGGAGACATGGAAACCCACTGACATCAATTCCGCAGATGAATGAAAAGCGGGGGGAGAAAATCAGAAAACAAAACTGGCACCACAATAATTGAGTATCCAAATGTTTGAGCAACTGGAGCCGTCTTTATGTCACAGCAATTAAATTATTTCAGGCGAACCACACGTAAAAATACAAAAAAATAAATGCTGAAACAAATTATATTTATTTGCATTTATTTGCCATAACAAAAGCACACGAAGGAAAAAAAATAAATACGAGTATATTGAAACAAAACCCGAACGACCTTGAATGGCTGGATTGCAGTCAGAACAGGCAAAATAGGAACATAAAAAAAGTAAAAAATTAAAAAATATAAATTAACCGAAATGCAATTAAACCCACCAAAACAGATATAAATAAATATAAATAGAGACGGAGACAGCTAGCAACTGTTTTGTGTTCAGAACTTCAACTTCAAATTATTTATGTAGACCAGTTAAGCAAATAAAAAACAAAACTTGACAAATTATGCATTATTTTCAAGGCGAACTTTTAAATGCCTTATCGGTTTGCAACTAGTTTTTTTTTTAATGTGTTATTTAAGCTTTCAGTTACTTCTAGATAAACTTTTGAAATTGTTAAATAAATAAGTTGTTATAATATGCCGGCATTATTTAGTTTGTTTGGCAATCAATATTTAAAAAGGTTGTATATTTGACTTAGGAATCGAGTTCCAGGTTTTGGTAGGGTATGGGTAAATCTAAAGGTCTTAATTTAATCGATTTTACTACTGATTTAAATAAAGTAACAAGATTTTACACTTGCAGCGGGTGTTTAACAACATTAAACAACATAACATAAACAATTTAAGTTTTATTTTATGTCCGATCGTATGAAACAAATTGACGACAAACTTAAAAAAACTAATCGTTTTGTTTTGCCTGACATTTTAAAGGGTTTTGTTTAAACTTTTTTTATTTAGGTCTGAAAATGAAACAAGCTCTGGTGGATACAACTTAGCTAGATCTACTTAACTACATACTTTATAAAAAAAAAAAAACTCCTTGCTTTCTACTTTGAGTATTTGGTTCTCATTCACTTTTATTTTAATTTCGGCTTTAACATTTGCGTACTTGCATTGGACGTTTGCATCTGTGTTCTGTAACTGTGTGTAAAATTTATATATGGTAGGGGAATGTTGTCAGGGTTGGGCCGTTGTCAGGCTTGGGCCATCTCAATATTTTGAATATTCGTTCTAGTACCATCTGTTAGTGGGTATCTAGAAACTTCTATCGGTCACTCGAAACTTTCCACGTGACAACTTATTTCGGGATTTCATTTTTCTACGTGCCGTTGTTCTGTGAAAAAAAAGTGCTCGAAAAAGTTTTTTTAACCTGGCCGAAAAGGTGGAATAACACAAGATTACAACATGTCATCCGCAAAGTGAACATAAAAATACGTTATATAGTTGTTATATTACAAAATACTAAGATATAGTTTCATTGTTAGATATAGTTTGGCTATATCATACCATAATAGACTAATACCGCATGTCGTCAGGGTTGGGCCACTCTTGTAGTTAGGCTTGGGCCATCATAATTTTTACATTTTATTCGTGTATTTTCGATTTTTGTTGTAATATTTAAGTTTTTGGTAGCAAAAATATGCAAAATAAATTAAATAGATTTCCTTAAAAAAATATTTTGATGGATTGAAAGAAGATGAATCATTTTTATCTTTTTCCTTAGTGTTTCTCGCTACAAACGAAAAACAACTCTGAATAATTTGATATTTACTGTAAAATCCCAAATAATTAAATGAATGAACAAAATAATATCAGATTTACCTGAATTCAATTTTATTCCACCAGGTTACGATATTGTCAACGATTTTCTGAAGGTGGCCCAACCCTGACTACATGGCCCAAGGCTGACTACATTTTTTTTTTTTTTCAAACGCCTATAACTTTTTTTGTTTCTGTTTTTTTATTCTCTATTTTTGGTGAACTCTTCCTCTCGCTTGTACCTTTCCAAAAATGTATAAACTTATTCTAAACTGTCATTCGTTCAGATCTTATGGACATAGGTCAAAATATGGCCCAACCCTGACAACATTCCCCTACTTGTAACTGCATTATTCATGGCTGACGTGCAACTTGGCAAATCGGCATGGAGAAAAAAAATAAAATAAAGCAATCGACTGTTTTGGGTCATGATGACGTCCACTTCGGAACCGCGTGCCGATTATAATCCCTCTATTTGATTTAAATCCACCTGAGTGCAAGTGCATGCTACACCGGTCTTCACGATAAAATATCAAATTGTATTAAAAAACACCATTTTCTGATTTCTACTTAAGGCTTTACTTCCAAAAACCGTAATTTAGGCCCAAAAATGCACGGCCTTTAAAATTTTGAAAACGATCTCAAAAGTAAGAGATCCGCTTAAGGCCTAAGAGACCTAAAGAGATCTCACGAAATTGGAATCTAAGAGCAATATGTGTTAAGAGCACATCATATAAAAGCTTTTTTCTCTGTTTGTTTTTGAGGTGAGTTTGAAAACTTGAATTAATTTAAGAGTATTGTTGGATAAAACCGTTACAAAAAGCTGATATAGTAAAGATGTGAGCCTTGGTTTAAAAAAAGGACCTTTGATTTTAGTTCGCAAAGCGCGAATTTATTTAACCAGTGTTTTCAACACCAGATAGAACCTTCATACATACGAACTTTCTTTGGTAAATGTTTGCATCTGCATAACAAAAAAGGTTAAGTGTTTAATAATAATACTTGATAATATTATTTTTATATAAAATTAACAATAAAAAATAAGGTAGTCAATACTTAATGGTGTTTTACATAGAAAAATATGATACTATTATTATTATAAACAGGCATATAAGAAATATTCTTTTAAGAATAGGACTATAAGACAAAAGAATGTTCAAATATTGGCAACAGTAAATACCATTCTTATCGCATCACAATTTTTTTTGGGCCTAGCAACCTTGAACTCAATTAGATTTGGTTCGACGATAAGTATCCTATGATAACCCCCCACAAATTGCAATTAAATGGCACTGATACCCTTTATCGCATCTTGTACTATCAGGTTTCGCCGGAATATACAAAGTATCTGCCAGATACGATTTCTTTTGTTGCCTCGCCACCAACTGTACTGCGTTTTGGGGCGCTTTTTTCGAAGTCCCACCCCCTCGGCAACCCATCGCATTCCCCGATAGCAGCGGCAACCGACGACCTTGACCGTGAAATTTAAATTTAGAAGTTACGGCGGCGGCTAAGACGTAAAAAATAAAATACCACTGAGCTTTTAGAAGCTATCTTCGTCTGTGTATTAGTCATTGTTTGTTCTGGTAATTGAAAAAAAAGCTGCGCTCTATCACAGGTAATTTCTTTCGGTCCGCCGACCCTCCGATAATAACAATAATACGGATTCAGAGAAAAATTTGGTCATTTCACGAGTCTGCCGCATGTGACTTATGTAAATATTCATCTTCGGCGGGCACCTATTTTTAAAACGATTTAATTGAAACATGAACTTGCGTGCTGGCGCCGTCGGGACTTGGTCAATGATGTAAATCCGTCTAATTATGTGAAATTGAGTGCAACGCTTGTCGTTTCTGGGCGAATTAAGCTAAAGTAAGGCTAAAAATAGTGCCTTTCTTTTTAACTTGTTACTAATACAAAGGGTTTGAAAGTGGCGCCAAGGCAAAGTGTTAGATAACGAATTGATGTGGCTCATTTGGTATTTTTAATACTAAACTTAAAGCAGCTACGATTCCGTATAATATTTAGTTCAAACCGCAAGCGAGATAAAACATAAATATTGTATATTTATTTTATCGTATTGTACCACAATTTATACTAAAAGGAATATTGTAATAATTATTCAAGTCACTCATCCTTAAATACTTTAAATTTTTGTTATCGGTCATTCATAAACATTTTTAACTGCAGATTTTTTTAAATATTACTATTTTTGGCTTGCTTAAAAAGTCAACACTTCGTTATGCTTTTTGGACTAAATAACAATTGTTTAGTTTTACTTTATTTTTACTTTTAAATTTAAATTGACCGCCTTGCCTATCGAAATTTTGTGTCAGCTGATCTCCCGCAGAAAGTTCAAGAACTATCATCCCTAATAAACAACCTGTGCGATATAAACCAAAATATTCTAGAAAACCGCTGAAATTGTTTGTTTAACAGACAAATTGAGCATTAACTACGCCAACGTGGACATATAAACGCAAAATAATATACTTTATTTTATAAAGATTGAAATCTTTCTTTGAACGAGCCAGTTTTTTAACGCACGTGGTGCACGTGGAGAAGAGATTGTTTATTCCAAACACCTAAACAATTTCACCAGAAGATTTTGTGATAATGGTGGCTGATATTTTCAGTGAATATTATATATGCAACTTTAACGATGCAGTGTCGTTAGAAGGTGAGTGTAGTCAAACATAATTGTTTGTTGATGAGAATATAGCTCATTTTCTTTTTAGATCTGCCGGCCGATGAGGCACTGCGTCAATTATGGACCCGTACACAGCTGTGGACCTTGAATGATATAGGGGAAATTTTTAAGCGCTGGCGGGAAAAGGCAAGCCCCAATTCAAAGGAGGATCCCTCTTCGCAACTCAGAGATTTTCTGCTGCTGATTTTCGCTTTTGTTCAAAACAATTTTACTGGACCCTTTGATAAAATTGAAGAGTTTAAAGAAATTTATAACCAACTAAATCTGGAGAGCTTGGATGCCCAGGAGAAACTTAAGGCCAGTGGCGAGGAACTAAATCCGAATGTTAAAACTGGAGAACTTCTGTTTGTGGCCAGGGAAATACTTCACGGATTGATAGAGGCTTATCCAGATTCCAAGGTAGGATAAATGAACTGTTTTAAGTTTATTTTTATTATCAAATCTTATGTTTAGGTACTGATTTGGTGGAACCTGCGTTTGATCTGCCTGCATCAGCACATCCTGGATGATCTAGCGGCCGCACTCTATGAGCAATTCAAGAAAGCAGCAGGGTTTCTTAAAGGTCAAATCAACAATTTTGAGAGTAGGGAACTGCAGTCCCTGCTGCTGCTGGAGTTAGCGAATGGCTATCTGCAGTTTCACCGGTCAGAAATAGCCTCGCAACTGCTAGACGATCTGTGCAACCATCTCCAGGTGGAGCTTAAAGTGGAGGGTTTGCTTGGAGTGCGTACGAAGTTTCAGCAGAAGGCTCTTCCGCAGCTCTGCCTTAAAGTGGAGCAGCTAAAGGAACAGGAGAGCCTGCTCCCAGCTGTCCGTACGAATGAGACGACAAAGTTGCCCAAATTGCTTCTTCTGGAGGATGACACTCGGTTGGAGCGGATTCGCTTTGTGGAGCTTAAAGACAATGAAGTAATGACGCTTCCCAGTGTTCTGCAAGCTCTCGTGCTGGCCAAGGTGTGAGTATGAGCCATGATCAATGAATTATACTTATATACCTCTCATAACCACTCTTAGAAAACAATTGAAACGCTCACAGCCGAAGGATCGCCTGGCGGATGAGCAACTGGAGCCCTATACACAAACCCTGCTTTACCAAGAGCATGGACCTTTCCAAGTGCGGCAGGCCTCCCTTCTTCTGAACTGTCTACAGGAATCAAATCAGCGGAGAACAGTTGAACGCAGCTGGAAACAATGCGAGGAGTGCGTCAAGCAGCTGGATAGTTCCGAAGAGGAGCTGTCGCTTCGATCTCGACTCTCCTACGGCTTTGCCGCTCACCTGAGTCCCAAGTGGCAGGTGCAGCTACAACTTGTGGACCTCCTTCGTTCTTTGGGCATGACGAAGACCGCTCTGGACATCTGCCTTCGCATTCACGCCTGGCAGCAGGTCATCGAGTGCTACACGAGTCTGGAACTCCGTCACAAGGCGGCGGAGATCATTCGACAAGAGCTGGAGAAGAAGCCAACCACTTTGCTGTACTGCCTTCTGGGCGATGCCATCGATGAGCCCAAGTTTTATGAGGAGGCTTGGTTGCATTCCAAAAAGACAAGCGGAAAAGCTCAGGCCTATTGGGGAAACTACTTTTACAGGAGTGCAGACTATACTCAGGCGATGGATCACTTCGAGATTTCGCTGGAGATAAACAACCTGCAGGAGGCAATTCTTTTGCGCTGTGGCTACTGCGCAATTCAACTGGAACGCTGGGAGGCGGCTGTAAAGTACTACCTGGCCTACACTCACCTGGAACCCAATGGCTTTGAGTCTTGGAACAATCTGGCCAAGGCCCTGATAAAATTGGGCGACAAACAACGGGCCCATCGCGTTTTGGGTGAAGCTCTAAAGTGCAACTACAGCAACTGGAAGGTGTGGGAAAACTACATGCTGGTGTCCGTGGATACGTCCCATTGGGAGGATGCCATGCGGGCGTACCAGCGAATGGCCGAGCTCAAGCAGCACTACCTTGATCAGGAGGTGCTAACGCGGATTGTTTACGGCATTTCAAAGGAAGATCCCGCCGGCTCGGGTTCTCTGATCAAGAGACTCATAAAGCTGCTAGGGCAGCAGAGCATCCAGCACGGAAACGAGCCTCTTGTTTGGGAACTGGCTGCCTTGGTGGCTCCAACGCCTCTCAAAAAGGCTGAAAAGCTAGTTAAATCCTATCGTGCTTACACACCGAAACATTTGGGCTGGGAAACCAAGTCGGAGCACGCCCTTAAAGCTCTGGATCTTTGCTTGGAGGTCTGTGAGCTCTCTGTGGCAGCCATCAAAGAGCACATTCAGGATGAGAGTGAAGTGATGATTACCTCTCAGTTGAATTCCGCCAGATTGGCGGGAACGTCTTGTTTGAATGCTCTGAAAAGAGCCATAAATGTGGATGTGCCAGCAGAACAGACGGAGAAGGTGCAGGAACTAGAGAAGCGTATCGATGATCTAACGAAAATAGTCCAAGAGAGAATGAGTGCTCCACGTTCTTAGCCGTAAACCCTTCTGAAATTTGTTTTTTACTGACAAATAAACAGCGATTTTGTAATATTAATGAAAATGAATTTATTTCTTCTTGATTATTTCTTTTAGTTTAATATTCTAGTTTTGATTTTTTTTTAATTAAGGTCAAGCGGCTGATCTAGTGTTTAACTAGTAGGAGCAATCAGGAAACCTATTTTTTCAAGCTTAAAAAATTGCCTACAAAAATAAACAAGCGGTTACCCATGATTTGATATCACAAGGTTGAGGCATCTATTACGCGTTTCGTGTTCTTTCTTGCTTTTTTGACACTAATAAGTGTTCAATTTGGTGGTAATCAAAACACGTACACTCTGATCAAAGGATCCACAAACGGCCAGACCTAGTTTATCCGGATGCCAGTCGAAGCAGTGAACTGGCTGAGAGCTCATGGTGGCTGCACTGATCATGTTTAGCGATCCGGCCACTCCTATTTTATTGCCGTCTGAATCGTCGATAACCCTTTTGTCGGGATACTCGTACTGCCATAGGCGAATCGAGCCAGTTCCTCCGCCCGTGAGAAATATATCCCTGTTCTGGGGCAGATGACGCGCCACCCAGACGGTGGCTTTGGGTCCACTGATAACGCCATTTGTGCCCACACTTCGACCGGCGTTGCGTTCCTCCACATAACTGAACCCCTTGGTCGGGTGCTGGGTCCTCATGTCGTATACGAGTAGACCGCCCTCCAAAGTGGTCACCGCCAGCTTGTTCATGGGAATATCCCGGCGATCGAACTCCAGACCGCAGATTCCATTTTTCATGGTTGCTTCCCAGCGCACGGAAAGCGTACGTAGATCGAATATCTTTAGATCTCCGTTGTCATAACCGGCGGCAACAATCCGCTCCTCGGCGTTAAAGGTATTTCCGAAGGCCACCGCCCAGCAATCTCGCCGAGCGCTGCTCTGGTTAACGCCATCGCCCATTTGGGGTGGAGGCGACATGTCCACAACAGGAGCCTGTCCCTGCCGGATATCCCAGACCTTGACTGCGCCGTCACGACTGCCAGTTACGATTTCCGGTGCCCCACAATCAATCTGAGTGCCTCCGATCGCATCGATAGTGTTGATGATGCCGCTGTGGCCCTTGACATTATAAACCGGAAGATCTGGCTGCTCCATATCCCTGGAAATATTATTTTTTAGAGGAGTTCACTTCGGTTTTAAGGGGTTTACTCCTACAGAACTTGAAGCCTTCCCTCGAAGTCACCGATAGCCATGTGTCGATTTCTCAGTGAAGCTGCGCCAAAGGTGCCGCACTTGAAGGCCACCTTCTTCTCCACGGACTTCACCTTGACCAGTTTGTCCTGGTTCAGTTCGTAGATGTCCATGATTCCATGCGCGTTGGGCTTGGAGCCCAGCACCACGAACTTGGCGGAAAGCGGAATCCATTTAGTGTCGTACACCGTGTAGTTGACAGCCTCGTGGAGGTGCTCGATTAACTGGGGCTTGTCCATTTCGAGGATGTCTTATTTCTGATACTATTCTGAGCTAATATTTTAAAAAGCGGCCGGTGAAAAGTGAAAGATTTTTCAAAAACAAATTGTTTTGTTGCCATGGCTTTTTCTTCCTCTTCTTCAGTGAGACCGCTTACAGAGCGGTTGAAAAATACCATGCGTTTTGCGACCAAATTCTAAAGCACATTGAAATAAATCAAAAATAAATAAAGTTTATTACAAGTAACACAAAAGGTACAAGCAATTTAAAATCTAAAAATTAAAAAAATATATTTCCATATTAAGGATCTTTTCGGGGGTGGACGCAGGGGGGCGTCCGGGGGGTCGACGTCCGCCCCTAGATCTTTTTCCTAACTAAAAAATTATTACAAATATCCGCCAACAAAATTTAAAATATTATTGAACAAGAAAAACGAACTTCAATTTGTATTGACTTGTAAAGTTTCTGTTTACTAGCGCCTCTGGTGGACGAACTTGACTAACGTTCAAAGACAACAACCGATGGTGGGGTGATTGACTTAGGCAAGTTAAAGCCCCATGCACCGCATAGGGGTTAAACAACACACTCTATTCCGGTTTCTTTCGCACTTATTTTAGTGCTTAACAGTGAGCTGACGGGCCCGCCGCGACTACTTTATACTTATTTCTGCCACTGGGTCAGTCGAACGCTGTTTTGCTTTTGTCGCGGGTTTTCCGATTATTTTGTTTGGCGCGAGCATCTTTTTTTGGCGTTCGACCCCCTCGACAACACTGGCACAAAAACAACTGCAGCAACAACATTCAGTTATAACGAAAAAAAAAAAACAATTTTACGTGTGTCGCAAGCGAGGCTTTTCGGCATTAAAAAATACAAAAGTAATTATCGTGCGGTTGAATAAGAGAAAATAAATATTGATGAAGTAGCGGAGCCCATGCTTACCAATAGTAGTAATTCAAAATTTACTTAGCACCAATTTGCGGGCCTTTTAGCCAGTTTTATATAAGTGATAATTGTGCTGGCAGAACAAAAAGTTACTAAAGAGTGCTTAAAGTTCAATATATTATCGATGCATGCGCCACAAAAGTGTTAATCAAATTTCTACTGGCAACAAGTGATACAATAACAAAGGCAACAGCCATTAAACAACGGGCGCTATCAAAAGTTGAAGGTGCCAACAAATCGACAACGACAATATAGACGACTAAAACAACAGCTGTTTGGCAAGCGAATCGAATGCCAAAAAAATTAATTTAGTTTTCTTAAGGTAAAACCGCAGAGATTCCTTCATTCTCGACATTTTTTCCTATATTGCCCAACATTTCTTCTTCCGTTCGCTTTTCGATTTATCGTCAATTTGGGACAATCAAATTAATTGTATATTTTTTCAGCTTTTTTATTGCCTTCATTGTTTTTATTTGCTTTTCCCCGCCAATCATGCCCACTTTTGTTCTTCTTTAGTGCACTTGCACTTGACTCACAGTCATCGCGTTTATACATAGTATAATTCATGGCGTGCACAAATATACATAGATGTATACATAGAATGCTTATGTAGTTCTTCCGTTTTGGCGACAATTTCCAACCTGTCGCGTCGGTCTTTTATGCCCTATAATTATATGGATTTGTTGATAAGCCATAGCTTTGTTAAGCACAAATAATGAACGCCATCTAATTGACTTTTGCAAAAAAATAAATGTGCAAAAGCTTTAACGCAAAACTATTACAATTTATTCGGAAAATTTTTCTTAATAAATCGGTTAGAATATAGTAACAATAGTAACATTTTTTAGAGTTGCTGGTAAATTTTAGCTGATCATAAAATATTTAATGTACTTAAATGTTTTTTTTAACGAAAATTTTAGGTGTTGTAACAGAAATAAAAGTGTGAAGTGAAACACTTTAGGTATTTATAATTTAAACAGAAATTTAGGGGTAGACGCAAGCTGATTATTTCACACATTATCAGCCATACGTGAGCTATAAAGATTGCCAATACTTGGGGCCTTACAAAGAAAAGTATAACTCTCCAATTTCACATCTGTTTTGGGCCATAATAGGCAAGGTTTTTTTTCGAACTAAAGACTTAAACACATTTTATAGCCGCTTTTGCGATAACTGTAGTAAAGAGCTAAAGAGAGATTGCAAAAATCCAGGAAACAAAACACTAGTTTCATGAATGAGTTGTTAACAACAAAACTAAGCTTGATATGAGAATTGGAAAAAATAATAATTATACACCCTAAAAAAATATTTTTCTATATAATATACATACATATATTTAAAATGAAATATAAACTAATACTATCACATGTTTATACATACTAGTATGGTTATACACATGTACTATGTTCAGTTGATATGAAGGCAATATGGAACTGATATTGTAACCCTATTTTTCTCTATTAATAGTTTTCCGATTTAAAATGAAAACATCGCGCTCTCAAATACTTTTTGATCAATTAAAAGTTGTTTCAATTGATTTTGTTTGTGTTTCCTTCATTGGCTTGTCAAAAGTTCGTGCGTGCGCACAGTAGGAAAAATGGAAAATGTTGCAGCCCCCAGATCCATTCCATTCCCCTTGTCATTCCCTTGCTCTACCGCACACAAATAAATGCCGCACAATCGAAATCTAAACAAAGAGATATAAAAAATCTGCCAACTGCCGCACCAGCACTTCCACAGAAGCTAAACAACAGAAACTCAAAGTCCAACCCAATAACATAAATGCAATTCGTATCTAAACGGAAGTTGAACATACATATTTAAAGGAAAAGCTGATGCGCGTGTTTGCAATTCTGTGCTCAAATCGATGAGGAAACTGGATTCCCACTGATAAGGGCGTGCCCTATATAATCCAACCCCAATAGACAAACAGTTCGCCACAAATTGACTCCATTAAATAGAGGTTACATTTATTGTAAAGATTGTACTTATTGCTTAGGGATTGGCAATGCAAAGTTATAGTTGCAATGAACGCAAAATTGTCTTGTATCTTCTATCTATATCTTAATGAATTGATAAATTCAAATGGATATGGTTCACATGATGTCGAAATTATTATTAGGAGAAGCTATATAATGACGCGTGTCCACACTTTTTATCTATTTATTTTGGGCCTAATGAATTGTGACTCACTTTCCACTTGTAGAAAAGTGACGTACAAACATAATGATATTGTACCGATGAATCAGTTAACGCACTTGGTAAATATTACCCCTATACAATATATTTAATTAGTCTATCATCTTTTAAAAATAGGTACACATTTCCCTTTGTATGAGCAGAGTTTGCTTTTATAAAAAGCGAGAGACTCTGTTTAACTTTCTGATTATTTTTATAAAATATCAAGTTTATAAAAAAGCTCGCGTGCTCCATAAATTTTGACCAGAGCCAGACAAATATTTAGCCCGTTTATGTACTTCAACGTCACTTTTATCACATCAAGCAGACAGCATCAGCTAAATGCGGAAAACAGAGACCAGGGTTCAGATCCGATTTTAGTATTTGTCTCAGTTTTCTTCATTAGCCAGAACAAAGAAGTCGGTGCAAGTGCGTCAAAATACACACATCAAAGCGGATCAATCAACATGATTGAAGTGGGTACCACCAATCTAATGACTTCATTCCCTAACACTCTCATCAAAATTGTCTGCGTTATCTGTGACATTTGGTTTACCACTTACGCAATCAATATTTTGATATCGAAAGTGCTGCATATGGCGACTAGAAAAACTGGAATGCTAAAGCTTACAGCTACTATTTCATGGCCGTTAGTTACTGATAAGAGCAGGGTCAACATATCGGTAAACACCTGCCCGGAGATTCCAGTCACGGTTGCAAAAGGTGAAACCCAATCCACACGGACAAACAGAAGCCGTAAACTCTTTGCACCTGCGGGATTATTTTTTATTTTCTTTGAGTTATTTACTTGACTTCCGTTAACCTTGAAGGTTAACATGTTAAATGCAAAATAACTGAAATCACGAGGTTTATTAATATATTTTTGTAAGGCTAATGTGTAATACTTATGTGTCACTCAAATTTATAAGTACAAAAATCCATTTAGGTTCGTGTCGCAGCCCGAAAAGGATTTTAATAGAGATGATTGACACCTTAAAATCTGTTAGTGCTTCTTTAGAAAGTGCACTAAAAGACCAAACCTTGTATATAACCTCAATAAAAATGTGCTAATAATTTGTCACCAATAAAGACAATAAGAAACATGTTTTAGTGTGCTGAAATTGCGGCATGTCTCTGTGTCGAGGTTAAAGCATTGATTAAGGAGGGCTGATGGAACTGCTCGTGCTGCTGATAAGAAAAGTGGACACTTTCGATAAGAAGTCAGCAGCGATTTTCGCTCAGCCACTTGCGTCTATGTATATAAATATTTCAAATGTGTGTACATACATAACGCTATTAGCCTTCCCTTCGGTTCCCTTTTGTTCTAATCTCGTTTTGGTCATGTGCGATTAGACCCGTTGCATAAGCCACTCTGTTTGGGCCAAATGTGGGATCCCGTTTTTTGCACTCTGTTTCCACAGTAACCGGTTCGTTGGTAGAACTAATGAGGTCCCACAATTGCCGGCAGTACAACAATAAGCAGGGGCATCACAATTAAACCGGATTCGAGTTGTTTGTTCTACATATAATAAGCTCGCTTTTTTGTATAAATGTGGATTAGTCATTACTTTCGAAAATTGAGCGAAAAATGGCAAGAAACCCTCATTACGGTTGAAATGATGGCCACTGAATTCAGCGATACGTATTTGTGGAACGTAAATATTGGGAAACCACGAAGACATCGGTAAATAGTCACGAGTTCCACGAAAAAACAAAATTTAGATTATTATTGTATTCTCACGAACCTTTATTTAGCGGGGCTGACATTGGCATTGATATTGTTCTAAATAAACGATTATATGCTATATAATCCTTTTCTAGAAGAAAGTTAATCCCCGGTTTTCTGCTTATAAATATAAGTCAATTTATTTTAGATTTATTTTTACCCTTTGGGAGATTAGTTTCAATTCACACGCTTTTATTTGAAATGCAAATTTAATTGAGACAGTTGATCTCAGTAGATCAGTGATCTCCTGATTGACTTCAGATACTTTAAATCTACATAACTGGCGATATCTTTGGGTTCTCAGTCACCTTGCGAAACATTGAACTTGACATTGGCAACAAGGTCTCGACGGCTTTTGACTAAACAAAATCTGGGGAAGTACTATACATTCGCGGGTATGATGCAAGTGGCGTTGCCGAACACAGCTTTCAAAATACATTTTTGGAGTTATTTGTTGTTTTGTCTGGCCGCCACATTGTAGATCCGGTTTATGAAGTTGTTTGCTTTGGTTTATGGAGTGCCATTTTATGGTCACTTAGCGGGAATTGTGTCAGTTGGTAACGGGGCTTTGTAGAGGAACTAAAGAGTTAAGTTATACTATATGTTATTGCGGGTGTTGATTTACAGCCTGTACTTCAAAATGATGAATTGATCAAACTGTTCTGTACAAGAATTTAATTTCTTTGCTATTGTAATAATATTTTTACTATTTATCTCAATAACATTTTAAGTATGTATTCCGAAATTTGACTGCTTGGCTTAAGTATAGAGTATAGTTTTTTGTCAAGTTTGCCACTAGGTTGTTTTGTTAACCCCCTTTTTACACTGTTTGCCAACCTATTCTTTTGTTGGTGCTAACTCAGACAGTGGCTATAAAAGTTATCTACCATGAACCGATTATTAAAAGTGATTATGGTTTGAGCCAATGAAGCGAATGACAAAATGCGCAAAATGCCCTCTACTGTGTTCCCATTTATCGCATGTGTACGTTACTTTATTGAGCACTTAGCAAGTTGCTTTCGCTAGACGGTAATTGATGATGAACATCTTTAAAAAATACGTCAACGATAGACACTTGTCAACGTTGCGTATGCGTAATAAATGCTTATCGAGAATACTTCTTCTGGGAAGATAACGCATGTTGATCAAATAATTTAACCAATTAGCAGTCGCTATGATCATGGTTCTCAATAAGTTAAGCTGTTCACGAATTCGCCGATATTATATTTAAAGATCTGTCAGCGATGATGGATTCTTCAGTCGTGTGTGGTGGGTGATAAGCAATAGATGCTTGTTTTTTTGCATCGAGAGATGATAATTGTTTTCGGTTGGTGAATGTTATCTAACTGCTGTTGCGAAATACTCCTGCTCAGGTATTAAAAGCTGAAATTTAGTCAGAAATTTTCCATCACTTACTATCTTTTGATTAATCATTGGTTAAGTTGCTTTAAAAGTGTCATTAGTGATAAGAAAACATACTGGGACAAGTACTTAAAGATCTTAAGAAGATTCAAAAAGTAATTTTACGGTTTTAGATAAGATGACATTAAAATAGACAAGATTTTTCCACAATGAAAATAAATTAACGGAATAAGTAGTGTCTGCAGATTGAGGTAGTTGTAAGGTAGTGAGGTAGTTGGTAAGCTGTACCTAAATTAAAGTATAAATTTAGTTATAAACTTTCGTACTTAAACTTATTTCAATTTTGTTTCCAGAAACCCAAGCACCATCTCAAATCCTTGCCCAAAGGTGCCTGGAAGCGTTTAAAAGACTTGAACGATCGCCAGAAGAGGCGGCGTCACATACCAATTGAAAACGATTTCCAGGATCCACATATCGACAACGAAGCTGGCACTTTGTTAATACCGATTGCACATAAGGAATACCCACCCAACACAGCCACCGGAACAATCCCCAAGAAACCTAAAGACGCTGATCCAGATTCCAGTTGCCCAGTCACGCACTTCAGGCAATTGCAATTTCAACGCGATCTGCGCATTCATCCTTTTACAGACACCAATGTGGAACGCGGCAGGAGCTCAAAAGATATAGAAGTAGTGGAAGATACAGCCAAAATGACTAGTGATAAAGAAAGTTCAGAGTGAGTTATAAAAGGGAATATTCTTAACTGAATACGAACATCTCATTTATGTATTACGGTAATAACATTGTTTATTTTGTTGCAGAACCAAACCTCTTAACAATAACAACACGAACGGAAGTGGTGGGAGTGCACCCAGTAAGCCAAAGATCCAGCCAAAATTCAGCATCCACCGGGATGTGCTGACCCACGAGGTGGTGATTAAGCAAACAGGATATGCGGCTCGGGACAAGAGTATTCCCTCCTCCCTGCGCAACTGCTGGCAGAGCTGGAACTTCTTCGCCCTCTTCACCGGCGTGATTCCCATCCTGCAATGGCTACCCCAGTATTCACCCCGGAGAGATCTCCCCGGGGACATAATCGCCGGTTTTACGGTGGCTATCATGAACATACCGCATGGCATGGCGTACGGAATGTTGGCGGGAGTTTCCGCCGGAAACGGCCTCTACATGGCCGTGTTTCCGGTGCTGGCCTACATGTTCCTGGGCACCTCCAAGCACATTTCCATTGGCACTTTTGCGGTGGCCAGCATGATGACGGCCAAGGTGGTGGATTCGTTCGCTACTGTGGATGACCACCACCTCGTTTCTGCGGTTAATGCCTCGGGTTTGCTGGCCAACTCCTCTGTCACTGCACCCCCTCTTCAACTGCTTAATGCCACACTAACTGCGGATCCCATCACAAAAGTCGAGGTGGTCACCTCTTTGGCCCTCACCGTGGGCATTGTGAATGTAAGTTGTTAGTTAATCTTAAAACTTTTAAGAAGATTAATTTCAACTGTTCTTCAGCTCCTCATGGCTTTTCTGCGACTGGGAACGCTGTCATCGCTGCTCAGTGAGCCGCTGGTAAATGGATTCACGACTGCTGCCGCTTGTCACGTGGTCACTGCGCAGCTGAAGGATGTCCTGGGCATCTCGGTGAACCGCTACAAAGGCGCCTTCAAGATCATTTACACCGTTATCGATGTGATCAAGGGAGTGCCGGAGACGAATCTTGTGAACTTCGGCTTCTGCATGGCGGTGATCGTGTTCATGACGATCTGCAATGAGTGCATAAAGCCGCGACTGAGTAAAAAGTGCCGGTTTCCCCTGCCCGCCGAGCTGATAATGGTTATTGGTGGCACTTTGATCTCCCAGTGGTTCAACCTGTGCGACGACTACAAGGTGAAGCCGGTGGGCACCATACCCAGCGGATTGCCGGAGCCCGTTCTGCCGCGATTGGATCTGGTGCCAAAGGTGGCCGTGGACTCAATAGCCATTGCCATAGTCACCTACTCCATAATCATGTCCATGGGTCTCACGTTCGCCAAGAAGCATGGCTACGAGGTTAGGCCGAATCAGGAACTGTTCGCCATGGGAGTTGGCAACATGGTGGGCGGCTGCTTCTCCTGCATTCCCATGGCGTGCTCCTTGTCGAGATCCGTGATCCAGGATCAGACGGGTGGAGTGTCGCAGATCGCTTCCTTGGTCTCTGCTTCGCTGGTGGTGGTTACCCTTATTTGGATCGGTCCCTTCTTTGGCAGTTTACCCAGGGTAAGTTATATATTTGTCTTGATTATATTTATTTTTACTTACCTTGGTTTGCTACTTTTCAGTGCGTTTTGGCTGGCGTGATCATAGTGGCACTCAAACCAATGTTTATGCAAGCGAAAGAGCTGAAGAAGTTCTCCAAGCAGGGCAAGCTGGAAATGTTCACCTGGATATCCACCTTCCTCTGCGTGGTGATCATCGACATTGACATCGGGTGGGTTTTATTTTAACTTCTTATAACAATAACCGTTTGAAATGGTTTACTTCTGTGCAATTCCAAATCTCCTGTAATATCCATACTAATTTGGGTTCCCTTTGCAGTCTACTGATTGGCATCTGCATCTCCCTCTTGGCCCTCTACATCAAGGGTCTGAAGCCCTACTCCTGTCTTCTGGGCTACATGCCGGAGTCACCGGGAATCTACTTGGATCTCAACCAGCATCGGAATGCCATGCAAGTGCCGGAGACGCGCATCTTCCGCTACAGTGGATCGCTGAACTTCGCCACCAGCCTGTTCTTCCGACGGGCTCTGTACGAGGCCGTGGGTCTGGACAAGATTCCGCTGACGAAGGCCAGCAGCAGCAACAGCAGCAGTCCCAGCAAGGGCAGCAAAGCGAGCTACTCCCCGGTGTCGCAGAACGGAGGAAAGGCGATCAATGGCCGGCTGGAGGAGTCATCGGGTGCGTTCAAGGTGCTGATCCTGGACTTCTCCATGCTGGGACACATAGATGTGGCCGGCTGTCGCACCCTCAGCGATGTGAGCAAGGAGCTGAAGGCACGGGGAGCCCGTCTGCTGCTGGCCAGCCCCGTAGATCGGGTGTACGATACCCTGGTGCACAGTATGGCCCTTAGCGAAGGACCTTTCGAGATCTTCCCCACCCTCCACGATTGCGTGGAGTACGCCAATGCCTGTCGAACGGCGTGAGAGTTGGTTCCTGATCCTGCTCCAGACTCCCCCGACCAGGGGATACGGTGCCAACCATGTTTTGTGATATGTCCAAGTGATAGCTTGTGAATCGTAGCACCAAAACCCCTTCTCTAGTTGCTAAGACCTATTTTAAACTGAATAGAAACAATGTCGCCGTCTACAATCAAGCAGAATAGGCTAAGTTTGTTTAAGTGCCTCCAAAATATTGATTTTTGTACTTAAAGCATACACAGCCCACCAGTCAAGGCAACCGAAGAACTTCAAGCGATCAATGGAGCGCATTGATCTAGTGCAATTTGTACCAAAATGAACAATTTAAACACACACAATTAGTTTGTAGGATTGATATGTACGGATATGTATAAGCTGTACATAAACATTAAACTAAATTCGTTAAAAGTGTTATGGTTTCTAAGTTTATTGGGGCGTAAAGACATTGGAAATCTAAACTAGTGGCAAACTTTTGTAGCACACCTTTGGGCTTGAAACAGTTTCAGTTTTGACTCGGTTTGTAAAAATAAGATGTAAAATTATTTTGACTTTCAAGATTTTTAATATTTATCATTAATCCGCCTAAGCTTGACACGTTCAATTTTCTGGCCCGCAATTATCTTTTCTTTCTATAAGAATATTTATTTTATGTTTTTTTTTTATCATTTTCTTTGGAACATATCTTTTAACATATCTCAAGGTAATTCAGTTATCAAAAACCCCATTTTGTTTGGATGTTTAACAGAAAAATATAATTTGGAATACTTAAGTTATCAATTTTTTTAGTATCAGATGGTCACCTAAGATTAGGGACGTGCAGGGGTTGCTAAAGATTTTTTTTCCCAAAACTTGAAATTCAAAAACCAATAAGCCAAAAAATTATATTAAAGGGTTTTAAACTTAATATCCTTAACATTATTGATGTTTGGGTTAAAAACTATAAAAATTAACTACTACTGACCTCAATGATTGTACATAGTTTCAAAACCCCTTAATTAGAACGCATTTAGACCAAAATAAATAAAGATTCATATGACTCAATGATATATATACCTAAGGGGTCGTGAGCCATTTTGGTCGGAAATGCCTGGCCTGACAGGCAGAATATCCAGCATTTGACTGAAAAATCGCCACGTACAATCACAAAAGCTGACACCGAGCAATTAGCAGGCACCTGACTAAACTCAGATGTATTTTTCGGCAATTGTTTGCCCAATAAATATATGTTTTCGTGGGAGGAGGTGGAACATGCCCTAGCGGCGGCCAAAAGGGAAAACAATTGTTCCAACTGATTAGCCAGTAAATGACTTCTGCCCAGGGCCACAGAATGCACTTGGAATTTGTTTATTTTTGTGTGGCACATGGGAAAAAGTACATGACTTGAGTTGGTCAAGATCTGAGATTCAGTTGCGTTTTGTGGTTGTCCACAAAAATGATTACCAACCCTCAAGTTCGAATTATTTGAAGGTGATTTTGTGTGCAAGCTGTCGGTGTATTTATAAGAAAACCTTTATTTGATATCTTAACTTATTTTATAAAACCATAGCTTTGTTACCTTTTAACTTTCCCAATGAATATTGCAATAATGCCGCATTCCCTTCATTAGTTTTTTAATTAATATGCAAATTGTTTATAGATTCAGATAACTTTGAACCTGGAGATCATGAGAGGGCATGAGTCAAGTTTTAGAATTTATAATAGCGCGAGTTGCAGCTGATTTTTCAATTTGCGATTAAAAACGACTTATCTTTAAACATCATATATATTTTGAATATTAGTATGTAAGTGTTTAATATTTCTACCCAAATTTAAAATTTTCTACATATATTTTTTCTGCCTTTAATTATAAAGTATGCGGGGACTTGTACTAATTAATTATATGTCCTACTACTTGTTGCCATTTATTTTGTTCATTTTAAGTGCTACAATTTAACGCTTCTGACGCTTGTCACCTTCGCCGAGCTCAACGAGGCTTTCAACTCGCTCACGTTAATCACATTTTAGTAAGTATATTTTCATAGGCGAAATTGACTTGCTTAAAATCGAGTTAAGAATTCCACGTAATATTAATGATGTCTTGCCACTTGAGAAGGAATTACATTTGACTTTGGTCAGCATTTAACACGAGACGCCTGCATACGAGTGTGTGGAAATGGATTTTACGGCGACTATAAAACGCAAAAGGTTCCCACAGCGAGTGTATAAGATGCAAAATCAACAGGCGGCGTAATTGTTTTTCATTTTTATTATTTATTTTTATTTTTGCCATGCAACTTCCACATTTGTTGGAAGGTTCGGGGAGGGGGGAAGGTGGTTGTTGTTAACATGGCCATAAAAGTGCTAAACAAGCCAACAATTTGAGCGCTTTTCAGCCGCGTTGTGGAGTGTAAGAGAAGCTTCCCCCGATTTCTTGGGGGTGGAGCTATTTGTGTATCGGCAGCCAACATTTTGACCTTAGCTTGAAAATTGCTTACGAAATTACCTAACTTAGCCAAAACTATTTGTTTGGCTAACAACAAAATTGAGCTGTTAATTGTCGAAGGTTGGCCTCTAATGCAGCAATTCAATGATTACAAAGGCCTTAACAAGATACTACTACTTATAGTTTGTTACATTTATATTTTATTATAGTTTCTTAAACCTTAAAAAAACGTATACTAAAACAAAATTCGTTAAGTTCTTCATTTCTTTAAATCTTTTTCTGTAGCAACATAGCAATGGAACATTACCAGTTTGTAAAAAAAAAAACAGAAAAGAAAACGCAAAAATAAGAACCTTAATATTTACAACAACAAAAAAAAAACTCATACAATGTTCCCGTTTATAAAAAGTTATTAGGTATTTAGGATTATTTTAGGTAAAATCTACTCAATATTAAGGAAGATAGATAAGTAGATAAGTTTAGTATTCAACATTTTATCGGATAGATCGACTGTTAAAGTTTATTAATCATGTACGAATTTATCCTAATAGGGTTGAATACATTACATACTTCTTACAATAATTATAATACACTACTTACTTCATTATTTTTTTAGTTTAAATCATAAAATCATTTAAAACATAATTTAAATCATAAATTAAATTAAAAGTTCGATAATATATTTATTTTTTTAAATAACATCATATTATCTTATCATTTCACTAGCTAAGAAAACTAGATCAATGAATAATGTGAGTTCACCTCAACGTTATTATCAGAGTCAATGATCCGTGAGTTATCATATGCTGACCGGTTACTAAAACAAATATCGAATTTCTTCTGCTCATCAATATTTAAATTTTGCAATTGACCAAAACGATACAAAGGTGCTGGCTGTGGCGGGAAGAGCAAGCCGATCGCTAACTCATTTTGTTTGCTCAACACATTTTCACATGGCGAGTCGAAGAAAGGGAAGTCGGAGGAAAAAAAAAACGGAAAAAATAGATGAATAAATAAAAGAGAAGTACGAAAACATTCAGAAGTATTTGCGGTTTGTAAGCGAGCATTTCCCCCTCCCACTCCCCCTCCCCCTTCCGCTTTGCACCTGCAGTGCTAGGCCTCCAAAATCCGGGGCTCAAGTCGGAATTGTTGTAATTTCGAGAGATAGGACCAGAAAAAAGCCCAACAACGAAGCTCTTTGTGAGCGAAACTAATAAAAAACCGATCGCCCCGACTGTTCCCACAACCAGTTTCAAGCGAGCTCTCGAGCGGTGGAGTCGTCGTCGGCCCACATATAGTACCATAGTGATATAGCTCCCCGATCCACTCACTTTCTGTAAGGCGAGCTTAAAATCGAGGCTTAAATCCGCAAAACATCAAGTGAAACCAATAGTTTTTATTGACAAAAGAGATCCCTGTAGTCTAGTGACAAATCCGCAAGGATAATGTTATCTTGGCAATTGTGACGTAATTTTAAAAGCAAAAGTGTAAAGCAAGACGGCAAAAAAAAAGTTGTTTGCCATGGGAGAACTGCAATTGACAATAACAGCAACAATCGAATAAAAACTCAATAACAATTAACAACTGCGAGTGACGCTCAAAGCAAATGCAAGAAACCTGTATTAAAAAAAGTTTAACAATAAATTCGAGAGTAAATATTAACAAATATTGCATAAATTGTTGTCTACGTAAACTTCGCAAGCTCTTGCGATCTGAATGAAATAAAACGAATTCGAAAAAAGCAACAACAAAGCAAAACAAAAAAGAAAAAGAAATTTATCGCTGTTTTATGAAGGGATTATCGGAAATTTAAAAAAAGAAACATTTAGAGAGTTAAAACAGTTTGCGTACTTGATTTATCCTTGAACATATTTCTTTTTAGCTTTTTCGTTCAATAATTTATTTAAATATAAAAAGTGTGAAATTTTTAAAACTTGTTAAGAAATAACTTTAAGATTTTAATAAATCAAAAAATATTATTTCCTTTTTATTTATAGCCTTCAAGTGTTGTCCATAACATTTTCCCACTCACAAAGTTTCTGTGCATTCAAGTGCAACTAAAAATAGTACCTGTTTCTCTCGTCTTGGCTTGTTTTGCTAGCAGTTTTTGTGCGAAACAACCATTTGGAGGCAATTTACATAGGCACACGCTGGGAAAAGAAAACCGCCAAAATTGGTTACCTAACGAAAACTTCGTTTGTGCTACGCGACGGCAGACTTGTAAGTTACTTTTTGTTTATTAATGTTACAACCATATAGAGAAGAATATGTATAGATTTAAAAAGGTATAAAAGGATTGTGGAACTGACATAATCAGCCTTAATAAAATTTACAACCTTTTTGAGTGTATTATTTACCAATAGTAAAAGTTCGCCAATTATTTACGAACGCAAGTGTACAAAAACAAATTTTAAAAGAAAAAGAAAAGAAAGTAATCTGTTTTTTGTTTTTTTAATCATTATTGATTGTTATTAATTGTAGGACCAAGGGATTGCACTATTTAAAATAAACTTTATACGAGTATTCTTGTGTAACGCTGATTTAATAAAAAAAATCTCAGTTTTAATGATAGCATTTAGACGTTGCTTTAGAAATGTTTTTGTTTCTTATTTTCGAAAAATTCCTCAAGAATATGCTAAGTTTTTAGGAGTGAGAGGTCTCGGACTCCGATTAAAAATCACTCCATCATCATGTGTAGCACGTATAACCGAACAATTACCATAAACTTAATTGGTTTCAGCTTACAAGCAGCAGAAATACAAGTGATCAGCCCCGCCGCCAACGCCTCGTCATTAATGGCGACTTTCAGATGACTTACTGTCATCCCAGGCACGATTCCCCCAACATGTTATCTTGTCGAATGAAAAATAGTGGATATTCAGACAGTGTGAGAACATTTTTTAATAGCCCCGCCAATTACCTGGCGAACTCAACTGCGGCTTGACTTATTTGAATTTGGAAAATAATGCTCGAAATGAGATGTCGTTTACCAGCTAGTTGGGAAGAGGGGGACGCGATTGCTCAGCCTGCAATTACTTTTAATTAGCATTTAGAACATCGCAGTGTGCCAAGATGAATCAGAGATGGGGCGGCACTCGTAAATAAGCCACTATAATTAGCTAGCAATTTTTCGGGCAAGCTATTACTTTGATTTATTTGTTTTGATTGCTCCAACTTCAGCTGGGAATTCGTCTCGGAATCGCTGAGCAGCGAACCCTTGAAGTGGGCCTAATGCGTCGTAAGAAACCCAAGTCTCTTTTAAGAGCCGTAACTGACAAAATCCACAAAACGTTAACAGCCACCGCCGATAATGAACGCTTGTCTAGGCGCATTGCGTTGGCCGCTTCGCAGCGGCGTCGCCGTTGCCAAAAGTGGGTCATGGTTAAGTGTACTTCGGTCGCCGCGCGGTTCGGACCCGGCTTAGAAACAGCGAGCAGTCGGCCGAAGCTACAGCTGCGCATGCGCACCGCTCTCCAAGCTCGGTTCTCATTTTACAGCTGGAAAACTATTAAAAGTTGAGATAGGACAAATCTTGTGTAAAAAAAAAGCTACATTTCCAGAATGACTTACTCTTTTTTGAAGTCCAATAAAAAACTATTAAACTAATTAGTTAAATTTAAACTACAATTTACAGTCTTAACAATTAATAGGCATTAAATTTTGACAGATTTTCTTTTACCTAATAATTGCAGGAACACTTTGTTTGAACACTTTAAATTTAAGTCCAAATATTATAATGATTAGAGCTATAGTGTGACTATAAAGTACAATTATTCAATATATAATATTTTTGTTATTTGATTTTATTCCCATTAAATAGCTTAAATCACTAACCTGAAATGTGTTTAACTAATCCTTATCTGTTTTCGCTGTTTAGAGTTGTCGTGCCATCAAGAACCTCTGCATCATTTCCTATCCCAAATCCTTTGCATCATCCTCCTAGCATCAAATTCATTTTGGGACTCGTCAACTTTAGACCAAAGTAAAAACTGTGAAGTTAATATCCCTGATTGAATTGAATAATTAAAGCGTATTATTTCTGAATAGGAAGACGACATGGGCTTCAGTTCGCGAATGGACTGCTGCGGGCAGTTCGTCAAGTACAGTCTTTTTATAGCCAACTTTGTGATATTTGTGAGTATATCCCAGAGCCACTTTAACTTAACCCAATAAAATATGTAATAAAATAATCAACAAAATATTCAATAATCAGGTGGGTGGAGCCATTGTGTTCTGTCTTACCCTGTGGACCCTGGTGGATCGCAGTTTCGTCAATGAGTTGCTGGGAACGAACCTCTTCTCTGGAGCTGTCTACGTCCTGCTGGTCACATCCATCATCATTTGCCTGGTGTCCTTTTTGGGTTGTGTAGGTGCTGGCAAAGAGGTCAAATGTCTGCTTCTTACGGTGAGTAAAAAATAAATTGAATTTTACTACAATGCTCCTTAAAGAATAATCGATTTCCAAATAAAAATTTTAAAGCAGACTAAAGAGTATGAAATTAAAAAAAATAATCATTTAATTCTTAACATTCTGATTAAGTTTCGGCTTAATGAATTCACCAAAAAGCAAACTGATGATGATGAAATTTTAAATTTAATTGTTAACATTCTGATTAGGATTCGGCTTAATTTTCTTCTACTTCACCTAAACAATTTCACCTGTTTCATCTCAGCTACGACACAGAAACCATTTAACATGTACCACTCGTTTCCCTTTTGTAGTATTTCATAATAGTGGCTCTGGTTTTCGTCACCATGCTAATTGGCGGCGTCTTGGGTTACGTGTTCCGCGAAAGGGTGCAGCAGACCATGCGGCAGGTGAGGAGAATCCGTCGATAACTAGGTGACACTCCATTGAACGTGCCTAATCTCCCATAGGAAATGCGATCGACGATGGCCTTGTATGGCAGCCGGAGAGAGATCACCCAGGCCTGGGATCTGACCCAGGAGCGCCTGCAGTGTTGCGGAGTGGACACGTGGCACGATTGGAACAGGTACGGACCGGTGCCGGAGTCCTGCTGCCAGGAGCTGTTCGGGGGCCAGCGCAAGGAGTGCACCATCTTCCCCACCATCACGAATCTGTACAACCAGGGCTGTCTCTATGTGACGACCAACTTCATCAGGGATCACGCCGCGGTTATTGGGGGAACCTCCATAGCGGTGGCCATTCTGATGGTAAAATAATCTCATTTGCATATCTTTAACAATATTTAAACAGGACTTTTTAATTTCCTACAGATCTTTGGTATGATATTCTCCTGTCTACTGTTCAATATGATCGAATAGCGCCAAAGAGAAGGGGAATTCCATGGCTACGCAGGAAAATCAGCTACCGAGGTACACAGTCCCGAAGAGACACATTTTTGAGCCCCTTTCCACTGGAGTTATTTTAAGAGTATTATCCGAGTGTATGATAATGTTGGCCCTGCACGGGTCAATCGTCCGATTTGTATTATGTATGTACATACGTGTTTAGATACGCATAACTAGCGAGTATTGATGAGCGAATTGTTATCATATCTGTTGCATAATTTTGTATTATTTTTATATAATTCTGTAAATTTAGTCGTAAGCTCCCGGATTCAAAACCCAATGCAATTGTTAGTTTTAAGTGTGATTTTCTATTGCTTCTAGAGAATTTAGATGTCTGTCCATTGTTGTTTCTAATAAAATTAGTTCAAAACACATACTTGGTGGTTGTTCCTGGCTTTAAGTAATAAATATTGTTGCATATTTTGCGGATAGATTCGAAATTCAGAAATGTTTTGTATCTCTTGAATACCTGCCACCTTTATTACAAAAGTAATCATGACATTAAATCGTAAAGAGAAGAAATATAGGTCACCGATTTCGGTCTAGTACTTTTATATGTGCTTCTGAGCCGGAATTTGTTTGCCTAATTGATTAGCAACATAGTCCACGATGCCAAATATACACATATATAGGTTTAATTTAAGAGAGGTTTCTAAAAATCATGTACATCATGATAATATCAAAAGATGCAAGGTTCATTTATTTAAATACATTAGATCATACTTTTTACTACATAATAACGAACGCGATATCCTAGTTCATTAAATTTGGTTAAATTTAAAATTAAGCTAGACTAAAACTTACACTATATAAAATTGTGATATACTAAGCCTATAATACTTCCCATTAGAATCCATAAATTCAGGTAACGAGTGCCGGAACTCGAACCCGATTCCGTATCATTCCACCACTCCCAATTTCCGTTGTGATAAGCCGGATCAGCCCGCTTATCGGACTTGGGAACTCGGGCGCTGGGAATCGCTGTTCGCCGGATCTGCTCCACCTCGTTGGCAAGTTCCTGCAGTTGGAGTGGATATAGCTGGGCCAAGTTGTACCGCTCGCAGGGATCTTTTGCCAAATCGAAAAAGCAGTGGGCTTTGAGCGGCTCGCATATGAAGTGGGGTTCCAAAGGATCCTGCCCCTCAACAAGGGGACACTTCTCGGTGGCTTCACTCCGCATCTGTTGGATGCGATCTTCGGTCAAGCCTTGGTTACCCAAGATGCGTTGAACTTCGGATGCCAGGATATGCTGACCGTAGCTCTCACTCAAGGGATCCTCTTCGTGTGGTTCCAGTTCTCCCAACCACTGATCGTATTTACCACCGAAACTGCTTCCATTCACGTACTTCAGAGTGTCCCTCATGTACGACGAGTAGCCAAAAACTTCATCCAGCACATGGATCATCGTTCTGGGCTTCGGTTCCTCGTTGGCACTCAGTGATGGCCAGAGATTGATGCCATCCAACTGGAGATCCTGGGGCAAGGAGACGCCTGCAGCTCCTGCCAGAGTGGGCAGCCAATCTATGGCGTGGATTGCCTGATTGGACACGTAACCCTTTTCCTTGAGCAGCGGACTCCAAAGGACTCCAGCGGATCGAATGCCTCCTTCCCAGGGAGATTCCTTTTGCTGTTGGGACAAACATATATTTTTTACTGAATATTTCTAAGCATCATTTTAAAGTAAACTATAAAACAATTTAGTATTAGTTTAAATATTCATTATTTTACACGCAATTATTTATTTTAATAAGTATTGTTTTTGTAACACCTTATTATGGACGTAACAAATTTATTTTTATTTATACATTTTCAATCAATTTGATTTTTGCTACTTGTCTCAGTAAAGACAAACTATGTTGTCATTATGAGTTCTTGTCAAAGCTAAATTCGTCGAAATGTTTTTTTTTTCCTCATTGTTCAAATGTTATATTTTAAATTAGGAATTATTTACTTACCCCTCGATAAGGATAGTTGGAGCCGGCATTGGAATGTATGCCTACAGTGGGCGCTCCATTGTCAGAATATAGCAAAATAATGCTGTTGTTCAGCATACCATTATCCTTCAAGGCTCCAATGGTCTGAGCCACACTTTTGTCCAGACTGGAAATCATTCCTTTTAACAATAAAATTTGTTGGTAAGCAATTGCAAAATAAATAAAAATAGTCCCTAGCTTACCAGCGTATGTTCGTCGCTTGGGATCCCTGATGTGTGCAAATTTGGCCACCTCCTCCTCAGGAGCCTGCATGGGATTGTCCTCGTTGCCCGTGTGCACTGCCAAATGGCTGAGAACCATGAACAAAGGTTTGCTCTTATCATGCTGCTCAATAATCCTTTTCGCTTCCGAAGTAAAGGCTTCCGTGGCGTAGGTTCCATTGGCTTCGGGACAGGGTTCCAGATCCCGCCGGAAATCAAGTCCTGCCGAGTAGTTTCGATCGAGCAATCGAACCTGGTGATCGTAGTAGTCGATGTACCCGTTGTAATAGCCGAAGTGGTGATCGAATCCCCGCATTGTGGGCGTTAGATCCTGTCGCCAGAATCCCAGATGCCACTTGCCCACCAAATGAGTGGAATATCCAGCTTCCCTGAAAAGTTCTGGCATGAGACGCTCTCGCTTCGGAAGACCCCAGGGTTCATCGGTGATGATTACAAAGTGCTGCATCCCTAGTAAAAATATTCAGTTGAGAATTGTTACAATATAATTAATTATAATTATTAAATATAAATGTATTTATTACCTGTGTGTATAGGATATTTTCCAGTTAACAGGGTTGCTCTAGACGGAGTGCACAAGTTCGGAACATAATGTTTGTTGAGTAGAATGCCATTGTAGGCCAGGGCATCGATGTTGGGAGTTAGGATCTGGTTGGAGCCATGGAAGCTCACATCGTTCATGCCCTAAATATATGTAGTTAATTGGTTAATTATGTGTAAAGAATATAGTTAATTCTAACACGCTTCTTCTTACCATATCATCTATCATTATAATTATAATGTTTGGCTTTGTTGAATGTTCCAATCCATTTGCGATGGTGAGTAAAATACTCACAACCAGCACCCCGTCGATCCTTTCCAACATTGTAATCTTTAAAAGTACTGCACCTAAGGAATATATACATATTTAATATTCAGATTAGTTTCTAATTAAAGCACCAATCTTATGCAGCCTAAATTGGATCACTTTCCTACATGCTACCATTTTGTGATGATTTTGTAAACTGATCCTGACAATATCAAAGTTTAAGTCAATTACAAATGAGTTTTTTTGACTAAGCTTATGACATATGGTTACTAAATGTTTCCAAAATACAAGATTAACGTGGTTTAAAAAGAAAGACTTTCCTTTCACAAGCTGATTCGGAGAAGGCTTGACAGGAACACTAAAATGAAAACTTATGGATACAATTTACTGTCAAGCTCCTGCTCGTTTATGTCACAATGTTGAAACGCCAGCATGTAACTGTCTTAATTAAAATATTGCACAGTTAGGCAGTATTTGCTGAATTTTCCGCACCATAATTGGCCATTGTACAATCGGCCATCTTCCCCAGGTGCTGCCCCCCAAATTCCCCTCCTGACCTATCCCAGTGCGCCATGTGGCCGAAAAGTTCATTCAACCATTCGGACGAGTGTTGCCGTTTTATTTTGTTGTTTTTAGCAACAATTGTTGAGACATTATATAAAACGTAAAACATAAACACCTGCACACTTGTACTTGGACTTACCTTCGCTATGAGAAGGGTAATTTCTTTTTATCTTGGCTAAACCTGGCGTTTAATTGTCGCAAGAGGCCGTAATAAAGTTGGCAATAATGAAATACGGGCAGATAGGCGAGACAAACCATAAAAATCTATGAAGTGTGCAATTGTTTCAGCATTTTAGACCTGATTAAATGTGTTAACAATGCTACTTAATTCGGGTGGAAGCATAAGTGTCGTGCTAATGCAATGGGAACTTTAGTCACGACCTGATGAATAAGACTGAGAACGGGAACGCCCAGCGGTCAGGCGATGACCTTCACAGGTTGTTAATATCGTGACCTTGATAAAACACATGTGATGCAATCAATACCCTGTTCAACCTGAATAAATAGAAAGGTTCTTAATATAAACCCACACAAAAAATGACACTGACTAGTCAATTAAAACTTGTTTTTATCGAAAAGATTTGTTCTGTTTCTGGTACGGAAGCACTGAGAATTTTGGAAATGGTTAATCGGAAATGCCAGTCGGCCCATTAGGTTTAACCACTATTTACGTTGGGTAATAACCATGTAACCAGCTGTTGGCCAAGTAAAAGAATGTGGCAATAGATAATAGAGGGATTGTGAAAAGGTAGTTTTTCTGGAAAATATTAAGCAGAAAAACTAAAAGCAAAATCTGCGAACAAAAGTAGCTTAGGGTACAATGTGTAGGTTCTTCAGCTTTAGGACATTTTTAAAATATTTAAAACCAAGTCACTAATCAAATCTTTTATCAATGAAGGTAAATTATACCTCTTGACAGTTTGATTAGTGTATATTAGCTTTCAACTAATAGTCCTTACTGCAATCATTAAGACTTTATAGAACCTCTTCGGTTAAGTACTTCTCAAGTGGCTTTCATTTAAATGAGCTTGCTCTTCTTATAATGATTCAGAGATTGTTTTATAGTAGTTCACTTATTACTTTTCTGACTTTACAGATCATAGCTATTTAAACTGTTCCGTAATTTATACACACTTTTAACTATACACTTGACAACTTAACCTTTTTAACGCAAAACACTTAACTGCTTTTCCGACATCCGCTAAAGGTTTTTAAAATGAACGGAGATCTTCGGCGATCCTTCTCCCAGCAACTTCTCCACTCGACTAAATGCTCCGCTGCTTTTTGGCGCTTTTAAAGTGACAACGTTTTCGCCGACTCTGGCGTTTGTGACGTCACGAAACGTGCGCGAAAAATAATCGTACAAGAGTCACAGCATGCTGCTATAAAACAGGCACCGAAACGATCGTACGAAAGCGAAAACATACTGCTATAAAAGCAAAAGCAAACCGTGCTTTGCAAAGGCAGAAAAAGCAAGTAAAACCAGAAATACAGTTAAAGTTAACGAACTTTTAAAGGGACCGAGGAAACCGGGAAAAAACTGAGCTTTCTTGACAAGGTCAAGGTTCTTGTAGTTTCTTGGTTGATAAGATGGCAATGTTGACAAGCTACAAACGGGTTTCAGCGCTCTAATTTAATTAATTAGTATTCTAAAATTTGATTTCGTACGATTTTGGCCTTGTCACGTGGTTAATTTAATTGAATATATTTCTCATTGTTGTATTTTTATAAAAAATAATAGTAAAACAAGAAGGAAAAGTTAGTTTGGCGATCTGAAACATTTACAATTTGTCACAAAAGTGTTTTCGCGTGAAAATTTTTTTAAAAATTTCCCATTCTCATTAAGAAAAAAACACTATGCAATAAGTTTTGAGTAAGATTTTATTGTTCATGTATTTCTAAAGAATACACAAAAAACAAAACATAAATTTTCCAACTAACAAAAAAGATATAACAAATAAGTCAAATAAGTGTTTTCGATTTTACATTTCTGGTGTGTTCTCGAATTTTTTTTCTAGAATATGCTTTTAGGGTCGACTAGATGATATAAATATGCATTTTGAGCTTTTCAATGTCAGTTCTCCGTACTTACAGACGTTAATAGTCGTATAAACAGGTGTTTTACAATGCCGGGCAAAAGAGTTTCTTTTGGTGTGATCTAATTGGTATATTACAACCATACCATTGGGAAAAGTACTGCAGACATTGCAAACATGTTTAAATTGAATATAAGAACTGTCCAAAATATAATGAGTCGGGCAACAAATGAGAATAGGCTCGAAAATAAGCCAATAAATGGGCGGCCGGGTAAGCTCTCAAACAGAGCTATTCGGCTTTTAATGAAAAAAGTAGACCAGAACCCCATGATCTCAACAAGAAAACTGGCTATGAAGGTAAGGGAAGAATGTGGAGTGGATGTTTCCCATGAAACTATTCGCAGAACTATTAGGAGCCATAATTTCACATCCCGAGTAGCTAGAAAAAAACCCCTATTATCAAAACAAAATATTGAAAAGCGTCTTTTATTCGCTCAAACTCTTTTGGAAGAGCCCCCAAGCTATTGGAACGACGTGATTTTCTGTGACGAGTCGAAAATAAAGTTACATTACAACGAAGGACCTAACCGAGTGTGGAGAAAACCGTTGTGTGCCCTACAAAATAAAAACATTATACCGACAGTAAAATTCGGCAAGCTGTCCGTCATGGTGTGGGGGTGCATCTCAAGCAAAGGAGTCGGTGATTTAGTATTCGTATAAAAATGAAAGTGATAAAATTAAATAAAAAGTGACCTCTTTATAATAATACATACATATATAGAATATATATTTACCTTACCCTTTTTAACTTTTTAACGTAATCTTTTTATACCCTTGCAGAGCAAAAGGGTATTATAATTTCAGTCAGAAGTTTGCAACGCAGTGAAGGAGACACCTCAGACCCAATAAAGTATATATATTCTTGATCAGCATCACCATCTGAATCCAAATCCGTCTGTACGTCTGTCCGTCTGTCCGTCTGTCTGTCTGTCTGTCTGTCCGTCTGTCCTCCTGTCGGTTTCTATGTAAACTAGTCTCTCAGTTTTAAAGCTATCTGGCTGAAACTTTCCCAAAAGTTGTCTAGTAGTTGCACGCAGTATATAGGTCGGAATGAGCCGGATCGGCCGACTATATCGGATAGCTCCCATACGAGAGAATGAAATTAAAAATTCTTACTCCGCTGTTTTTGATCAGATCGACTTGATTCCTTCCAGATGGCGTTTTCTAACCACTATTAAATTTCGGATTAAATTTTATCAAAATCGGATAACTCTATCATATAGCTGCCATAGGAGAGATCAGAAAAAATATATATAAATAATCGAAAAAAAATTATAACGTCGTTGTTTTTAATCCCACGAGCATGATTTTTGGAACATCAAGTTTTTTAAATACTCTTAAATCGAGAAAAAAATTTCATAAAAATTGGAGTAATATATCATATAGCTGCCATAGGAAAGATCGAAAATCTATATAGAAATAACGGAAATAAAATTATTACCTCGATGTTTTTCATCAGACAATCATGATTTTTGGAATATAGAGTTTTCTTATGAGTCTTGAGTTACAAATTAAATTTTATCAAAATCGGACGACTATATCATATAGCTGTCATATGAACAATATGGAAAATTAATAGAAAAATCGTCATAGATTTGATGCTGTTTAGCCTTTTTGTATTTTGTTAGACATATTTAATGACTGCAAGGGTATATAAGCTTCGGCTTGCCGAAGCTAGCTTCCTTTCTTGTTGGTATTAATATTGTTTTATAACGTAAGTATTTGCTTTCGATTTTCCATTATTCTAACCAGAAATTTAAATACGTTTGTTTTATTTAGATTTTACAGCAAATTCACAAAATGTTACCCTTGCAAAGAACTTTCAAGTGTTAGTCACCAATCGAGAAATAAAACCGACTATCTAATCAATCGAGTAACCCCCCGAATAGTTATTTACAGTCGATCTTATCTGCTACTTCGACCACTTGGGAGATCCCTATAAAAGCGGTTAGCGGATTGAACTGACCACAATACCTTCCCAGTCGGCAGTCCAATCATGTACTCCTCCAAGAGCCTTTTCATTGGTGCTACAGTGCTTCTCCAGCTGGTGGCTCTCATTCAGGGAGGAGTCTACAGTACAGAGGACAGTTGGGTCCTTCTGGACAAGACTAAGGACGTGCCGGAAGAAGCTGTTTTCGGCGGCTTCGATCCCAGTGGTTACAACAACTACGTGGGTCGAGTATACTACAGCAGCAGTTATCTCCCAGCTCGCGTGGTTGCGGAACTAGGAAAGGCCACATACAACACGGACAGTGTGGGAAACGTGGCCACAAGCTACGAAGTTCTGGTTTCGAATGCCACCATGAGCTACCACTGGATCCGCAGTTTTGATGGCTATCGGGAGAAGAACGCCGTGTCTGTTGGAACCAACTCCCTCAACGATCGCGTCTTCATCTGCCGAGTTCGGTGCGATGAGGCGGTCTTCATTGGAACTCTCTACCCCACCACACGGAAGTGCATCGTGAAGTACGAGAACTTGCCGCTCCGCCAATTCGACAAGTATGAGATCCTTGTTAGGAAACGACATGTTGCGGCCTACACTCCTTTTGAAAAAACACTGAGTGTTCCAGAGAAATAAATATGTTTCTTAAAATAAACCTTGTTTTTTGTTTTAAATTTGTTTATTATGGTCAACAAAGCTTCTTGCTTGCTGCTGCTGTTAAAAAATTAAAAAAAATTTACAAAAACGACACCAAACGCCAACGATCATTTCATTTTTAAAACCCTAAACGCTAGCTTATTCAATAATTTTATGTAATGTTAGGAATACATTAATTGTCGATTTAACTGCCCTAAAATAGTAAACATAGTACTCACCACAGAAATCTAAACACAAAACTTTTTGAAAACTTTATTTTCTGCTTATTCATATTTATCACTAGAATAGTTTTTCTATTATAATAAATGAGAGAAACAAGAGATTAAAAGTGTGCGTAGATTTTTTTCTTAATAGTTGTAAGGCCCATATGTAAAGCTGGCAAAATTTCAATCAAGGTTGATAAGTAGGCGAAACAATTTGCACAAATTTATGAACTGTGCAGTTTCTATCTAAAACATAAATAAGATCTGGTTTCGCACTCTTAATAAATTGATTAGTATTCTATTTTTTCATTTTATTCAATATTTTCTCTCTTTTTTCAAAAAAACGTAAGATGGACAGCAAAATATACAGAAAGTAAAATATATGTGCTTATTTATAGATATAGTGTTAATAATGTTCCAAATTGTAAACTTAAACATATTGGTGTTTAAATTTCTTAACACCAAAATATTTTTTTTTTTTGCGTTTTTGTAATCAAATCCAAAAATGTAAACGAAATTTTGAAACAAGTGAGCGCCGCAGAAATGTTTGGTTTTCGGGTATAAGAGTGGGCGTGGCACAAAAACTGAATTCAATGCTACTGCGTAGAAATGACCTAAATCCATATTTTTAATTCCAATTTTCTTCTTCTTACTTTAAATTCGCATGTTATCGACGTTCATACTGATGGACAGACAAACAGAACCTGACTAACTCGTCTAAAGTTCCTGGTCAAGAATATAAATACTAGATAAGAGAGGGGTAGTGTATCTTTTGACCTGTTACCTACTCATCAACAAAAACTGTATACCCTTTTACTCTATGAGTAACGGGTACAATCAGCAACTATTTAATCAATCAAGTAACCCCCGAAAAGTTATTTACAGTCGAACTTATCTGATACTTAGACCACTTGGAAGATCCCTATAAAAACGGTAAGCAGATGGAACTGACCACAACACTTTCCTAGTCGGCAGTCAAATCATGTACCCCACCAAGAGCGTTTTCATTGGTGCTGCAGTGCTTCTCCAGCTGGTGGCTCTCATTCAGGGAGGAGTTTACAGTACTGAAGACAAATGGGTTATTCTGGACAAGACTAAGGATCTGCCGGAAGAAGCTGTTTACGGCGGCTTCGATCCTGATGGCTACAACAACTACGTGGGCCGCGTTTACTACAGCAGCAACGTTGTGCCAGCTCGCGTGGTGGCGGAACTAGGAAAGGCCACTTACAACACGGACAGTTTGGGCAGCCAGACCACAAGCTACGAGGTACTAGTTTCGAATGCCACCATGAGCTATCACTGGATCCGCAGTTTCGATGGCTACCGGGAGAAGAACGCTGTGTCTGTGGGAACCAACCCCCTCAACGATCGTGTCTTCATCTGCCGAGTCCGGTGCGATGAGGCGGTCTTCATTGGAACTCTCTACCCCACCACACGGAAGTGCATCGTGAAGTACGAGAACTTGCCGCTCCGCCAATTCGACAAGTATGAAATCCTTGTTAGGAAACGACAAGTTGCTGCATATACTCCATTTGTAGATGGATATATTATTAACTAAGTTATTCAAAAAATAAATATGTTTGTTAAAAACCAACTACAACTTTTTTTCTCCACATCCAATGTTGTCCGAGTTTTTGCAAAATAAAATAGCCGACTTAGCCAATTAACAGACTGCATAACCTTTACAAGTTATAAGAAAATTGACATAAGCTTCAATATTCCCCAACTTTCAATACGCATTAAAGGGTTTAGAAAACCCTACAAACTACAATATACGGTTCGTGTACAAATTTTATTTATTTCGTTATTTAATAAAAATATCTTAATAACATTTAAAACAGACAATTTTAAATATTATTCAAATTTGGATACCTTTTTGTTTTTTATTTAATGGCTTTATTTAATGGTGTAAAATGTGAGTTTAAAAACGAACAGCCTATATGGAAAGGCTTTTAGGGTCTTTTCAACAGCTTAAGTAGAGGGGACTTCCATTCCGGGAATTCCTTCAACATTTACAGAATCTCTGCAAGAATCGTCATCAGAACTTTTTAAAAATAAATATTGTTCTTATCTTTTGGGCACACCCTCAAATAATTTATAACAATGGGTGTTGTCAAGGGTCTTGACTATCAGGTACTCGTTACTCGTTTGTCATGTACCATTTAACTTTTTAAAAACTTAATTTTCTAGTTTTTATATTTTTTAATAACATATATTTCATAAGACAAAAGAGTATAAAATTGGACTGTAACTATTTCCGAAAATATTAGTCGCATCATATTTTTTATTCAACAATTTTAAAGGCTGTACATGTAACCCCGCTGAGCAAACAAACTTAATAAACTTGCAAACGAACGAATCAGAATATAATATCTCGACTCTTCTGATGATCCTTATAAAGAATATATACGCACATTATGGGACTTTACCCTTAAAAGTGGCCATCAGAGGAAAATGGTTACTATAGATTGAGCTCTAGTATGCATCGTAAAATATATACGTATTGATCAAAGCATGTATTTTGCTTTTCTTATTGGTATGTCATGCTAAGAAAGTTAAAAACACGGGGCCAAGTTCACCCTATAATCGGTAAAACACTCTGTTTTATCTTTGTCTGAATATCGCAATAATAAAAGCTGATTGTTTTTTTTTTCTTTTAAAGTGTTGAAAATCTAACGTTAAGTTAACTTGTAATAACTCAAAAAATATATATTTATATTTTATGTTATGTCAAGTTAAACCATTGCTATAGTATTAATTTTCAAAATGTGTTCTGTGACACCTTGAATTTACAATAATATGTTAAACAAAGATCATACCTTTAGAAAATGAATAAATGACAATACAGTTGTTAATTATTTTTGGTTTTGAGAAGAACTTGTTTTTCTTTACTATAAAATGTTAGTAGTGTAACTCAAAAATGAAACGTTTAAATGTCTAACGAAAACTTGAGTTCTTATGTTAAATGAAACAAAATAATGTTAAACAGTTCTTCAGTATTATATGCCAATGAGGAAAAAAGAATTTGTTATTTGTTTAACGGATGTTAAAAAAAGTTCTAAAAAAAGATTGTGTGATGAACCAAACTTATGAAATAGTTGTGAAGGGGACTTTTTGCTCATTTTTTATATCTGTTTCTTTTTGAGAGTGCAATAAAACAACGATGCGTAGACCGAATCTTAATGTTAGTCATCGAAACCGATGCTATCAATATCAATCTTTTGATAGCGATAAGTGTAGTAGGAGTCGGTTGATAAGAAGAGGACTATAAAAGCAGTTAACGTGTGGCTAGTCACTCAAAGCGATACCACCAGTCCGTCAAGATGTACAAAGCTGCCTGTTTGGTTTTGGCCCTGTTCGCCGTTGCCCTCGCGGTTCCCTCGACTTATGGTGAGATCTAAAGAACTTTCGGTCTTAAAATATCCTGTGTGACTCCTCGATTTTCTACAGATACCGAGCACGTGTGGAAGGCAGGAAACCTTTCGTACGTCGTTCCCGATAATGCCGTTTTGGGTGGCTTCGATCCTTATGGATTCAATACCTATGTGGGCCGTGTGATTTACGCCAACAGCATCCTGCCCGCCCGCGTGGTGGTGGAAACTGGAGTGGCCTACTTCAATACCGAGACCCTCTCCTCGAAACTCCTGGTGTACGACATCCTGGTGGCGGAGCGCAATGTGAACTACGTTTGGGTGAGGAGTTTCGACGGGTTCTACGAGAAGGGAGCCGTGGCCGTGGGCACCACCAACAAAAACGAGCGGGTGTTCTGCTGTCGGGCCAAGACCGATGGAGGAGTCCTGATCGGCACCCTCCTCCTCAGCCAGAAGCTCTGCATCATCAAGCACGAGACCCTGGCCCTCCGAAAGTTCGACAAGTACGAGGTTCTGGTGGCCCAGGCCAAGGGAAATGGAACTCTCTACTAGAATCATTTGTTTAGACACAAACAAGAACGAAGATCTCTAGGAAAAACAAAGTCGGAGTACAACTGGATTCTCTTAACAAAATAAAAAAAATCGATTTTACAATTCATGTGTATTTTGACTTACACGGGAAAAATAGGGTTATAAAAAATGGTTTATAAAAATTATTAGTCAACTATAAATGCTTAAAATATTTTAAGCTGAACTGCACTCTCCGGATGTTAAAAAAGGTTCAACTTTTAGAATTAATTTTAAATAGAGGGCAAAAGAAAATAAAACAAAATCAAATTTTTAATTATTATTGTTTTAAAAAATAATATTTTAATATATGTATTGATATATCATTTGCGGCAAAGTTCAAAAATCCTGTCCACCTTCTTTTGTTTTATTCGGAACCACAGAAACACAAATGTTTTCGCCATCAATATTGATTTCAAAACTAATTTAAAGAAAGCCTTATCTTGCGAATTGAATAAAGAGCACCTAATACCACAAAAGCGATATTCAATATAGATATTTCAATAAAACTATTAAAATACAAGCTCTTTTAAAGCATTTCGAAAATACTCAAAGCAGTTTGCATTTCTGACCTATCATGCGAATTAAAGCTACACACAAAATATGAAAACCTGAAAAAAGGTCGGTTTTAACAAAATTAAATAATCACTTTATTTTTAAAAATATTTACTCAAGTATTTAACACATTTAGTCTGAGTTAGTATATAAATTATTAAGGTTTATTTGATACATAAAATAACAACAGATTCTACTTGAGATTTCTGATTACTAAAAAAAATATTGAATCTTATCATAATTTCATAGGAAATTTGACCATGTTTATAACATAAACCAAGTAAAGCTGTTGTAAATTATATAGGTCCTCACAATTTCTATAATTTCGATAAATACTTTCCAAGCCTTCTTGATTGACAGAGTTCTTTCGTCTAATGTTTTAATTGAATTAAAGGGGGTTTTGTATTTATCAGCTTTCACAGAAGTGATTGATAAGATAAGCAAGCCTATTGGTTATTCGATACTGGAGCCATAAAGACAGTTCCCAGAAGCTTTTTCCAGTTGGTCTAATATAAATGATCCATATTAGTTTTCTACAAACTCTCGATTCAGAGTGAGTTGACTATTGACAACGATATCAAGGTACTGGTTTTATATATAATTTAGTATGCAACTTATAAGTACATTTGCTGATATTAATTCTGGATCTGAATCTTGTTAGTAAGATGTAAATAATTAATTTTATTATTTGGGTAATTTGCTAGTTGTTGTTTCAATTTATTTCAACCTACAAAATAAATTACTTTAAAGTCGTAATAACGTTGCAATCTGCATCATACTTCATTTTTTAAAACTCTTTAAGGTCTAATAGTTAAATAGAAACCTAATTTCCTGAAATTAGATAATCCATCGACTTGTCAGGATGATTAACAGGAACAACCTGAAGACAGTCATACGCAACGTGGTCCCCGAACTGGAGGCCTGCTCGTCCTGCCACCAGGTCCATTCATTGTGGTAAAACCGTGGATTGCAATCCGGGTCCGCTGGCTTGTTGTTAGGAGGATGAGCTTGTTTGGCAAACTGCTGAACTCGCTCCCAAAGGTCAAGATATATAGTTGAATTTCGGTATTCCTCGTAGAGGTTGCTCTGCTCGCAGGGATCCTCCTCGATGTCGAAGAGGCAGGGTGCTTCGAGGGGCAAACAGGGTTTGATTCCAGTCGCTGGAGGTGGGCAATCGATCCTCGCTTGATCCCTTAGTTCGCTGATGTTGCGATCCCCGGCGGTTACGCGCTGCAACTGCTGCCAAACACTGGTGTTCCGGATGAGATCCTCGTACTCCACGGACCGGGGATCCTCCTCACTGGTCACCCTTTCTCCCAGCCAGCCATCGTAGGCACCGCCACTGGTGGTGCCGCTGATCACCTTCCACTTGCCACGCGTGTAAGAAAGATGTGGCTCCGCAACATCCTCATCGATTGCGTGGACAATTTCCCGCTCCACCGATTCGTATCCGTACTTGAGGGCCGACCAGAGGTTCAGGCCATCCAGGCGGAGTTCGGGATCCGGAGATATTCCGGCTGCTGCCGCCAGCGTGGGCAGGAGATCGCCAATATAGATCTGCTGCTTCCACACACTTCCCAATCGCTCGAACTCAGTGCTCCAAATGGCCGCCGAGGAACGCAGCCCGCCCTCCCAGGGTGAGTTCTTTTGCTGAAATAAAATAAATTTGAGAAATAATGTATGCAGGATTTTTGCTGGATTTAAAGAAATTAGAAATTGAAAAAAATTAAATTATTGCAAGATAATAGTAGAGTACATATATATTGTAATTATATATGTATTATATGCATTTATATTGCGATTTCTGACTTTTTATTTACTATATAATTATTAAATGATTGTATTTTGTAAGACGGATTTAAATAATCGTAAGTAAGTTATCGTACGCCAATGTAGATAGGTTGAGATTTATATTGATATATAAAAGATTGTACATATATAATAATTTTTATAAACACTGATTAATAAAGGGCAAGTCTTTCGCAGCACATTTTGCGTAACGCACAGAATTTGAACAGTATTTTTATCTACATGTTATGTAATAGCTTTTATTTGTACTTACTCCTCTTAATGGGTAGTTGGAGGCGGTGGTGGAGTGCTGCCCCTGGGTCGGCCCACCATTATCAGACAGAAAGAGTACGATGGTATTCTGGAGCATTTCCTGTCGCGACAAAGCGTCTATGACCTTTCCCACGCTTTTGTCCAGTCGGGAAACCATTGCGGCATAGTAACGATGGGTGTCATTTCGAATGTAATCAAATAGGGCCAACTCATCTTCTGGAGCCTGCATAGGATTATCGTCATTTGCAGCATGGGGCGCCAGGTGACTCAAAAGCAGGAAGAGCGGCTGGCTATTATTCTTCGACCCGTGATCCTCGATTTCCTGAACGGCGGCATTGGTGAGCACGTCGGTGACATATTGTCCCACCTGATCATGGGTGGACTTAAGATTGTCCCGGAAATCGTGGCCATTGTAACCTATGTTCTGAATTGAAATTTGTAATTTGTTAATATACAATATTAATTTAACAATTTTCATTATATATAATTATCAAAGTTAAACATTAAGTAAAAAACCATAGAATATTCGGAACTGAGGTTTTTAAAGCCTTGCCTATTTTTCGGCGGCTATGTAGAAACGCGTTCAGGTAAAAACTGATTGGATTCTCACCGTTTGTTCATAGCTCTGGCTGTAATAATCCACATAAGCTCCAAGGTATCCTAAGTGGCGATCGAAGCCCCGTTCAGTGGGTGTAAAGTTTCGCTGGGACATCCCCAAATGCCACTTTCCCAGGAGACTGGTTCGGTAGCCATTTCCTCGGAAAATCTCCGCCATCGTCGTCTCGTTCAACGGAAGACCCCAAGGCTGATCGTTCACGATCACATAATGCTGCATACCTGGTGAAAAGTGTAATCAGTTTTATTAAAGATTTGAAGAACTTGATTTTGTAAACTTGTAAGGAATGTAAAATACGGAATTGTTTCCTACAACTTAGAGTCGTTATTCAAAACAAAATTTGATAAGCTACATTTCATAAATGCTAATCATTTATTAATAATAATTAAAGACTACTGTCACAGACAAAATTAAGTTTAAGCTCTTCTATTAAGTATTTAACCCTTCACTAATATTTTTTTAAATATCTGCTTTTAAAAATCTTTCGTTTTTTACATATTGTACGTTATGACATTCAGTTACCATTTCAGAAAAGTTTGCCCCAGACCGACTAACCTGTATTGATGGGATATTTTCCAGTTAGAAGAGCAGCCCGACTGGGAGTGCACATGGGAGCTGCATAGAGATTGTTCAGAATAACTCCACTATAAGCCAGTGCGTCGATATTGGGAGTCAGAAAGTTGTTAGAGCCCCGAAAACTCACATCGTCGAAACCCTGTAGATGAAATGAATTTTATACGGAGTTTCAAGGTGGTGTTAAAGTACTACTCACCAGATCATCGGCCATTATAATGACAATATTGGGCTTTTCGGATGTGGTTTTACTAGCGCTGGATAAGGTAAAACAAAAAACTAATCCGGCAGCTAATAACCAGGTAAAACTGCTGAATTTACCCAGATGAAATGACATCGCCGTGAATGGAGTGAGGAAGATGTGGGACAGCTAGTAAAAAACAAACAAACGGGAATTAGTGCAAATAAGCGTTTTAGAAATTAACATACCAAATGGGCGACAAGTCTGTGGGTGACACTCTGCCAATGATGGATGATCTCGTCCGACCGTTCCGGATATATTAGCACTATAATGACTCTTAACTTAACCTATTTTGCGGAGTTTTTACGGGTTACTGGTTTGTTTCAAACAAACACTATAAAATAAATAAAACGAATATTATCAGTAGGCAAATACCTAGGCAATATACACCTAAGCAAATATTTTTACCGAATCAGGGGTAAATACACAATAATTACGAATAAATAAAAATGAAATGAGGCTGGGAATACTATTGTTCTCTGAAAAAAACAGACTGCTATTTCTAACTATTTTATTATATTTGCTTTTTAATAATAACTATTAGATCAAACAGTATTAATGTGTTTTTATATTTTCAATAAAAACTTGCAAAACACACGCAAATTACAAGTATAAACGAGAACACAATTTTAAGATCTGACTAATACTCTAAATTAATAATTACAATTAAAGCATTTGATGATTTGTGTATAGGAAAATCAAGTTTGAGATAAGTGACAGGTAATGACAAGCCATTATTAGAACACTTAGATTATATATCCTTTACAGCTGCTTTGAGAAATTCGACTGTTTGCTTGTTTATTGCCTTTATTGCCAAACAAGTTTGGGAGTAAGTATCTCTAATTGTTTCTGGCTGTCACTGCAAGCCATCCAAATTGATATAAGCACCGAAATTTTATTCAATGGTTTGGCGGTCTTTATTGTCGAATCATTTAATTCTGTTCACACACTTTTATAATCGCCGCAGACGAGCAAATAAACATGCTCCCCGAAAGAGAATAAAAGGCATCCGAATAACAATGGGCTTATCAGCTAGATTCGTGCATGCCAATTCCACTCACAGATATTCGCGATCGGGTTTTATTGCACCGCGTATTCTGATCTCTGATCCGCCTGACTCGAGGTGCGGAGACCAACTGACCGAACACCAAAAATAATTCGCGACTGGCTTAATAGCCAGTTACTGGCTAACGAATATCCCCTTCAGATTAGCATCAAACCAGATTGTAGTGGGTGGTACCGAGAGAGAGAGAGAAAAAGGGAGGGAGAGTTGGTTTTAAAGAGATCGGTAACTCTTAACTACGCTACCGTTAGAAAGATTTTGTGCATACTTTTAGGAACATGGAATCTTAACTCCTAACCCACATAAGAACCAAGTGGTTCCGACTACCGATTTAAGGTTTGGTCTTTAAAACTGACTGAATTTCATATCCATTAAGTGTAATTAAATCAATATTTATTTATAGGAAGAAGTGTAATTAAGTAATAGTTATTTATAGCAAGAAACTTAATTAAATCAATAGTTATTTATACCTATCAATCCCAATAAATTTGGTAAAATGTTTGTTACTCACGGAAGGAGTTTTTTAACATAAAAATTTAATCAGGATATCAAGCTAATTAGGAATTTTTGCTGCAGAAATAATTGATTTCTTTTGGTACGTTTGACTCTTAATTTTAAATAAACAATTTGTTTAAATCATAAATAATCATATAGTATTGTCTTAAGTCCAGCTTTATAATATAAAATTAAATATATCTGCTTGTGAAGCTTGCATTTAGGATGGTTTAAAATGCGTTTCTAATTTTGTCCTAATGTTTTATAAAAGATTATGTTTTAACGACGGGGTAGTCATAATAAAAACCGCATTTCACACAAAGACCTGAAGGCGAGACAAAGAAAGGCCAGTTAGGGGGAAAATACCAAGTGCCTGTAGCCAGTGGTAACAGAACGGACCTGCGGAAACTTAACCCGCAGTTGTTTATTTATAGCCGCCAAACAATTGAACAACCAACCCCCACTGTCACTCGCGACAACCGAAGTCCAATTCAGGTGGCCAGGAATAAATCGACAAGTTCAAAGTCCTGAAGTTGAGGACAAACCAATCAGTTGATAACCAGCGGTCATGGAGCCCATCACGGCAGTGGCCAACGCGTCCAACGTGGCCAACCCTCCGACGGTTCCCGCAGCCCCAAAGCGGCCCACGCAACAGGGTCGCAAGAAGTCGGGACCCAAGTTCGAGCTGTCCGAGGCGCAGAAGTCGGACATCAAGGAGGCCTTCGATCTGTTCGACAACGAATGCACTGGCTACATAGAGGTCAAGGAGCTGAAGGTGGCCATCAGAGCTCTGGGGTTCGAGCCAAAGAAGGAGGAGATCAAGCGAATGATTGCCGAGATCGACAAGGACGGCAGTGGACGCATTGCGTTCAACGACTTCTTGCACCTGATGACTATGAAGATGGCTGAGAAGGACACCAAGGAGGAGATCCTTAAGGCCTTCCGACTGTTCGACGACGACGAGACTGGAAAGATCTCCTTTAAGAACCTGAAGAGGGTGGCCCGCGAACTGGGAGAAACTCTGACGGACGAGGAGTTGCGCGAGATGATCGACGAGGCTGATTTGGACAACGACGGCGAAGTCAACCAGGAGGAGTTTCTGAGAATCATGAAAAAGACCAGTTTGTATTAAGAATCAGCGATCCTTTTTCTTAGCACCTTGTCCTTTTTTGTATGCCTTCTTTCCACATAAGCTTTAAAATATAGAAAGTTCAAACCCTAACTACGCTCCTCTGGACTTATTCGGAAACTGTGCTTTTGGCCCACTTAAAAACATTATAAATTTGTAAACAAAAAATTTAAATATTGAAAATGCAATTTTTAAGCATTAAAACATTTTCTTAATCCTAAATATTTGCATACCTAAATTAATTTATGGATAAGAGTAATAAAAATTAAACCTAACATAAGTTAAATAAAAATCGACTTTACTTATTGAACTGGCTTTTTTTAAGCACTTTATTACGTGATTCTTTTTTAATCTATACAGATTTGCTTGTATTTAAAAAATATTTGTATTCAAAAATAGTCCTCAGTAAGTTCGCCCAAAGTATTCTTGATCTGACTCCAAGAACCCTTCGCCCAGTCCACTGTATCGCAACAGCGAGCACAGAAGCCACATAGAGTTTTTTTCGCCTGGCCTCGGTTGATCGCCATACTTCTTATCAACGATACAGTGTCGGTGGGGATGGCCGTATTGGTTAATGACGACGGCTTGCAATTTTCCACCGGCTCCTCGGAACTGCAGAGATGTTGAAACTTGGCGTCGACTCCGGTGGTGCAAAGCAATCCGGGCTTGGCAGCATACTGGTAGATCATGGAGTTATTTTCCGGTGAGCAGCTGTAGAGACAGGTTAACCATTGGTGGGTGAATCCGTCTTTCTCGGTCCTAGCCGAGGCACAACCCAACCGGTTACTTGGGCCCACCATCATTCTCAGGAAGTGTCCGATCTCCTTCCTAAAACGAAAACCATATTTTACAAGCAACGGGAGATGCAATGGGTAACTAGCTCACTTCTCACTGGACAATCCATATATTAGGCTAGAAGGCGAGACGTGTTTGTACTCGTCGTACCAGGCATTCAGCTGTGACCTGACTATCTTGAATCCATCCTCGTTCCTCTTGAATTTGTTGTACACAGAATTGTATCCCGGAGAGGCGAACTCCTCCGTGGAAATACAGTGTTTCGTGGGCTGGAGATCGCAGCGTTTCACCAGGACTTCAGCCACATGGGCCAGTTCGCTGTCCCACTTCATTTTGAGCATCCGTCCTGCATTGGGTAGCCTGTGGAATCTGCTTCCGGCCACTAAGTCACGATACGTGTTGTGATAGTTAAGAATGAACTTCATCATTTTCTCGGGTACCGCTATAATCGTTGGCTTTTTACCGCAGTGTGACGACCAGCTCTGCAAATATGAAATGTATTTCAGTTTTCCATTTGCCATGAATTAATACAACATTTTTTTGTTTACCTTTATAATATTGAGTTTTCGACCTACAGATTTTAAAACACCAATGGCACCGGGAGAGTGATTGCATGCAATATGTGGCATCTCCGTGCCATTTGGACAGTTTTTTATCTGACAAAAGTCAGTATCTGACTTCAGGTCAACCTCTTTGAGTGTAGAAAAGAAAAGCAATCCTGCTGTAATGTAAACACAACTCCACATCTTCATGATATTTTCCGAACTAAATGCAATATTTATTTTCCAGTTCGTAGATTAGTTTCGAACAATATTGATTATGTCCAAGTGTGACTGAAAACTTGTCTCGTTAACCAAGCGATGGATAACTAGCTAATAGCAATTGCTTTTTTTTAAACATTAGCGCAAGATAGATTCTTAAAAAACGAAAATTTAACCAAAAATAACAAAAAGAAACATAAGGTTTTTTCTTGACTTCCAAATGTGTATACATTTATTCTAATAATACAAGAAATTATTAAAATAAAAGTAAGCGCAATATACATTTATAAAAAAAACTGTTTAAAAAAATTAAAGTTTGTTATAAATATTTTGAGAACTACTGTTATCGGACCTACATAATTAAAAGCATATTTAAACAACTGCCCCAGCAACAAAAACCCGAATTCGATCCCCAATTCAAATGTGTGCATGTATGTATGTATGTACATATGAGGAGCATGATTCATTCAATAAATGGATTTTTTTTGTTACTGATTAGCACATGGAAATATGACGTTAATTGTAAATAATTCAAACATCTATGTATTTGAAGATTTTTGTGGCAGTTACCTTAAAAGTGTTGTCTTATATACATATTTGTACATACTATGAATTTATAGTATTTACATACATTTAAGTACAATCTTTGCATAAGTACCTAATTATATTAGATTTTGGATAAACTTTTTTCAGCGTATTCAAATTTATCTATTGGTTTCGAATGCAAAAAAAATTATTAAATAAAAACGATTTTTCAGCCCTGAATTTTCGTCTTCATTCATTCTTAGAAATTCAGTTAAGGGTGGAACTAAGGGCTGATGAAATAACATTTGCTATTAAATAAGCGCAACAAAAAAGAGAGAGCCAAAAAAAAAGAGAGCGGGTATTTTATTTTTACCGGCTAAAATAGGGCTGCCAGCTAACCTCATTTACTGTACAAATGCCAACAGCATATCTAGCTCTTGGGGATTCAAAGCAGTCGACTACCCAGTTTCTCTCCCGATCTATAAAAAAGAATGGTACATTGACATTGGCGTAGTGGGGGCTAATGGACCCCATAATATAGAAAAAAATAAAAACATATATATTTAATGGATTTTGTTTGTATAAAACCCTTCTTACTTAACAATTGTAGAATAGCTATGTATATAGCTATTACCTGTTAATTTGTTAGTTAAGCAAACAATTTCCTATATATTATGTAGAAAGACATTTTAAACACATTTTAATAGCTACATTTAAAATATTTGCATTTAATATTATATTTTTAAACATAGAGATAATTTGATTTATAATTCATTCTAATATTGCCATCCAAGTGTAAAGCAAAATTACAAGAACAAATTTTCAAAGGGCTTTGAGATGTATCTTCGAAAAAAGCAATCGAAAACTTTCAACATATTATTCCCAAAGTCTAAATAATTAAGATGTACCTATTAATACATTTTGGAAAGGTACAAAACTATATTTGGGCCCCTTAGACGTTACGCCTATGAAAAATGGGAGAGCAATGGCAAAAAGAGAGGAGCAGCTGCAATGTGTTGCGTGGAAATGTGATTTTATGGCCCGGTAGCCAAGAAACCAAAACACATGGTTAGCGGCAGAACGGTTATGTGAAGAGCGGAAAGCGGCCGCAAATTGATGAGCGGCACAGTATTAATTGAATTTAATCAAATCGATTCGGATGACAACAATGGAGGAGTTTGCCGAGTATTATGGGTGAGTACAAAGACGTGCGGGGGGTCTCAAGAACACGCATGCAACAAGTGTCTAAAATTAGCGTTAAATGCAATTAAGGACGGGAGCTAATTTTAGCCACGACTTAGCACCCACCTCTCGGCCACACGACGTGAATAGCACCTATCAGTTTGTATCAGCTGAGTTGCGTATAAACAATCGCCAAAACTCCACGCGGCGATGCCAATGGAAAGTTCAAACAAAGCCAAATTAGTAGTGCCGTATGAAAACAAAACAAGCCAGCGGTCGAAGGCACTCCAACCGATAAATGCTCTATAAAGAATCAACCCTTTTTTTATACAAAGTTAAACTGCTTTTCTTCGCTTGCCGCGAAAACCATTCCAATTAGATTTTTATTTTGCCTTAACTTCCACGTGCTAAATGGAACGACTTTATATAATTTTTTTTGTATAATAGCTTCAAAATCACGTTCCTTATCTACATACATAAGTTTTTTTTCCAGATATCAGCAAACGTCCAGTTGTTTATTGAAAATCGACTTCTTAAGCAGAAAATGTGCATACATTGTGACAATAAAGTACCCGGAATTTCCCGTTTAAATTGCCCGAGTAAGAGATATTTGAAAAATTTTTTTTTTGCCAAGTTGATACGACCATTCTCCATTAAGAAGCGAGATTTGAGTGGGATATGTCAACTAGTTTGTTTACAACACCTAGTTTTGTAAGTTCACCTCAGCTGTGCTCGACGATTTTTGTTTTTTTCGGTTTCGGTTCGTTTTTCTTCCTCTATTCTGATGATTGTTGACTTGTTTGCATGTCGTACTCGTAGACCCAAGTCTCATCACCAGTTATTGTTCGATTCATGAATGTGAGATCGGAATTCGTACGATCAAGCATGTCCAAAGCGACTTTCTCACGGTACTTTTTTGAAAGAAATTCAGGTGTTTTGGAACAAGCCGTGCAGCGACGCGTCTTATGCCTAAATTTTCCACCAAAATTAAACGAACGAATTCGCAAGAGATGTTCAGGTGTTGTGCTACCTCTCTAATACTCACATGACGATTTTTAAGAACGATTGCTTTCAATTTGCTGATGTTTTCATCGGTGTTAAAGGTGGATGGTCGTCCAGACCTAGGCAAGTCGTCCACGACTTCTCGTCCTTCACTGAGTGCTTTATACCATTCATATGCTTGAGTTTTCGATAAAACCATAAGTCTTTTGTAACATTCAAAACGCTTCAGCGCACAAAATTCCGTTGGATACACAAAATTTGAGACAAACTCGTTGTTCAATTTTTATATCCATTTCAAAAATCGTCGAGCACAGCTGAGGTGAACTTACAAAACTAGCTGTTGTAAACAAACTAGTTGACATATCCCGCTCAAATCTCGCCTTTTAATTGAGAATGGACCTACTAACTTGGCAAAAAAAAAAATTTTTTCAAATATCTCTTATGCGGGCAATTTAAATGGGAAATTCCGGGTACTTTATTGTCACAATGTATGTTTGTACATACATATGTACATAAATATTTATTGATTAAGAAGTTGTTTATTTCGGTTTGATCAAGATACATATTTTATACGACTAAATATCTTGATCAATCACAAAAAAGGATTTTAAAACGTGACCAAAATTAAATTCTAGTTGCCGTATGGCCAGTTATAAAGTTTTTTTGTTGAATTGACCTATTGGATGGGTACCAATTTTTTGTAATTATTAGGGAAGTAACTAAACATGTTGCAAGTTATTTTCGAACTTTAAACAAACCGGACTGCTACGAAAATAGCAAAAAGTTTCAACTATTTGAACCGCTAATCGAATGCGACAATTCATTAGTGCTTGTGGTAAACTTGGCCCATCGACCTGCTAAGTCATCCGGTAAAACCGAGAGTTCCGACCGGGGTATGCACTCGGGTATATTCATATGTATATATTCAGGCGGGGAAGGAGAATCTGGCGGGTTACCAATTAGCGTTATCGGCGTCAGAGGCGTTATTCCACCACGATCGTGTTCGACCTGAGGATGCGAAAGCTTTTGTCCGATTTGAACTCACCACGATCCCCGGGAGCCCTAGAACCGATTCGCTATTTAATGGCACTGGCGTGCTCAAGTTACGCTCAGAAATAAGTGGAACGCTTTCTGGCGCTATACGAAACTCGATCGAATTTCAAATTGCGAATTCCGATCCCAAAACTCAATTAAGTGGCAATCAAAAACAGATACAATATCTACTTGTTTATTCCAATTTTTGAGACGTTACTCTCCGCCTTGCCAAACCTAAGATGGCTTTAAGTTTGTGATATTCAAAACCTCTAAAAAATAAAACAGTGATAACAAAAACAAACAAGTGCTAGTTTAAAAAGGATTTTCATTAACTTTCCAAAAAGAAAAAAGTAAGAAGGAGAGATCCGTTATATATATGTAGATTTTAACATTAATTAAAATGTTGGTTTTAGCATAAAACCAACAAGGATAAAACTTGTGATTTGATCATACTTAGACTTACGTTCATTACAAATTCTATACAAATAGACCATTTATTTTATTGGCATGTTTGAAAAATGTTGAATCTGCACTTACAATATTAATAAGCAGAAGTAAAGAGTCAGTAGGTGCATACCTTAAGAAGTCATTCTATTAAGTCTAAAATCTAAAAAAAAGAATCGCAACTAAGTATGTTAACACCTAAAACATTATTTAATGATATGCTTCATTTAAGACACAGCAGTTTGGAAGTTAGTGGCAGGGAGATTTCCCCAGTTAGTCATCAAATATGGTCCAGATGATCACAAGACTCCAATTTAGATCAGCTTTGACGCGACTTGGCGGTCGTAAAGCCGTTGTCTACATTCGCACATTAACGGACGCCCACTAATTTTTTTATGGCCAGATCCATAAACCCAACTCCGCACAATTTCTTGGCTCACCTACCGCCTACCACAGGCGCTTTCCACAAATTGCGAACGTGTTAATATGTCGGTTCTGTAAACATCGAGTGGGGCGGGTTATATATTGCACGGCTCAGCAGAAGCCCTAAGCCCCAATTGCACAGTTACCCATTATAATAATTATTTAATAAACTATTTTACAGAATGCCCAGCTGGAGCGTGACGAATGCGTTTCGCGTGCTCACACGCAAGAAGCCCCTGGAGGACTCCAACGAATCCAAATTGGCCAAGGTATTATCCGCCTTCGATCTCACCGCCTTGGGAATCGGCTCGACTTTGGGCGTGGGTGTCTATGTCCTTGCTGGCGAGGTGTCCAAGCAATATGCAGGTCCTGCAGTGGTCGTCAGCTTCCTAATCGCTGCCATCGCCTCGATCTTCGCCGGACTCTGCTATGCTGAGTTTGGAGCCCGGGTTCCGAAGGCGGGATCGGCGTACATCTACAGCTATGTGACCATTGGCGAGTTTATCGCTTTCCTCATCGGCTGGAATCTCATTCTCGAATACGCAATTGGTAAGTTTTCAATTAGCGGCGCCGCCGACTGATTGATTTGATTTAATTGCCCACAAACTCTGATGTTTCACATTGATTTTCGATTTTTAGGCTCCGCCAGTGTCGTCAAGGGTTTAAGCACCTATCTCGATCAGCTCTGCGGCAATCCGATGAGCAGTTTCCTGGGCACTCACATGCCCATCAATATCGATGGGATGGGAGCCTATCCTGATCTGTTCGCCTTCGTGGTTACTATTTTGTTCTCCCTGGCCATCGCCGTGGGAGCCAAGGAGTCCACCAGGGTGAACAATGTCTTCACCATGCTGAATTTGGGGGTTGTACTTTTTGTGATCATCGCTGGGCTTTTCAAGGGTAAGATTGTACAAAACAAATGGAGTTAAATTAGTTTTAGAATTTATTTTATAGAAAATACTATCATAGCGTTAAAATTGTAGCTCTGGGTTTTAAAAACTTAACAAATTGCTTAAGTAGTACGACAAGAATTTTTTTTAAAATTACATACCCGAAAGCTTAAAAAACATTTCAAAACAGATTGAACGAACAGTATTAAAAATTTAGTAATTTTATATAAAAAGTATACAGTACAATAATAATGAGTTTTAAAAACTTTAGGAATTTTATAAAACTGATAAAAATGGCGTATGTATTTTATTGTAAAATTAAAGAGCATGATGTAAAACCAAACTAAAAATATATATTTTTGTTCAGTTTCCAGCAGTAACTGGTCCATTCCAAAATCTGAGGTACCTGAGGGCTACGGCAACGGCGGATTCATGCCCTATGGAGTTTCCGGAATTATCAAGGGAGCTGCGGTGTGTTTCTATGGTTTCATTGGCTTCGACTGCATTGCCACTGCCGGGGAGGAGGCCAAGAACCCGAAGAAGTCCATTCCATTTGCCGTTATCGTTTCGCTGGCCATGATCTTCCTGGCCTACTTCGGAGTTTCTACAGTCCTGACAATGATGCTGCCCTATTTCATGCAGGACGAGAAGGCACCTCTACCTCATGTCTTCCGCATAAATGGATGGCACGTGGCCGAATATGTGGTCAGCATTGGAGCGATGTTTGGACTCTGCTCCAGCATGATGGGTGCTATGTTCCCGCTGCCAAGAATCGTGTTCGCCATGTCCAACGATGGACTGCTGTTCAAATTCCTGGGAGACATCAGCGAAAAGTACAAGACTCCTTTCAAGGGAACCATGATCACTGGCTTGCTCACGGGCATTCTGGCCGCCGTTTTCAATCTCAGCCAGCTCGTTAACATGATGTCCATTGGAACACTCCTGGCTTACTCCATGGTGGCCAGTTGTGTCCTCATGCTGCGCTACGAGGTTGACGATCGTCGCGAAAGTCGTATTGTGGCAAATGGACGAGCCATGGTCCTCGAGGAGGATCGTCCCTGCGGCCTCTGGAGGCGGATTTTTAACCTCAATGGTCAGATGGTGCCAACCAAGCAGACTTCCAGGATTGTTACCTACAGTGTGACTCTGTTCTGTAAGTAGAAAGTACACACCAGTTATCTTTTAATAAATGAAAATATGTTTCAATAATTTAATGCTTGGTAAATCAATAATTTAAATGTTGTATGTCTTTTTTTTATAACAAATAACTTTATGATTGACAAGATAATTATTTGAATGTAAATTATTTAATTAAACGATAAGTCGTGACAACAAGAATTTTAAATATTTTAAAGATTTACCTAAAGAAAGTAAAACTCATTAGGGGTTAGAAATAACTTATTTACCAATCACAGATTAATTAATTTTTTTTTTAATTATCTCTTTTTTTCAGCGCTGTGGTGCATGGTGTTCTCGCAGATCCTGACCAAGTTCGAGGAGGATCTGGGAAACGTGACGTCTTTCGATGGTGTTAAGCTGGTGCTGGGCACCGTACCCCTGGTCCTGCTGCTGCTCATAATTTCCCGCCAGCCAACTTCGGGAGTGAAACTGTCGTTCAAGGTGCCCCTGGTGCCCTGGCTACCCGGAATTTCCATTCTGATCAATATCTACCTAATGATCAAGCTGGACATCCTCACCTGGGTACGCTTCAGTATTTGGATTGCCATTGGACTGGCCATCTTCCTGTCCTACGGCATCCGACACAGTCGATTAAGGCAGCGGGAGCAGCGCAACAATTCCATAGCCATGATGCGGGACTGCAGCAACTCAGCTCTGTTGGGCGGCCAGGAGAACTCCAAATACGGCAACGAGGTGCCCCTGATATTGATGCACAGTACATCCTAGGAGTACTTTGATATTTATTTATGCTATACATTTATTCTTTGCCTGCAAGATACGCGACGCGACCCGCGATTCTCATCACCCACATACTCACCTATGTAATTTACACATGCACCTAGCCTCATACCGTAAAATAGGACACCAAAAACTATGAAAAGTACAATAAGCTAGCTAAAAGCAATAAACACGAATATTCTTATGCTATGCTGAGCATTAATTTATTTTGTAGATCGGGATTTTCGCTATAGTTTTTGAAGTCTTGCCGAATTTTTTGCGTTCAGATTTAATGTCTTCTTTTTGACGGTAAATTGTCATCCTCACTCGCAGTACATTTAATTAAATATATAACAATAAAGGTGATAATTAATTGTATTTCTGATTCACGTTTGCCATTCAATTTTGATACGTCAATTTGCTGTGCTTAAAATAATGTTATGTGCTTGACATATACATTCTTGGGTAGAAACTTGACTATTTCTGGTAACAACGATAGATTTAACATAAATGTTCTCTAGGTATACTTGTACTACACTTATAACAATTGCAATGTTTCCTAGGCCTACATCTCTACTTTGGTAGCTTCACTGGCCTTGTGGTCTGTATGCTCCCGTTCCACCGCCTCCTCCTCTTCAGCCTCCTCACGTTGTTCCTCGGAGGAGGTCTGCTCCGCCTCGTCTTCAGCGACTATAACAAACTCGCCGTCTTTCGCCTTTGAATTGCTCTTTTCGCTGGGGCGATTTAAATTCGCACGCGATTCTTGGGAGGCTGCGTAGAAGGCTGAGTTGATACACGTGAACTCCTGCTTCTTGGCTGCGTTAACTTCGCGTGCAATTGTGGAAACCGCACTGGGATTAACGTTCTGTACGTGCTTGGACGAGCCCGGCTGCGAGTGCCCGAATCCCAGGCTGGCGGAAACGGGCTTAACAGTCGGACGCTTGCCCTTTGCAAGTCCTCCGGTGACCATGCTGGCGGAAAATGCAGGTGGTGCCTTGAACCCAATGTGCGGGGCGTTGCAGGTGTCCATCTGGAACACGTGGCGGGTCCGGGTGCTGCCCAGTTGCTTCTCCACGCGCAGCGACTGAGTGGGTACGACGGGCGGGCGGCGGATCACTCGCTGCGTCGTCGGTTGAATCACTTCCGGCAGCTCCCCGGTTGCCGACTGACCAGCTCCACCGCTTGGCTGATCCCCAAAACCGTACATGCGTTCGTGACGCTCGTGTACATTGCCGTCGAAGTCCTTGGACATTCGCCTGCTGGCCGAAGTTTTAGAAACTTCGGGAGCGGGCAGAAGCGGTGCCACATGCACCGCAGCCGGAACGTTCACACTGGTGCCCAGTCCCAGGCGCTGCTTTACATCGGTCAACGTCTGGTGCGCCTGCTGACGGGCCTTTTCAGCGCCCACCTCCAACAAGTAGACCAATTCGTTGCGCCTGGTCATGTGATGGTGTATCTGCTCGCGGATGGGACGCAGGTGCTCGATCACAGCCTCCGCCACACGGTCTTTATACTTGGCCGTGTCCAGAGTGGCGGCCTCATCTACCACCTTCTTGATGGACTCTCCCGTCACCTGGGCATGAATGTTTACTAGATTGCTGACGCCGGCACGCTTCATGGGATTGTATGTTATGTCCGAGGTGAAGTCTGTGACCGCCTTCTTTATCTTCTGCGTGATCAGGTCGGGCGAGTCGCTCAAATTGATGGTGGCCTTGGGGTTTGACTCCGACTTGGACATCTTTTTGGAGGGATCCCGTAAAGACAGTATCCGGGACGCGTCACCGTCTTCGATAATGGCGTGGCACACTGGGAAGGTCTCGCCGTAGCGACCGTTGTAAGTCCTGGCCAAGTGCTGGGCCAGCTGAATGTGTTGTACTTGGTCAGCGCCCACAGGAACATGGGTGGCCCTAAATAAAAAAAAGATTAATATTAACATTAAACATGTTTAGACGATAATAAGATGGGCAATAAAGTAAATTAACTCCAATGTTTGACGCAATCAAGCAGTGGAGTGTTAAGAATCCTGCACCTAATAGGTATCGCGTTAATTTATCGAATAATAATTTAATATTAATTTAAATTTGAATATTAAATTTTTATTTTATTAAATTTATATTATTTAGATATTGAATTGAATCATTTTAATATTAAACTGATGTATCCAATACCAATTTGATTTTACAAGAAAATATTATAAATCATTCAATATCAATTACATATATCTCTTGTATCCAGGGACCGCAAATAATTATTATGAGTTTAAAAAAATTGAAGCCCAAAACAGTCTCCAAAAAAATTGGAAAAAATTGTCATAAGTTAAATTTTCATGGCGAATTCAAAAACAAGATAAATTTTTTTTTTTCAATTTTTACGAAAAAAATTGATTTTTAATACTTAAAATTAATTTTAATAATAAAAAATTAGTAATAATTATTAAGTATCAATTTTTATATAAAAATTACGCAATAACTTTTATTTTCAACTTTTATTATATAAATTGAAAAATAAAAATTATTCGATAACTTTTATTTTACAAATTGGAAATAAAGATTGAATCTATATATATATACATACTTATTATATACCATATATATACATACACATTGGATCTGGCTTCTATGGATCAAAAGATATATTAGATATATATATAGATTCAATCTTTATTTTCAATTTTTAAAATAAAAGTTATTGAATAATTTTTATTTTTCAATTTATAAAATAAAAATTGAAAATAAAAGTTATTGCGTAATTTTTATATAAAAATTGATACTTAATAATTATTACTAATTTTTTATTATTAAAATTAATTTTAAGTATTAAAAATCAATTTTTTCGTAAAAATTAAGAAATAACTTTTATTTTGTAATTTTTTGCTTTTTTAATTATAACCGTTACAGTCCCTGCTTGTATCCATTAAATATTTTTTGTATATTACATTGATATTAATTAAATATGTATAAAATCGATACTACAATCAATATCAAATTGATTTTAAACCAAATATCGAAGTGACACACCAAAAGAAATGTTAATGGAGGTATTAACTTACTTGTAAAGCATAATATCGGCTGCTTGAAGAACCGGGTAGACGTACAGCCCTAAAGGGACATCCTTCAACAGGCGGGACTTCTCCCGGAACTGAGGCAGCTGAGCCAAGCGGGGCATGGTTGTCATCGAACTAAGGATCCAGTTGAACTCGGCGTGCTCGGCAACAGAGGACTGTACAAACAGCGTGCTCTTGGTGGGATCGATACCGCAGGCAAGCAGAGTGGCGGCCATGGTAAAGATGTTTTCGCGCAACAGTGGCGGATTATGAGGCATGGTGATGGAGTGCAGGTCCACGATGCAGACGGTAACGTCGTCGCGGGCATTCTGTAGCTGCACCCATTTTCGCACGGCACCCAGATAGTTTCCCAGGTGCAGGGATCCAGTGGGCTGGATACCACTGAAGATCTTCCGTGGCCAGCGGGTGTTCTGTTTGGGAAATGGGGAAAAACGGACTAGTGTTATGTAAACTAGAACACAATTTGTACTTACCGACTCTGTGCCACTGTCAGTTGACTGAGATTGCTGCTGAGCCTGCGGCTTGCCACCACCAGTCACCTGGGCCGTTGCAGAGGGCGTTCCTGCCGACCGGGTAGCCAATCCCGGCAAGAAACTCCTTGCCTGAATGCAACGACGCTGGAATTGCAGCGCTGTCGGTTCTTTTTTGGCCACTTCAGTCAGGCTAAGACGAAGTTTGCCAACTCGGAACATTGCAATCAGCTAAGAATTTTGTACCCCAAACCTTTGAGTAAAAAAAATGGGAATATTGCCTTGCTAAATGTAAGACTTAAGCCCGAAAAGTTAACTATTTGTTTGAACGGGGCCGAAATTTTGACACTGAGCTACGAGCGTTGCCAGATAGTTTTCTAAAAGCCGGTGCGACAGCTGTTTGCAGTGATGCGCGGCTTGGCTATCTTATCTTTTAATTTATTTTGGCCGTAAAAGAAAAATTATATATTAGGAACATTTTTTGAAAAAAGAATTTAATAAATTGGTGTACAAAATTAAAAAAAAAAGGTCCAAAAAACCGAAGACGCTACTTTTTCCCTTGTTAGGGAAAGTAACTAAAGTTATACCAAACCTAAGTTACCACAAGCTCCAAAAACCCCAGAACTTCAGTTGAGTTGTTGTATAGCTTTAAGCTTTATTCATAGTTTCCAAAACACCTAAAGACATTAAAAACCACAAAACCATTGAACGCGTTTCGAGTCTTCAAACTGTGTTGTGTTTATTCTAACTTAATACACATATTACATTGCAATTAACGCCTGGCGCCACTACCAATATTTATGGTTTCCACGGTAATGTTTCTACATTGAGAGTTACAAGTATGCGGAGACTTTCGTTTCGGCTGTCAGGATAATTTTTCGATTTGTTGGGTTTTAAAAAATTTCAAACGTAGTGCAAAGTTATCCAAAGAACTGGCAGGTATGGGAAAGTGCTTAGAAGTTGATAGGTTTGCCGAAGGCAGCCGCCACATTGGCCTCACGCAGAGCCTCTGCACAGGTCTGAAATAAATAAAAATTGTTTTGTTAGTTTTTATTATTGCAATGCAAAGAACAGGACAAGCTTTAAAAAACATGAATAGTTTTAAAGCTTTTGAAATAAGACCGAAAAGTAATTTTCGAGTTAAAAATAATAAGTCATTTGCTGGGGGGAATTACTTACAGGATGGGCATGGCAGACGCGGGCAATATCCTCGGCTGCTGCTCCGTATTCCATGGCCAGCACAGCCTCGTTGATCAGCTCGCCGGCAACGGGTCCGATGATGTGGGTGCCCAGGACCTTGTCGGTGGCCTTGTCGGCCAAAACCTTGACGAAACCGTCCGTCTCGTTGTTGGTCTTGGCACGGGAGTTGGCTAGGAAGGGGAACTTGCCAACCTTGTAGGCAACGCCCTCCTGCTTCAGCTGCTCCTCGCTCTTGCCCACCCACGCGACTTCGGGGTGCGTGTAGACCACGCTGGGCACGCAGTTGTAGTCAATGTGCACATGACCGCCGTTGATGCCCTCGATGGTGATGAGGCCCTCATCCTCGGCCTTGTGCGCCAGCATGGGTCCGTGGATGCAGTCGCCGATGGCATAGATGTTGGGCACCACCGTCTGGAAGGTTGCATTGACCGGAATCCTGCCGCGGTCGTCCTTGACAATGCCCACGGCCTCCAGACCCAGACCCTCGGTGTACGGACGTCGTCCAACACTGACCAGAAGAGCGTCGCACTGGATCTCCTCCTTCTCGCCGGACTTGGCGTTCTCCACAGATACGGTGACGTTATCGCCGCTGCGCGAGGCGGCCGTTACCTTGGTGCCCAGCTTGAATTTCAGACCCTGCTTGGTAAGCACCTTCTGGAAGGTCTTTGAGACCTCGTTGTCGATGCCCACTCCGCCGATCGTGTCCATGAACTCAATGGCGGTAACTTCGGCGCCCAGGCGCGACCACACCGAACCCAGCTCCAGGCCAATGACGCCAGCGCCGATCACAACCAGGTGCTTGGGCACCTTTGCCAGCTTCAGGGCGCCAGTGCTGCTCACAATCACCTCCTCATCGATCTGTTAGAGGAAACCCATGAATAAGTTAAAAATTCGTTTAAGCTTCAGTTCTTTTCGACACTTACTTCGATTCCCGGGAAGGGGGTAACCTCTGATCCGGTGGCAATGAGGATGTTCTTGGTCTTGACCGTCTCCGTGGAGCCGTCGGATTTCTTGACCTGCACCTCGTTGGGATTCACGATGCTGCCGAAACCTGTCAGCTGTGTGACCTTGTTCTTTTTGAAGAGCATGGCAATGCCGCCGGTCAGGGCCTTGACAGCGTTCGTCTTCTGACCCATGAGCTTCTCCAGATCGAGGCTGACCTCGCCGACGTTGACGCCACGGCTGGCCAGATCGCCGGAGTGGGCCATGTGATAGTAGTGGGAGTTGTTCAGCAGCGCCTTGGAGGGGATGCAGCCGACATTTAGGCAGGTGCCGCCCAGAGTAGCCTCCTTCTCCACACTGACCGTCTTCATGCCCATTTGGGCGGCCTTGATGGCGGCCACATAGCCTCCCGGTCCGGATCCAATCACCACGATGTCAGCCTCGTGGGTAGTGGAGTAGCAGCGGGCATTGAGGGCGCCAAGAATGGCGGCATTGGTGCGCAGAGGAGTCTGGAAAGACAGCAGATTACTACACGCTGTGGAACCTTATCATTTATCACGCCAGTCGCACGCATTTCGCATTAATCTCCGACCGCCTATCAGCTGATAATTGGCCCAATTAGCAACCTTGAAAACGGGGCCAAACAAATCCCTAAGACACCAGCGATTATTCTAAAGCAATCATATGAGCATTGCAGGTGATCTGAGTGCATTTTCCGAGCTTTTCCTGACTGATTCACGGCCTCCTCTGTGAGGTTAGATTGCATAACTTGGGGGGCGACCGACACTTGGGGAATCGTTAATTTCACCCGATCTTTACCTTGGCTACTGCCGACACAACATGTCGAAGCGTGAACTGCATAGCTGGTGTGGGCGAGTTATGAGGATAATCGTTATTTAACTACTAACACAACACTAATTTGATGTGTTTTTCCGACTGTTTTTCGTGTTGTGGATCTCGGAGCGGTCGCAGGGCTGGCGATGCACAGTCGATAGTGGTCATATGATGGGAAAGGACTTATCGATAGTTTTTGGGAAAATTCCATGGTGTTGTATTGTGTTTGATATAAAATTTTAATTGATATCTGAGATTTTTTTTAAAAAAGTATTTTGAATCGGTACATAATATTACTAAATAAAACTCTAATCTATAAAAATTATCGGTTGTTATTTCTAAATACTATAGTATCGTTTATGTATAGAATGTATCGTATCATTAACCAAATATTGATATATTTGATGATTGTTGTATGCAACTACTTCGGTTAAAAATATGTTTTTTGATAACTTACAAAGAAAGGGCAAAAACAATAAACGTTTTTTATTTGGTTCAACTTGGTTTATTAAATATACATGGAATGTTTGATTGTTAACAGCCTATTCGACTTTTGTAGTATCGGTGCTTAAAAATATATATCCATTGAAAATAAGTAGAATTGAATAAGTAAAATTTGCCACTTAGTAATTTACCAACATAACAAACATAATTCGAAAATATGTGACATATATTCTCTTAGAATGAATATTCGATTGCTAATATTGCAACTCTGTGCGGTATTCTCAATATGCCGTATTTTCCAGCACACTTTTGGTATTTTCGCTGTGCGTTCGCTTCGCGTTTTCGCTGCTGGCTCAGTTTTTCGCTAGCTGTCGCAATGCGGTCACACTGGTTCGCGGACACAACAAGATGGCGAGACTTGCCCCCGAAATCTGTTAGAAAACGCCACAAGAGCAGATAATTAATAGAGTTTTCGAGCAGAAAAGAGTCCACCGCAGTGCCGGGCAGACGAGGCGCATTTTGCAGAGTGTAAGCTAGGCCGGCGTGGCCAGAGAGTCGCTACAGGCGATACCTTCTGCTGGCCTTGCCTTGTTGTTGTTGCTCTTGCTGCGCCTGTGTGTGTGTGTGTGCGTGGGCTGGCAAGACTACCAAGAATCGCGAGGTTCTCGGGATTTTCAAGATGATGAGCAACTACGGCAACATAATGGACTCCCCAAAGTCATCGCCCCACGGCGGCGGACGATCACCCGTGGTTGCGCGCCAGGACTCGTCCGGCACCCTGAAAACGACCATTTCGCTTGGCAAAACCCCAACGATCATTCACACTGGGCCATTCTACTCGATGAAGGAACCACCCGCCAAGGCGGAACTCACCGGCGACAAGGATCTCATGACCGAGTACGGACTGCACCACACACTGACCAAGTTCAAGGAAAAGAAGTTCAAGGAGTCGCTGGCCTCGTTCCTGCAAAACATCCCGGGCATCAATGACCTCATCACGCATCCCGTCGAAAACAGCACGCTGCGGAGTGTTATCGAGAAGCCCCCGATTGGCGGCAAGGAGCTCCTACCATTGACGCCCGTGCAGCTGGCCGGATTCCGCCTGCATCCCGGACCGGTGGGTGCCTCTTTTTTTATTTCTTTCGCTCACCATGCACTACAGGAGTCGAATATTTGGCTCTTAAATGTTACTTTTCAAACAAAGTTTCGTAATCCATTCACATTAGATTGTTTCCCCAAAATTATTTCCTATACTAACTCCCCCTTTTCAATTAAATTATTATTCTTTATAACTCTTTTATTATTTATTAATAACTCTTTAAATTTTTCGATCTATTCACGCAATTTGGGTTCGTCAATGTGATGCTTTTTCATTTAAGTTTCATTGTTAGTTGCTAATTTAATTGTGTTTGCATGAATCTAATAACTTTGCAAGGTTTGGTGACTCAAAGTTTGGTTTCAAAATATGAAGTTTTTTTATGTATTCAACCAAAAAATATTTATTATAATATTCTTTTTTAACTTTTTGTTTACTTTTGTAATCGGTATCATTCAACTGTTTTCTAAAATGTATTTTTTTTTGGGCTTGGGAAGGTATACACGCAGGCCAGAAACCAGATAAAATTTCATGAAAAAATTTAATTTTCAATTTGTTTTTACTAACATCTACTTGTACATTGTTAATTTAACCTATTCCTGTTTCCATTGTAGCTGCCGGAACAGTATCGAACCACATATGTCACACCTGCGCGAAAACACAAAAACAAACACAAAAAGCACAAACACAAAGACGGCGTAACCACGGGACAGGAATCAACGCTGCTCGGTGAGTCGGCTGCTGATAACTCGCTTCATGACCCCATCCCCTTAACCAATGATTCCATCTTGTAGATTCGGCCGGCCTGGAGACTTACGAGAAGAAGCACAAGAAGCAGAAGCGTCACGAGGACGATAAGGAGCGCAAAAAGCGCAAAAAGGAGAAGAAGCGCAAAAAGAAGAACCAGAGTCCGGAGCCGGGAGTGGGACTGCTGCCCGGAGGAGCGGGCTTGGGTGGAGCAGTGGGTGTTATGGGCGCCACCAATCTGGGATCGCTGGGCGGAGGTCCTGGCCCCGGAATGTCCAACCTGGGGGCGAGCATGGGTCCCGGCGTTGTGGGCGGCATGAACAGCTTTTCCTCGTCCATGCAGATGCAGCAACAGCATCAGCAGCAAATGCCCATGCAGCAGCAGCAGATGTCAAGCGGCGGTCTCCTCGGATCTGTGCTGGGCACGAGCGGCGGTCCAGGCAGCGGAGTGAGCGGAGGGGGAGGCGGGGGTGTGGGGAGCGGCGGCGGCGGTGGCAGCCTGCTAATGTCGCAGTTCTAGGCAGGATCCTTTAGCAAAATAGACTTGGCTCATTACCTCTCATCAGCAGACGCACCCCAGATGGCAACACAAACAAAAAACAAAATAAACGCAGACGGACTTGCAGCGGTCCTCTAAACGCAATTTTCTCGATATCGTTTCGTGTCTAGTTATTAATTTAACATTATTGTAACTGTAAAATAGTTTATTTCTGTAATTAGCCAACAATTTTTCGTTCGTTTTTCGCGGTAGCCTAATGAGATTTATTCAAATGCAAGTTATGGTACAAATCGCACGCTAGACGTTTTCGCTCTCGATTCCAGCTCTTCCCCTTTATTTCCTCCCGCCATCCACAGAAGCGCTTTTTCGCACCCCTTTGTTTGCTCACCAAGCTTGTAATATGTAGGGTCAGTATTTCATTTATATTTCTGCAATGGTTTGTTCTTCCAGCAAGTTTAAAAACACAAAAAAAAAGCTGAGATTCAACAAAATAAAAATGCCTCTACTATAAGTAATTAATTTTAGTGATTAGGCGCATAAAACAATAAAAACCAAGCATACAAATGATGAACTGAGTTTTGTGTTTAATAGGAGAGATGATTATTTGGAATTGGTTTAACAAAAGTTATTAAAATATTTTGTTTTCAAAATTGGAAGGTAGGATCTTATATTGTTAAAAGCGATATATGGATTAATAATTTTTGTGTAATTCCAGAATGTTTCGATTTCGGAATTCCCAAATTTAAAAGTGGCGCCAAACACTTGTTAGCACTCTGTTAACTTTAACATGGCCCCGTAACAGCTTCGATGAAATCTGACAGATAGTAACATAACTTTCACAGGGTCAACAGCTGTTTTATTTCTCAGGGAGTTCCTCGCAATCAAGAGCCAATTAATAAATTAAAAGTGATGAGTAAAAGATAGCCGTCACTGAAAAGCCATAAATGAGTTCTAACTTTGCCACCAGTTCGCGAAAGGCAGTTATGACCATGTATAAGCAAACGTGCACCAATCTCCTGGAATTGTCCTCCGCCAAGGTGACCGAGTGGATATCGAGCTTCGATTCGGTGATAACCGACTGCGATGGTGAGTGGGTGGTGGGTGGCTTACTTTCCCGTATTAAAAGGGTTCTCCCAGGAAGTTGCGTTACATAAAGATATGTGTATCCATCCGAACATCTGCCCAAAATACGTCAGCAAGCGAATAGTTTTGTGTGTTGTTGCCGCGTCGCAAATTTCAATATTTCAATGTCAAAGAGTGAAGTGATTAATATGCCTGGCAGGTCGACTTTCGAATGCCCTCTTTAATAAAAATGTGATTGCTAGAACAACAAACTTTTTAACATGAAAAAATATAATTTTGTATGTAAAAATTTTAAAATAAAAATTAAAAAAAATTGAATTATTTGTTTAAAATATACCAGGCTTTTAGTGAGAAAAAAATCTTGCCGCACGTTTCTACTTAACTATTCATGGACCCTGAAATTTAAAAACGAACAAAAATGTTTACCTTTTTGAAAATATGATACCATATTTTAAGCATTAGGCATTTGATAAAATTATTTGTATTTTGAAAATATCTTAGTTCCTTAAAAAAACCAACTTCAGGCAGTTCTTCTCGCACTATTATTACATCATAAAGGCAAATATCCACAAAAAAACAAAAGAAAAGCATGTTGTAGGTTTTCCTAATTTTTTTACTCCCACATTTTCTTTTTTCTTAATTTTAGTAGTTTTATTTAGAAAGTAGTTTAATGTATGTACCAAGATTTGAAAAAAATGCAGATACAAGAAAATACCAAAGATAAAATTTGTTAGTAAAGACTTTTGAAGTAATGTTTTATTTATTAACCCTAAGAGCAGTTCTCGGCTATCTTACTAATACCATTATTTCCTGTCCCAGGTGTCCTATGGATCTACGGCCAGGCCCTGGAAGGCTCGGTGGATGTGATGAACCAGTTTAAAGCCATGGGAAAGTCGATATACTTTTGCACGAACAACTCGACGAAGACCCGTTCGGAACTTCTGAAAAAAGGCGTGGAGCTGGGCTTCAAGATCAATGAGAACGGCATTATATCGACGGCTCATGCCACAGCCGCATATCTGAAGCGCCGAAACTTCAGCAAGAGGGTATTCGTGATCGGAAGCGAGGGAATCACCAAGGAACTGGACGCAGTGGGCATTCAGCACACCAAGGTGGGGCCGGAACCCATGCAGGGTTCGCTGGCCGAGTTCATGGCGACGCATTTAAAACTTGACACGGACATCGGAGCCGTGGTCGTGGGCTTCGACGAGCACTTCAGCTTTCCCAAGATGATGAAGGCCGCCTCGTACCTGAACGATCCGGAGTGCCTGTTCGTGGCCACCAACACGGATGAGCGATTTCCGATGCCGAACATGATAGTTCCCGGCAGCGGGAGCTTCGTGCGGGCAATCCAAACCTGTGCGGAACGTGATCCGATCGTGATCGGAAAACCCAATCCGGCCATTTGCGAATCGCTGATCAGCCAGAACAAGATAGATCCTGCGAGGACCCTTATGATCGGCGATCGAGCCAATACGGACATCTTGCTCGGCTCCAATTGCGGATTTCAGACCCTGCTCGTGGGCTCCGGAATCCATCAGCTGAAGGACGTGGAGCAGTGGAAACTAAGTCAGAATCCCGAGGACAAGAAGCTCATACCGGACGTGTACCTGCCCAAGTTGGGGGATCTGCTGCCAGCGATTGTGGACAGCCTGACAGGCTCGAAATGATTGAGATTTGAATTTGTAGCCAATATTCAGTAATCAGTATGTAGTGCAGACATGTGTTTGTATCGTAGTACATTCACTGGCAATAGACAGGAAAACTTAAAAATAACTAACGCAAATTTATAGTACAATTTATACTAAAGAATAAAATATTAAAAAAAAAGTGTAGAAGCGTTTTCTCAGACGGATGACTTAATCGATATGCCCGACTCAGTTTAATTTTCGAGCGAGCTTTGCGCGAAAGGGAGATAGCAGGTTCTCCCCAATCATCGTGAATTGAAATGAGCAAGTCCGCCGCCAATTTAGTCGGGTCGCAAACATTTGCCGAAGCGGTCTACTGAGCAGCATGTCCAGAGGCGGGGCTATCAACTTGACGGACTGGACTAAGGAGCAGGTTGCCGAATGGCTCCAAAGTTTCGACACTGTTCTCTGCGATGGTGACGGTGAGTTTGAATGGCGGAAAAAGGTGGTATAAACAAATTGCTTGCATTCTGAAGCTTTTCTCAGAGTTGTCATTCTCACGGAAAAATATAGCAAATATCGGTGGAAGTTTACATGGGTAAAGCTCTAGCGATCACGGTTACCAGAAGTTTATGTTCAAAAAATTATAGAAGCTATACACAAAGTTTTTTTCACAGTCATGCGAATGAAAGTCTTACAATTAAAATTAACATTACAAAATAAATTTGTTTTGAGTTAGGCAATTGTTATTTTTGCAGGTTCTTAACAATACTATAAAGCCGTTTCATTTTTGTTTACTACTTTTTAATTATCACTTGCTTCATTTAAGAAATGTGTGTGATTTTCCCTGTGAACATTATCTTAAGCCCTGTGTAAATTCTTTAGTTTTGAGTTGTGTATCAATTTACAAGTTTATAGCCATACAATTATGTCAATGTAAAACATACTCTTGTAAATTGTATCACTTAAAAATTTATGTTTTTTAATGTTTACATTTTACCAAAGGTAAAAAGGAAAAGATTTTTTTAAATTATTTTCGTTTTGCATTTATTATTGATAGTAAACGTTTTAAATTTGACTTGGTAATCTGACATTCATAGCAACTAATTCATGTGAATCACCTAAACCAGATCTTTCCTTGGCAGCTTTGAGACAGTTTTTCAAAGCTAATACACAAAGACACTTTATTATCATTTGATGATAAAAGACCCCAATTACAAATTTGCTCAGAAGAAAAACTAAAAAGAAGTTTTCAAGTTGAAAAAGAATGTGAACTACTATTTAGTGATTTTTTTAATATTTGATATGTTCACTACTTAAGATTCCTGGTCAAGATTGTTTGTTGGCAATGTGCCTAATCGAACGTACTTACATTACGAGCAGCTGAGTGACCGACCGTAGCATATTAAATATCCATTTAACGCACAGGCACCATTTGGCAGGATGACACGGCCATCGAGGGCGCTCCGGATGTCTTGAATGCCCTGCAGCAGCGCTTGAACAAACGGGTGTACCTGATTACCAACAATGGACTGAAGACGCGCCAGGAGCTCTTTGAGCGCTCGCAGCGACTGGGCTTCCATTTACCCAGCGACAGACACATCATCTCGCCCACGGCGGCCATTGCAGATTATTTGACCGGGAGGCGGGAGTTCGATAAGACGCGGCACAAGGTCTATGTGGTGGGCAACGCGGCCATCGCGCGGGAATTAAGGCAGCATGGAATCGACAGCTTCGGAGCCGGCGAAACGGAGCTACTGCCTCCGGGCGACAAGTGGCAGGACTTTGTGGCTCGCGAATTCGAGGACCCGGCGGCGGCCAGGGACGTGGCTGCGGTGGTCGTGGGCTGGGACGAGTACTTCAGCTACTGCAAGATGGCCCGCGCCTGTCACATCCTGTGCAGCAATCCCGGCTGCGCGTTCCTCGTCACCAACCGGGACGCCGTGCACAAGTACCCGGCCTTCTGCATTCCCGGCACCGGCGCCTTCGTCGCGGGCATCGAGGCCTGTGCGGAGCGAGAGGCCCTCGAGATGGGCAAGCCAAATCCGTTGGTCCTTGAACCGCTCACGAAGTCCGGGGAACTGCGAACCGAGCGAACGCTTATGATTGGCGACTGGTAAGCGGGCTTAACCCGTCCCTTTGAGCGCTCCCCTAATGAGAACCTTGCTTCTTTTGTAGCCTCAAAATAGACGTCGGTTTCGCCAGTAATAGTGGCATGCTGTCGCTTTTGGTGGGCACTGGTCGGTACAATAATCTCCCGGAGGTCCGGCGGGAAAAAGGCAAGCTGCCGCTGCCAGATGTTTATCTGCCCCGACTGGCCGATCTGCTGCCCTACTTGTGAGCCATAAATCCACCCGATTCCCGGACAGCTATCGGCCATAATCACGTTATCAACTTCTTAATTCGACTTTTATTTGGCTTTAGTTCGTGTGTTTACACATAGTTGTACATATTTTATCTGCCGGCAAGTAACACTCTCTGCTGGATATTTTCGTAATATATTAGAGTGGCTGAAAAACTGCAGGGTCGGAAAGTTATCCATGATCAAAACTATATTAAGCTAAACACTTTATGTTGATTTACAGAACACGTTAAAAAACGAGCACATTAAAGCGAAGTTTAAAAGCAGAAAAATCTATTTTTTGTACATGCTTCACTAACCATTCGCAGTTACTGAAACTTCTATAATTGTCTCTGGATAAAATTCAGGCCCGTACACTTTTCTTGAATTAACAATATAGGCTGTGTGACTTATTGAAATACTGGCTTACCCACTATTACTTGCCGGGACAGAAAAGCAGAGACGGCAATTTCCTAATACTTTTTCCCTATTTCTCGGTGATCCCATGTAAAAGTTTTAATTTGCAGTGAACTAAACGAATTCCTCAACTAAGTGCAAATTCCTTGTGCTGTGACATTGAAATTAACATTAACCATTTAAAATACACGCAAAACCGAAACTAGTTAACTTATTGGTTAGCTGTACAACAAATTTACAGGACACCCCTGGCTTTTATCAAATAGTTGGCAGAATCACGCAAGGAAGTATCACAGAAGATCCGATTTTGATATATATTCTTGAATGAGAAGACAAACTTTTTGTTTGGAAAATGCATTAATTAATCAATGAAAATGTTTCTTCTTTTAAAGCTCGATATTTAAGGGGTGTCCGTTTTAGCAAGTCCTCTGATATGTTAGAGTTGAGTTCTGTTTTCTGTACTTTAGCAATTTAGCGCGAAAAGAAATCACAAAAAGCGATGTCACGTTTGGTAGCAAATCAGAATAGAGCGTAACTGAATCCGAAAAGTTAAACCCATCCCCTGCTTTTCCCGATTCCCCAACTTCTTTCCCCCCCACTCGTTTTTTTAAGCTGGTCGAAAGCGGGGCATCAGCTGCACGTTGTTACCAAATCCATTTGAAATGGCCAAGTTAACGGGCTGACGCATCGTTTACCACCAACCTTAGTTGTCTGTTCGCTGCCGGCGATCGCTTGCTGATTTCTTCGAGGACCCTGTCTAAATTGCTAAAAGGTAACATCAGGTGCTCGCGTCCGGAGTGTTAGCCAGAATCCGCGCACTCCGCGACAGGTAGCCGTACCAGTAGAACACGTTGATCAGGATGAAGAGCAGCGGGAAGACGATCCGCGAGGCGCGGTCGATCTTCGACACGGAGTTGTACTGTGGCGTGCGTTTGCCCTTCCGGCGGGCCTCCATCTCCTCGCGGCGGTAGTAGGACATCCTGCGGCGTCCTCCGCTGGAAGGACTGGTCCGTGAAGCCTGCGCCGCAGCAGCCTGAGCCGCGGCAGCCGCGGCGGATGTGGACGGAGCCTCGTTGACCCTCAGCTGCGTCTGCTCGTCGTCCTCCTCCCCGTCGGAGTCCGCCCGCGGCGGCTTTCTCCTCCGCCGCCAGTCGAAAAGGCCCAGGAGCTTCATGGTCCACAGGCCATGTCGCCGGTTGCGGGGACCACGACTCCGGGCGGCCAGCATGCCCAGCCGACTGCTGGGTGGCGGAGGCATGTTGATGGCGCACATGGAGAGCGGGATCACCTCGTAGATCTTGGAGTCCGTGCTGCCTCGGAAGTCCGAGGTCAGCGGCTCCGTCTCCGATTCGCCGGAGTCCGAGTCGAGCTCCTCGATGATGAAGTAGCACTCCCCCGATCCGTACTTGGTGTAGTAGTGCACCACGGCGAACTGCAGGATGGTGGCGAAGATGAAGCCGAACGAGAGGAACACGAAGAAGTCCAGCGCCGTGGGGTAGGACACCTTGGGCAGATCCGTGCGCGCCTCCAGTCCGAGGAAGGTCATCGTCAGCACCGTGGTGATCCCGAGGGAAACCCTGTCCGCGGTGGCCTCGCGGTTCAGCCAGAAGGACACCCAGCTGAGGACCACCAGCAGGCAGCAAGGACCGTACACCTGGATCAGGAAGTTGCCCATGTGCCGCTGCAGGTGGAAGTTCACCATCAGCATCGAGTACTCCGCTGGAAGGACAAGAGATTGATAAAATTATATGGTGATTATGATCTTTTCTTCATTTAACATTTTAAAACTAAAAGTTATTTAATTAATTACGATTTTTAATAGTTTTTCTTACTAAAAACATGAATAAAAGAGGGTAACGTCAGTAAAGGAAATTACTTATTACAGTATGTTATCACAAATTAAATTAAGAACACTTATAAATGTTTAATTACTGTGGACAGAATTTAAAAACGTTAAGCGTTAATAAAGTTTAAAAATATTTAAATACCTATAAAAGTTTTCATTTAGGAGAGTTTAGTAACTTTAAACGTTAATAAAGTTAAAAGAAAAGGTTAAAAAGATGTGAACTTCTATAAAAGTTTCAATTTAATCACCGTCATAAAACAATAATATCAGTTTCTATTTTTTGTTTTTAAAAATGAGCTAGACTTCTATAAAAGTTTCAATTTAATCACCGTCATAAAAGCATAATATTAGTTTCTGTTTTTCCGCGAACGCTTAGCCATAAACTCACATGGATGATTGGTCTCCAGGGTGATGGTTCCAGTCAGACCGGTGGATGACCCCGCTCCACCAGTCGCATCCCTCCCCGTTCCGAAGGCTCCCTTGTCCAGCTTGAGTCCTGTGCCGCGAACATGCTGGTTCTTCGCCGCCGGACCGGCGAAAGTGGTCAGCACCTTGCTGGTGGGCCTTGGGGGATCCTTGTTGCTGAACGGACGACGTTGGGGCCTCGGAGCAGCCGCCTTATACACAATGTCCGTCAAATTGCCGGCAGGACAATCGACCAAATCGAATTGCGACAGCTTCATGTCCTCGGCGATGGCGACGGGGGGTCGCTCTTTGTTCCAGCGGTAGATGACATCGGACGTGGTGTAGCCAACTGTTTCGGTTGTGTTTGCAGATAAACGCAACAAATTGTACACAAATGTCATTTAAAAGGGTGGCGTGTGGAACTCAGAGGACTCCTGAACTGTGACTTTTCAGCTGGGATTTCGAATTCGCCTAAATCACATAAATTTACTGGGTAGAGATGGGTTATATGAAGATTTTAATACCCTATTACAATTAAGAGATAAATCTGCTCTTCCAAATTCAAAATGTTACCTCATAGAATCCAGTAAATTGAATTACTATGGTTCATCAATCAGTACCAAACAAAACAAATAAAGCCCAAGTAACCTCTACATTCGGCTGACATTTTGCAAGCCAACACAAGTTCATTTAATCTTTTATTGAACCCATTCCACCAAGCAATCACTACCGCCCAACCACCGCCCCACGTGTACTTAGTTATTTTATTTTGATGCTGTCCCGAAATGCACAAATTGGCAAACATTGCGCCATATGTGGGAGAACCTGCCACCCAAATCCGCATTCCCCATTCCTCAAACCCCGCAATCGCTGACTCTGGCAATATTTTCAGTTCGCTCGCATCGAATGGGAAATTGTCAACATTAATGCAAGGGAGTGGGGGAGTTGATGGAGGGGTAATTGAATTCTTGACTGCTTCCATCCAGCATTACTCACAACAAATCGGAAGTAATAATACATTTCTAGGTTCGCTGGCGGCTTGTTCATTTGCGATAAGCTGCAAAGGCAGTTACTTGGTTTCGGAGAAATGGCAGCGGACACCTTTCCCATCATCAAAAAATGTATCTAAATTTTAAACTAGTACTTTTTTGCCTTCTAATATTTTGCATACTTTCTGCTTTGCATTTGAATAGTGGGAAATGGAAAAGAATTTTATGAAATGCCAGAAGGTGTGCCCTTTTTCTATGTGGGCAATAATGAAGATGTCATGGGCAGGCAAAATCTGGTGCAAAAACAAAAGGAGCGAGGGGTATTTCTTTGGATATGGTAATTGGAAGGGATTTCAGCATGCTGAAATGCTACAAAATTGCAAGAGAGATGTGTTCGCATATTTAATCACATCAATTGTTTAACTTATTTAAAAACGTCGAAGCAACAAAAAAACCAGAAAGTGAAAAAAACACTTGGAAAATCGGATACAACATTTTTTTTTTGTTTACTGTTGGACTTTTGGACAATATAAAGATATACTCGCAAAAAACAAAATAAAGAGAAAAAAGTAAAAAAAAATCGGGGTCTTGTGCAGCAGATTTTATAATTTAAAAAAGATGGCCGTTAACTTAATAAATTAATTCCAGAAATTCATTTCTTAACCGACGTCAATTTACAAGCCAGCCATTACGCAATGATTGGTTCGCAGTGCTTCTTTCGCCAGTGAGCAAAATTAAGTATTTAAAACTATTGTTTGTTTTGTTTTTTTTTTGTGGTTAAGTGGAAACGAAAAAATGTTTTGTTTGTTTCTAAAATTAGAGGTTTAACTATACACATATGAGTAAATATTTAATATCTGTTGTTTGTTTTTAGGTTTATGTTACATTGTTGAGTCATATAATGCTAAAACCAGACCAGAAAATATGTTTCTATGTTTTGTTTTACGTATTCAACCCCAGACATAATTATAAACATACTTCATAAGTCATTCTCTCAACTTTGTCTAGCTTTTATACATGAATTGAAAGAAGTGTAAGCAATCACATTTCCTCCGGGTTTTCCGTCCTTATAAACTTGAATTGTAACTTAAAAAGTTTTGAGAGACTGGCGCGGTCCATGACAATGAGTAAAAAAAAAAAAAGAAAAATACCAAATATGTACGTCGAAACAAGTGTGAATATAATTAACAAAGCATCGTAAATATGCAAAAGGCACTGTAATAGATGCCATTATGTAGTGTCATGGAACTCACATCTGTGTTTGCATATAACTTAGTAGCTCTCCGGTTCTTAGCATATATAAACACCTCCCAGTCAAGGCCACCAACATCAGTTCTCGAAGCCCACAAGAACCATCATAACCATGCGTTACCTCCTGACTCTTTCCCTGGTCGTCCTAGCCGTGCTGATCCTCCACACCAACGAGGGCTCAGCCGCATCGAGCACCACCACCACCGACGCCACAACCACCACCACCACCACCACCACCGACGCCACCACCACCACCACGGATGCCACCACCACAACCACTGATGCCACCACCACCACGTCCAAAAAGAAGCACCGCCACCGCCGTCGTCGTGTCATCATCCGCAGACGCGTAGTCATCCGGGAAGGAGGACGCAGACGGAGGGCAGGAGCCTCCGGAACGAGCGGAGGTGTTCGCCGGCGAGTTGTCGTCCGAGTTCGCAGGACAGCCAACTAAAGTTGCACATTCTTTTTAATTCCAATTGCCAGCAATTTAAAATAAATCAGTCAATCATACTTTCGCACATATGCTATTACTCCAATAGATATGGAAACTTTATCTTAATGATGTACACAGTGAGCAAAGGGTGACGACCTTAGTCTACCAGGGTGCAGATGGAAAGATTGCTCTAGCTTCAATAAATAAGTTTCAATTAACATATGCCATTCATATATCCATGTCACAAAGTATGTATATTTTTGAACAGCATTAATATTATATTAGAGTGGATAATTACATGCCAGTCTGTTGGTCTGTCTGCGCAAGTCATTCAGTTTACAAGTTATTTCTCTCTAACTTTACCAAAAGACTTTACCACAAGCTGCCATGCCTAGAAAATTATGAAAATCAACTCCAAATTTTATAAATATTTTAGATCCCATGTGCAACTGCTCAAAGTATTATTCATTGTTTTGTATAATAGTAGGGGTTTTGGTTTTTCTGCCTATAATTGGTGCCGTCGAACAATATATTATATTATATATGAGCACACCAAGTTACGATCTTTAAATCTTTGATTAAATATTTGCTTCCTTAAATACGTTGTGGGAAAGGGAAAGTATCTATTAAAATAAAAATTAACTCCGTTTTAATAATTATTTTTATAATTAATCAATAACACAATTGTTTCTATTTTACCTTTCAGTAAATTGTGTTCAATAAATAAGTTATGTTATCAATTTTTGTTGCATTTATATTATTAGATATTCGTAATCAATTTAAACGGTGTTACTTTCAATAACAAAAATACTAATTAATACAATTACAAAAAGAATATTAAGTGCGAGGAAAAATATAAAATGTGAATATGTCGGTTCAAAAATTTTAATCAATTCTTTTTAAGTTATTAGGAGCACAGATATATACCAGCTGGTGAATCAATAACAAAATAATATTCCCTTTGATTTATAAAATGTAGAAAATTGTTTAAAATAGAAGCGAACGCACCCTTGAAGTTTTTACTAAAATCTATTTAATATTAACATAAAATCTATTTAAAACATTTTGTTTAAAATTGTTACTCTGCATGCTAAGCCCTTTCAGAATACCTAGATCTTGTTCTTGTGCTTCTAAACATTTCTTCTAGACCTTTATTATGAAACCAATCTTATGATAAGAGAAAAAATGTTGATGAAATTTTTAAATGTATTAAAAACTGATTTTATTGATTTTTATATCAACATCGGCTTGCTGGCTTATAGGATATGTAAAAGATAGGGATTTCTATTTTTACACCCTCTGAACTATGCTCTTAGCAACACTATCAAATAAAGGTCTCAACAATCAAGGAATGCGTATATTTGGACTTGCGTAAAAGTAAAAATCCAATTACGTACAAACAGGTGTAATCTGACTTGACAAAGCATTGTAAATACTATAAATAGAACAAAAGTCATATAAATTTAGATCTGAGGAACACATCTGTGTTTGCATGGAACTTAGTACCTTTTCGGGGCTTAGGATATATAAACCCCGCTCAGTCAAGGCCATCAACATCAGTTCTCGAACACCACAAGAGCCATCATCACCATGCGCTACCTCCTCACTCTTTCCCTGGTCGTCCTGGCCGTGCTGATCCTCCACACCAACGAGGGCTCAGCCGCATCGAGCACCACCACCACCGACGCCACCACTACCACCACCACCACCACCACTGACGCCACCACCACCACCACGGATGCCACCACCACAACCACTGATGCCACCACCACCACGTCCAAAAAGAAGCACCGCCACCGCCGTCGTCGTGTCATCATCCGCAGACGCGTGGTCATCCGGGAAGGAGGACGCAGACGCAGGGCAGGAGCCTCCGGATCGACCGGAGGTGTTCGCCGGCGAGTTGTTGTCCGAGTTCGCAGGACAGCCAACTAGAGTTTCCAGTCTAAGAACTGACCGATCTTTGCCATCTTAAATTTACCATTTCTATTTAGCTAAATAAATAAAAAGCGTTTACACAAATTTGATAAACCCTTTCAAAGAAAAAAATGAGTTCCTCTGCCCGGCATTTAAAACAATGAGAATATAAATAATAATAAAAAACTGAAAAAGGGCCTAGAGCTGGTTCTGATTTAAAATAAAAACTGCATCAGAGCAATGTCAGACTGTGTTAAAATCTATACCAATGTTTTAAATGAGTTGCTGACCAATGTTTATATTGAAGAAAAAATACGTTTTGGATGAAATCAAAGCTTTCCGTGCTATTTATTTGTTGCCGGGACTAGTTTTAACTAACTAGTGTTTATTAAAAAAATGTTGATATGCCTCTCTTGCACATGAATTTTGGACCATGAATTTTTAAGTTCACAACCCCCATCACCGAATCGGATTTACAAAAGGGCACGAAACAACCAAACGTTAACGCCCTGTCGCTCGTTTAGCATGAAGGCCTTTTATACAAATCTAGACGGACCACGGACCGCACATTTTCTGTACTTGTGGACGGCTTCAATCTCACCGAACACCCCAAACATGCCGGCGAAACTCAAGGATGCGTCCTGAGGCCATTACCTTACTCTATTTTCACCTCGGACCCACCCGAGTCTATAAGGCGGCTACTTGCACGCTGACGCCCTGCGCTAAATGCACATGCGAATTTACAGACCAATTACAAGAATACTTACGAGTGCATACTATATATAATATTTGAAACAATGGGCTCAGAAGAGGCGCATGCGAGTCAACACGCACAAAAGCGCCACAGTCACATTCTCGAATGGTGCCACCTTCAGCTGCACCAGGTGCACTGGACCGCCCGAGTGTTTCCTAATGACACGTTACTCCCCCAGTCAACTTTCGCACCTACTTGGCGGTTATGCTGGCCAGAGCACCCGCTTCTGACCCATTACATATATACCGAAAGTAGGGAAAGCCATTTCGCGCAAGAATTAAAATACGTATGCATGAGTGCTATTTTATGATCCGAATTACGGGGCACAACCAACTTTTCTCTGTATAAATGCCGATACCCAAAAACTAATATTAGTGGTATTTCATTACCGAGAAAAATAAAGTATTCAATGGTTATTAGCAAATAATATTAGGACTGAAATGAAAAAAGCCACAGTTATCGTTTACTGTAACTTAATTTTACAGATGTAATCAATTATTTTGCTAGTATAATAACTCGTAACTTTTAATATACAAAAATGTTTTTAACCAAACTCCTTTAATGAAAACAAGTCACAAAGCATTACTCTCGGTATGACAATTTTATTTTAAATTTTGTTTTGAATGGAAGTTTAATAATTTAAACAAGCAGCAATGTATGTACATGCAGTTCTCTAAAAAGCCAAGTCCATTATTTTACTCCTCTCTGAAGAAAAAAGCCTTCGATAAATAGTTTGCCCAATTTAAAAAATCTTTCGGCTCTGCTTTTAAGTTCCTTTGCAGAAAACAAGAGTAAATGCAAACTTGGCAATTCAGTGTGGAAATCTGAAGCCATGTCAGGATATTCCATTAAACCATTACCTCATCTAATCCGCTTCCAGCATTCAGACGCATGGAACCACTTGAATATTTCCGGCCCTTGTGCCATTTTATTCTTTCTTTCGTTTCCCCTTCAATTCAGAACACATCTCACTTCACATTTCTTGTCGCCAACAGCCCGCCAATCCAATCCCATCCCATCTCATCCAATGTCATGGCATTCAGCATAATCCCCACCCAGATTCTTTGTCCTTCGGACCCAACAAGTGGACATTTTGACGACACGAGGAGAACAAATCACATCAAAGCGCAATGAGCAGCCATTATGCATAATTATACCCGTAGTTCTCGGTTCCACAGGCCACTTGACATTCTTTCGAAATTCCTTCGTACTCACATGAACCGAATTTCAGGGGACACTTTTGTATGTCCATGGGAAAATCGGCGAGATTCATCGGGCAGCCGGCTTTAATTGTCAGCCGGCTGGAGTACAAGACGCGTCCGTTCTGATAGATCCTCACAAACTTATTCGGCGTGGTAATCGTGTGCAAATAGCTCTGCTTGCCGTTGTAAAAGTACGTATCCGGCTTCCAAATCCGGGCCAACATCGAGACGCTCAGGGCCAGCGTATCCTGGGCTCCCTCGAACGCGAGACGTTTATCCACCCAGGATTGCCGAAAATAACAGTCCATCGAGTAGGTCTGCAACGGAGACGGAAACGGAGACGGAGTCAGAGTTGCGGAAGAACAAGGAGTTCAGACAGCAGAGCTCTCGACTGCAGAAAGCAGACACTTGGAAAATTGTCACTTGATGTGTACGAATCGGTTACAAATTGATTGGAACAAAACCATTACCTATCGCGAACTTTAAAATGGTTTCAAGCAACTTGTAATAGTGAAAAATAGCAAACAGATCTTATTCAAAAGTATTAGTTGTGGTTTTAAGTAAACATATCATATTTTAATGTTACCTGTTGGGTTGAAATTATTTTTTAATTATATGTAAATTAAATTTATTTAAACCTAAGCCTGTTTTTTACATACCATATCCACTTCTGATATTGGTCCCATGCTGCGAACCATTATGTCCACTTCTATTGTGGCTGGAGGTCCTGAAACAATATTGATTAAATATTACTACAGAACTATACTTTTAAGTATATTTATAGGTAAATCTCCGTTTTATTTCACTGGGTAATACCTGCTTAAATGTCCTGCTTAGCGGCTTGTAAAGTTCAGCTTAAAACCTCTGCCTTGTTCGCCAGCGCCATTCAAACTGTTATTCCAGTCAAAACCCTAGTTGAGTTATGAAAAAGGGGATTTGTTTCTGAAGGCCACGCAAACCAACTATATAATCCACCTACTCTCCGTATCGGTTTGGTTCAACTATGAATATTCATATGCGAGTCACAGGCCCTAAATGAAAATGTTAAATGCTCCTCTGTGTGAACAATGACACTTAAGCCGCTTCGCAGACAGTCCCAAACCCCCCGAATCTGTTACCATCCCCGCCCCGACGCCCATTTTTATCTAGCTTTTCTGCACTAATATGCAATTTTTCAAGCCCTAGATTCGCCTCCTCCCGAAGCCCCAGGAATTTTTTGTATTTTGCCTATGCGAACAGTTTTTAATGACTTTGCCGCTGAGCTTGCTCGGCAAACATGCGTCGCGCTCACAGGATGTGGATGCGGATGCGGATGCGAATGCGGATATGCATTGCTACGTATCCTTTGAATCCTCGCCAGCTGGCGCCAGATGACGAGGAACGAGAACGGTGCGCGGAAGGGGGCGTGTCACGGCCCATTCTTAATGAAGTGTTAAAAACAATGTAATTTGGTCTTAAGCCGTCGAGCGAAAACAATTTTCGCCACGTTAACCGAAATCCAATTTTCATCCATTGAGTGGATGGCATTTTAAATTTCGAGAATATTTAAATTTTTATTGCTTCGGCCATTTGCAAGATTGAAGGGGAATCGAATTGCCCATCCATTTCGGGCGAAGTCCTCGAGTAAAATCTTTCAGAGCCTCGGGAAACGCAATAAAATTGTTTGTATGTAGGCAAATATTTGTCGGTTTTGACACTTACTATTTACCCAATAAGCTGCGAGGCAATCATCAAGGGGGCTTCATCACCTTGGGGCCGTTTGTGAGTGATGTGTCGCCTGGCAGCGATTTCCACTTCATTAAATGCTTCCGTTGAGCGGAAAATCTGCGAATCTATGCTGATTACACTCGGGAAGGGGCCAGAGTCAAAAAGGGTAAACAACCCAAGATTCGAGTCAGACGTAACGATTTAGGGGTACTTGCTACTCCATCCTGCTAAAAAATTCCTTATCACGACTGTCATGCTTAATTTACTAGGCCTAATAATCGGATATTTATGTACGTCCTAAATTTAATCTGTGTTTAGCTCATAAAAGCCCGAAAATAATGTACATCTCTGTTCTAAATTTGATTTATCTTTATTGTTCTCAATTTCCACTATACATACGTTTTACAGAGCCTTAAGTTTGTTAAGCCAATGAATAAAAGATTATAATACTGAAAATTTATTTAATCTAGGCTTGTTTTTGCTAATCAATATAATATATTACCAATTATAACTCATACAAAAACAAAATTGATTAGTGATGGAATAAATTTAGTACTAAGAGATTGTCTTAAAAATGTTTAGTGTTAATTTATTAAAAATTGGAAGTATAAACGTAAATGATTTTAGTTAACCACAACTATTTTGTGCTTTTAAAATTGTTAAGCATTAATTTAGAACCAACATTAAAATCAATATTTGTAGGAGTTTTCAATGCTGAAGAAAATGTAGAAAAGCTTTAGTTTGATTGTAACACAATAACCGAGAGCAAAATATCGGAAAAATGTATTTTAAATGTTCAGTATAAGTTATTCCCGATAATGCCCATATGTGACTGATTACTTGATCTTTTAAATAACCGATTTACTTACCACCGAAGTCCGGTCGAATGCTGTTGTCATAGCCGCGCAGCAGGTTGTCCAGTAGCTCGGATATGTTCGCGTGGTTGTTGCTCTGGGTGAGCCAGGAGGAGGGTGAGGAGGAGGAGGTGCGGGACTGGGAGCGAATATCGTCCAGCCGATGGGCATCGCCGCGTCCCTTGATGCTGTCGGCCATGACCCAGAGGGATCCCGATCCGGGGCTGATGGGCAAGTGCCAGGCGCCGGGGTAAATGCTCAGCGCCAGGAGGCAGCAGCTAATCAAAAGCTTAAATATGCGCAAGTTTAAGCGGCGTCCTTGGTGGCAGGAGTGGCTCCTTTCTGCGATGAGGTCAGTTGATGCATCGCCGGAGCCGGATGCATCTGTTGTTGCTGGCATTGTGCACATATTGTTCGGTTTTGTTTGCTGTTTGTTCGCTGGCTGCAACTATTGTTTAGCAGAAGTCTTCTGCTGCTGTTGCCGGTCTAATCTACACATCCGTTTGTCTAACTTTTGTCGCTCCAACTGGCCTGTGGCTCCCACAGTCCCGCCCACTGACATTGCCATTCCCATTGCCATTCCCATTCTCGTTCCCGTTCCCAATCCCGTTGCCATTAAAATTCCCATTCTGGAGGTCCTGCTGCTGATGACAGTGCCTCTTTCCTGAGCTGTGTGTTGACTCGTCCTCGCTCGTATTTATTTTCATTTATGCACCGGAAGTTGCACTCGGGTCGAGGGCGATTTCATGAAGCGTTTTCTTCTTAATTTCTGAGATTCCTTTCAGGCTGGCATTAGTTCCGTTTGTCTTGGCCCGTGTCCTCGTCTCCTTTGCGACGACTTTCCCCAGTTTCTTTTAATTGCTGCGAACTTGTTGGACTTGCAGTTGGCAGTTTTTGATTGGCCAATTAGCCAGTGGCTTTTTCAGTTATCAGTTATCAGCTATAAACTATTAAGATCACGGGTCGGGGATGAATTGCCCCAAATTCACAGTTCTTTGCATTAATTGAATATGCGCTTTTTAGTATTATTACGTTCATTATTTTAATAGTTCTTAGTTAATTATTTGTATTATTTACCGCAAACTGTCGTAGAATTTTTATAGCTGTGCATAGAGTTAAGGAAAAAAATAAGTTAAAACGTAGTCAAACTTTGTATGTCTCTTTGTACCACATGACGTATACGCAATATTAATTTTGTAAGTAGTTTTTCTTGCTTTATTTGATATTAAACAAGATTTTATACAATGGTAGTAGTTTTGTTTAGAAACACACAGTATATGGTTCGTCTTCCGAAAAAATAACCAATAAATTTATTTAGTGCCGCAGCCTGCCTTCACTTGTTATTTTTGATATGCCACTCTGCGTATGCGTAATCTTGAGTTTAAAAATTGCACATTTGGGAGAAGCCGAAGATTAATGAGTCCACTTTGCAAAAAAAAAGTGAGCGTAAACTTTATGCCTCCAGTGGCAGCGTATTTTCGCCGTATGCATATTAAAATATTAATCTTGGCTGAACTTTGGCTTAATGGATGGCAAGTAATTAAGATCAACTATGCCGGGGATTCTGAGTCCGATGGTGCTGCCGTTACCAGCTCGTCAGCCAACCGATTCGTTAATGAAAAATCAACCGGAAATGTCAAAGGCGGCGAGTGAATAATGCCGACGATGGCACCCAAGTCCGATGTCCTCCAGGCACCGAGACAACATCTCGTTTAATAATGCGAAAATGTGGAAAAACAGTGCGACCCCATAACTTAATTATGTCTCACCCACTAACCTAATTTTATGCATGGCCAATGCCGACATCCGGCCAGTGTTCTCAGGTTGCGATAACTATTTTCAATACTTTGGAGTGGTCTCTCGGCCACTTGGATATTGCCTTCAAGTCGGCCGTCTGATATCGGCCAGCATCTGCTGCTGCCTGCTGCTTGCTGCTTATTCAGCCTCGACGTCAATGCTACTTGCCACTTGATTAGACGCTTGTGTTAGCTAATTATGGCCTGGCCCGAAGGAAATTCGCATTATTTTTAGTTGATTTGTCACATGAAAACTTAAGCATAAATTTTCAGCGCAGTGAGATTAGAAGTCAGGAAAAGTTTTATTAAAACATGTCAAGCTATTCTTATGATAAGCCAGGAATTTAATTATAGTTTAATTTAAACTAGAAAAATTCAATGACTGAAAATGTTTGCATTTATTGCGAACTAAAAATAATCTTTAGAAAGAATGGTAACTTAACCATTTAGCTTAATTGAAACACCAAGTATAAATAATACGAACTTTATCCTAATTATGTATGAAATAAGCTCTCCAATAAATTATGGTTTATTGCGCGTCATGAAATCAGAGCCACACACTTGGCCTTAACTGCACTTCACTTCATGTTTTTCGATGTTAGACAAACAAATTGCTGTCAGAAGCACAAACATCTCCAAGCGTCTGAGCTTCCTCCTCCGCTTATAATTTCTAGCTTAGCCGTCTTCGCTTTCCCCGCCTTTTGTTAACTGTTGCGAACGGGTTAAAGTTAAATGTGGAAATTCCCGCCTCGCCGCCCACACAGTTTTCCTCGGTTTGCCAGAGCAACTTGAGCACGTTCAACGCATTTTCTCATCAGCGTCGAAATTGCACTCAATTTTTGAAGGCTGCTCACGGTTCCCCGTTCCGCGCGCTGTCAACCCTTCCTTTGTACCCTTTGCCTGCCAAGGAATATTTTGCCATATATTTTTTTTAAAGGAAATGCATTGTTAGAAGGCGTCCACTTGGAAAGCAGGGTGTGCAGTGTGTCCTTAGTTGGATTTTTGGAACTCTTGATGCTTAATTTCTTTTTAAGGGGGAGTAGTCAATATTTTCTTCAGTCATCATGAAGCCTAATAAATAAATCCCTGCGCAGTGAACTCAAAAATTATGTAGGGTTCAATTAAAAAAATTGTTATTCGATGTTCAACAATAAAAAAACCATCTACATTAAAAATATGACAATTATAACTATTTAAATACATTTTTTACTACACATCATTGAAACTACAAGCTTTATCCTTATTTTATCCACAAAACAGAATTAGCTCAGTTTTAAGAGGGTATTCGCATGCCGGATTTCCCCGTGAAATACAAAGGAGTTCCTTATTTCGTTGATGTGGCTGGCATCTGCTGCCTATATATGGGTGCATTATGGGGTCGTCCCACTACATTTTGAGCTCATCGGAAGCGCCAGCAGCAGGTGGTTTATATGGGAAGTCGGGAGCAGGCTGCTGGCTTTATTATTTGCTCGCCTGCAAATGAGAGGAGCCTTTCAATTTGGCCACAGTCCTCGGAGGCATCCGGAATAGAATAATATATGTATGAGCAGACAAGCTTAGTTCACGGCTTTGTGGCCTTGCGTGTGAAACGAGAACGAGAATGATGGCGTAAGTTTTCCATTTAACCTAAGTAGCATTAAAATCGCATTTAATTAAATGAAAGTCAAAAATGCAGCTTTGTGGTCAGTTCGTTGGCTGTAATGGGATGCGATGGCCCCACTCCGAACTTTATGGCCCTAGGCCAATGCAATTGCTCTAATTATTTCACACTCGAGCGACAAGCACGTGCCCGGTTCCCAGTCTGCGGAATCCACGATCCCAGTTCCCCCTTTTCCTAGCTTTTCCCCTCTCGGATTTCCCCGACCAACTGGCTCACGTTCTGCGGAAATGTTTGTCGAAGGGAGCTGGCGAGGATTAGGGAAGCGTGAAATGCAGCCGAATCGCTCTTGTCGGGGCATTATAATGCACAAATGTTTGCTCTCGTCTCTGCTAAGTGGGTTCCCTTGTTCATTTGCCGATTTCGAGGACACCGAATCCAGCTAATGTCGCAATTTTTAATTCATCGATATCCTCTTACAGATATTTTGAATGTGTAGAAGTGGCCTAATAAAGATGTATCCCCTTTTAGTTTTACAGAAAGTTAAGTAGCCAAATCAATAGAACAAATTTGTCCTGCTTTTGCGTAAAAAGATTCAAATTTTGCTGGGTTGCATTTAAAAATTAAAATCACAAAGATTATTGTTATGAAAAGATGCCAATAAAATGAATGTTCCTTTTTTTTTTTTGTCATAGCTGTAAAAAGAAGAACCAAGGTTCAGGAATTTTAACCAAGCTTTTAATTTGATTTTTGAGGAAACATGCACTTAATTTCAGCACTCTTGCAAAATCTCGGAGGCGCATCCTCATTTATAATTTTGGTTCATTCCATTTGGCCAGGCCCAGCCAGGCAGTTGTGGAAGTAAACAAAAACATTTCAACTTACTTGCAAATTTAATGAACACAAATGCAGAAGAGCATACAAAAAATGGAAATGGAAAGGCCTTCCACTCCGCTCCCCTTTGAAATAATGACACACAAACGCATTCGGACGACGCTTAAGCAAACTTGTGGTGGCCCTGCCTCACCAGACACGCCACAATCTTGACTTGTGGGTCAGCCAACAAATCCCCAAACCAATCCAATAAGAGCAATAGAACCGAAGGATAGGATCCGCTCGGATCTGGGGCCTTGGACAGCCCCTTCGACGAAAAAATCTTCAAATTCAATTAATTTAAATGCAGTTTTTTGTGGGCTTGCATCGTGTACTATATATATATATATATTCTGTACATAGCCGATGTGGCGAGGGGAGCGGCGCGGATCACTTTACAATGTAAATCTCAAGAGTGCGATGCCCCAACAGCCGCTTTTTATGCTTTGCATTTTTCTATTTAAGAGCTGTTTTGTAGCCTCAAGCGGCGTCAACAAAAAAATGCAAAATCTGCCAAAAAAGATAAAAGCCTTTTGAAAGGCACGATAGGAGACTATGACGGCATAAAAACCGCGTCTCGAGCAACCTAAAACTAGGCGATAATGAAGGATATTATGTGCTGCAGTACGCTTAAGTCTGTAAAAAAAAAGCGTTTGAGGAAATGTTTATTAAGAAGTTTCACCAATTAAAGGTTATGAGTTAAATTAGAAACCCATCTGCTTTTATTATTTTATATAAATTGATAGTGCCCAAAGTTATTTATAAAATGCTTGTTTGTTGTGCAAAGTGCTGAAGCAAAGGAGTTTCATAAAAATGAATATCTGCAGACTTAGAGAAAATCATTTCCACAAAAAATTTTGATTCGGTAAAAAATTTAAAATTTCTATTATATGATTATTTTTAAAAAAGCCCTAATTTTTTCCCTTTTTATGATTATTTTTAAAAAAGCCCTAATTGTTTCCCTTTTCTTGTGTCAAATTAGGATTTATGAACAATTAATAAGAAAACCATTCGGTAAAATATAAACCTAAGCTTTTTTGCTTGAAGATAATTAGTTGTAAATTAATTTCAAGTTGAGAAATAATTTTAAAATTTTTGAGCTTCAGCTTATTCAGTTTACTTTCTTAGCAAAGATTTTGTTATTTTGATAATTTGTTGTTTACGTTCCATCTAGCTGCTGCAGCAAACGCAATTCCCCAAGTAAATAGTTTTTGTTTATAGTTCGTTTTCGTTCTGCTGGTTTACCAAAATCCTCTGTGGATTATTTGCGGGCGTTGGAGTAAATTTTCTACCCTCGTCCCTGTGGCCATGTGGTGCTCATGGAAAATTTATGATTCTCTAATGCCCGTTTAAATCAGCGATAATTGCATTTTATTTGCACTCAATGTCTGCAATTCTGCTGCAGAATTTTTATTTTCAGTCTGCCGCTTACGCTGTTTCAGTTGTTTCTATGGGAAATGTCATATTTGTGGTTTATTGTAAATTTTTCATTTGTTAGCCCACTGCGGGTGACCACATTTCAATTGATTCTTAATATGTTCGTTTGGTTATATTCTTTTTTTTACATCTCAATACATTTATTTTTTGTTTAAGTATATTCTTCTCATTTTCATTTCATTACTAATGTGTTCTGATTTTAGGTTTAATTACCGAAATCACTTTTTAAATATTTTGTTATAGTTTATTTATAAAAGCCTTCTTAATTAGGTTGATTTAGACAGTTTAATTGGCACTCAATTGTGGGAAAGCATAATAGAAAGAGAAAGTGTGCGTAGGTTATGCAATTACTGTTTGACAGGTCAATTAGGACGGAATCAAATGAATGTTTATGTGTTGTGGCGTGTCTAAGTTTTGTCGGCCGTTCTAGAACACAGAAATTTTGGCATCGGCAGGTGTTTAATAAAGTTCGAAAAAGGTTGTCCGAAAAGACAAGTTATATAAACTTCTGGAAGGCTTAATTTGAAAACGCACTTTTATTAAGCTTACAAATTTGACGCAGAAAACTGTTCTCTTTTTTTGAAATCATTATTTTTCTTTAGAATTTAGTATCTTTGGCTTAAATTGTTCTAGAGCACAGCATTTTTGGCATCGGCAGGTGTTTAATAAAGTTCGAAAAGGTTGTCCGAAAAGACAAGTTATATAAACTTTTGGAAGGCTTAATTTGAAAACGCACTTTTTTTAAGCTTACAAATTTGACACAGAAAACTGTTCGCTTATTTTTAAATCATTATTTTTCTTTAGAATTTAGTATCTTTGGCTTAAATAGTTTTTCTTTACTAAGTTCTTAGTTTAATGAAAATTATATTGCTGGAATATTTGATTCAATTGCTAATATCGCGCATATATGCCGGTGTGGATAATCGTGTTAGTTATGTAATAACAAAATTAAACTTTATTTGCTTATCCATTTTGTACTGTATAAATGCATACATTTAATGCATACATTTGGTTATAAAATTAATAAAATTAGTGTGTTAAGTCACTAGAATGCACCCAGGAATTCATAAACTTAAATGAACGCAAACGCAATAAATTAATATTTTGGGTTATTATTATTTTCGACTTGTGATTTTTTTTGAAGGCAGCTTTAAGACGCACTTTTGTAATTTCCTATCCAGCTGTGTTTTTCCAGCCTTCGGGCTGCGCTGAATCTATCCGCACTAATCATACCAAAAATACACACTAGTCACCAGAGCCAAACGACAATAACTGCGACACCGAGCTTGGAAAATAAACAAAGTAACAAACCCAAAAACAAACCGAACCGAATCAAAGTGAAATGAAACGCGGCGACCGAGCGAACTTCCAGAGAAAGATGCGGAGATTCGGAGATACGTCAAAACGCGCCAAGCGCGCAACGCAGACTGAGCCGAAACGATATTGAGACCAGGCCAGAAGATTGAATTGTGCAGCACTCGCTGGGTGGCAACTGGCTGCTGGCTGGTAGCAAGTGGCAGGTGGCAGGACGTGTTGGGGCGACATCGTGAGGCACCATGCAAAAGGCGCAAAATCACTAAAGCCTGCGGCGCTGCCCTCCTGACCCACAATCCCACCCACCATCAACCGGGCTCAGGAACCCATTAACAACCACCCACCCACCGCCCACCGCCCGCCGCCTTTCATTCATAAATCCCTCCTGCACTTTTTTTTTACGCTACCGAATCCTGCGCAGGCGCCTTGGCCGAAACACTTGTTGCTTCACAATCTGCGTGTTTTTTGGCCAAATTGGTTCCAAAAATTTGACTGGCCTGTCTGTCAAAATTCTCAACTTGACGGCTGGCCCCAAAATTTGGCTATAATGACTTAATTGACCTCGTCGGACATCGCAGCTCTCGGCTATAAAAGGGTCAGCAGTCTGGCCAAAATCTAAGAACGCGGTCAAGATGACTTCTCCTTTGCCTTTGTATCGCCTGATTGTTTTTAATCTGCTGGAAATCAATGTGAGCAATCTCATGGTCTTTCATTGCTGGTCGATAAGGGGTGAGGTTTTCTACAATTTTTGTTTAAATATTTTAGTTGTTCTATGCATGTTTTAGAGGCGTTTCCTTTGGCTAAGGTGTTAAATGAGAACGGCATTTATACGCAATACATTGACCTGCAACAGAGCCCTGAAAACTTGGCCAACATCCACAAGGATTACTTGGACAGTGACTTAGTCAGACTGGGAGTCTTCTTGGATTTGGGCTGCGACCAAGCTGAATTGGTAACAAATCAGGTGGGTCTTTAAGTACATATATAACTATATTTAGATTACAAAAACACAATACTAATTTAATATAATTTGCGTTAAGTAGATTATTTTATTATTTTCTTTTGATTTTTTTATGAGTATTAAAGAACTACAAATATTAATTCACATTTTTATTTGTTCAGTCCAGTGAAGCACGCCTCTACAACCAGAATCTGCATTGGCTGCTCTACGATGAGTCAGGGAATCTCACCAAGTTAACCGAATTATTTGGGGACGCGAATCTGAGTGTGAATGCGGACGTGACCTTTGTGAGTCGCGAAGAGGAGGAGGTTCTCGTCCTGCACGATGTCTACAATCCAGGCAGTCACCTGGGGGGTCAGCTCAACATCACAGCAGACCAGAGTCTCCAGTGCAATCGAAGTCACTGCCAGGTGAAGGATTACCTCAGTGATTTGCATTTGCGGCCTAGACTGCAGCACCGCATGGATTTATCAAGGGTTACCTTTCGAATGGCCGCTTTGGTGGGTGGGCTTAAAGCAAAAAGAAAAGCCACTGCATTGACATTTTCCTTTCAGGTCTCTGTGATTCCCATCAATTCCAGTGCGGAGGCACTTCTCGGATTCCTCAACAGCGATCGGGACTCTCACATGGACTCAATTTCCCGCATTGGCTATCGTCTCATCCTGCACACTCAGGAAATACTCGGCTTTAAGTGAGTCAATAATAGTTGAAAACGAATTAAGAAACTTTTAGATAATGTTTAAACAAGTTATAAAGGAAGAGGCAATCAAAGAAATATAAAGAATTATCTTTCTTTAAGCTAATGAAATGTGGATAATGTTAAAGAGCAGAAACTTGTTTACCCATTCAAAAAACAATCCTTTTTTATCAAAGTATATATGTTTAATCAGACCCAAAGGTTATAGGTATATAATCCGACTTTCAATTAAGCATTGCACTAACCAAGTTGCTGTCATGTATTCTAATTTTCTGTTCACAATTTAAATTTGAAAGGCTCCACTACATTTGGTGCGGCACGTGGAGCGTTCAGGATGCCTTTGGTGGAGCTATTGGCCTCTTGACGAATGAGTCCGCTGAGCTCTCCACCTCCCCCTTCGTGCCCTCCTGGAATCGCCTCCATTACGTGCATCCCATGACGGAGCAGGCCCAATTCCGGGCGGTCTGCATGTTCCGTACTCCTCACAATGCCGGAATAAAGGCAGCCGTGTTTTTGGAGCCCTTCATGCCGAGTGTGTGGTTCGCCTTCGCCGGACTCCTGATCTTCGCCGGAGTGCTGCTCTGGATGATCTTCCTCCTGGAGCGGCACTGGATGCAGCGTTGTCTGGACTTCATTCCCTCCCTGCTCAGCAGTTGCCTCATCAGCTTCGGAGCTGCCTGCATTCAGGGTTCCTATCTTATGCCCAAATCCGCGGGAGGGCGATTGGCCTTCATTGCCGTGATGCTGACCTCGTTCCTCATGTACAACTACTACACCTCCATTGTGGTCTCCACTCTGCTGGGCTCCCCAGTGCGCTCCAACATCAGGACCATCCAGCAGTTGGCCGACAGCTCCTTGGACGTGGGTTTCGATACGGTGCCATTCACCAAGACTTACCTAGTGGTAAGTACATTTTTTATAAATCAAACAACAAGGTACGTTAAATTATTTTCGTTAAAAGCGTAAATCCAAAACTTATTTTTTTTATTTAAATGTATATAACTGTATATCGTTTAAAATGTACCTACTTCTGAATAATATTAACAAAAATATGGGGCAGACTGCAAACATGTACCTGTTTGCCTTTTCAAAAGTACAAGCATTAATCATTTTGTGATTCGTTTACCTAACAAGATTGAGTATAAAATATCTTTATTTCATTACGTTTTGACTAAAAATTATTGTTTTTTCGCCATTACATTTCTTGCAAATAATAGGTACTAAATTAAAAAAAAAAAATGGAATCATACTTTTATGTATTTCTTATTTTGCTTGAATGCTTGTGAGTATTTAATTATTATCAGTTAAAATTAAATAGCTCTTAACAAGGGTTTATCTGTATCATCTTTATCAAATTCCTTATTTAATAAATGTATTTCCCGCAGTCCTCGCCCCGTCCGGACATTCGCAGCCTGTACAAGCAGAAGGTGGAGAGCAGGCGGGATCCCAACAGCGTGTGGCTCGATCCGGAGGAGGGGGTCAAACGGGTGCGAGATCAGCCGGGGTTCGTCTACACGTCGGAGGCCTCGTTCATGTACCACTTCGTGGAGAAGCACTACCTGCCGCGGGAGATCTCCGACCTGAACGAGATCATGCTGCGACCCGAGAGCGCCGTCTACGGAATGGTCCACCTGAACTGCACCTACCGCCAGCTGCTCACCCAGCTGCAGGTGCGGATGCTGGAGACCGGGATCATTGCGAAGCACAGTCGCTTCTTCAGCAAGACCAAGCTGCACACGTTCTCCAACAGCTTCGTCATCCAAGTGGGCATGGAGTACGCGGCTCCCCTGTTTATATCCCTCCTGGGGGCCTACTTCCTTGGCCTCCTGATCCTGACCTTGGAAATCTGCTGGGCGCGCTATGCCAGGAAGAAATTAGCCACCGTTTTCCCACGGAATCAGTAACTAAAAACCTTTCAATATTCTTGGTGAGTGACAAAGAGTGCCTCTTTATTTCAGTAATTGAACTGTTTAAATTGGCTGGTAATTGGTCTTATTTCATAACCGCTTTGACTGGTTTGACAGGCCTGAGTATCATTCGCATGCCCATTAGGCTGTCAAGTCAAGTTCAGTCACCAGTTGACGTACTCCATATTGATTATGTGGGTAGCTCTGACATAATGTCTTCCCTATAAAAAGCCGGGTTGGCTCATAATCAGTATCATTAATTGCAAAGTTCTTTGTTCGAGTTTTCACCATGCAGCAATTGCACAATTTAATTTTGTACAACTTTTTGCACATGGCTAAATTGAGTCATGTTTTTATTCTGCACTGTTGGTCAATGGATTGTGAGTTTTTATATGTGGTAATTCTTCGATATCCGATCAAATCTTTTTTTCAGCACTTACGCACCTAGGGCTTCTGGCACAGTCTAAAAATATATTTACCCAATTCAAGCAACTAGACTCGGAACTTAATCCGAACGACAACTTTCTTAGTCACAATCTGCCCAAGATAGGCGTTTTCTTGGATATCAATTGCAATCAAAGCGATGTTGTTTTAAATATGGTAAGGAAATCGGATTTCAAATTAGAATATCTTTTTAAGGAACTATAAGTTACAGGCCAACGCTAAAAGGCTTTACAGTCATCGCTTTCATTGGCTTATCTACGATGAGCTGGGTAACTTTTTGAATGTAGAATCTCATTTCAAGGAGGCAAAACTATTTATTGATGCCGATATTACTTATGTCAAACAAGATCCTATCACAGAGAACTTTGTGTTGTTCGATCTCTACAACAAGGGAAGGCAACTGGGTGGAAAATTGAATATAACAGCCGATCGGGAGGTGGCTTGCAACAAGCGAGAGTGTCGAGTTGAACGATATCTAAGTGATTTACACAAGAGGAATCCCCTGCAGCACAGAAAATACTTTACCGGTTTAACCATTAGGGCCACTGCTGTGGTCACCGCTTTACCCCTAAATGTTTCCATTGAGAAGATCTTCGATTTCATGGAGGCCAAGGATCGAATCCACCTGGACACGTACGGCAGATTGGGTTATCAATCCCGACAACCCCTGAAAGATATGTTAGACTGCAAGTAAAGATCACTGAAGATTGTGGTTCACGGATTCTACAGAGGATTTATTTTAGCTTTAAGTACATATTTAGGGATCGGTGGTCGGCGGATGGCAATGTCACGGGCGGCATGATTGGAGATCTCATCTTGGGTGTGGCTGACTTGTCGATCGCACCCTTCGTCTATTCCTTCGATCGAGGACTCTTTGTAATGCCCATCACAAAGTTCAGTGATTTTCGAGAGATCTGCATGTTTCGTAATCCCCGATCCGTGTCGGCGGGTCTGAGTGCCACGGAGTTCCTGCAGCCGTTCAGCGGCGGAGTTTGGCTGACCTTCGCACTGATCCTCCTGCTTGCAGGCTGCCTCCTTTGGGTCACCTTCGCCTTAGAGCGCCGAAAGCAGTGGAAGCCCTCGCTGCTGACCAGCTGCCTCCTTTCCTTCGGAGCTGGTTGCATTCAGGGAGCTTCGCTCACTCCGAGATCGATGGGCGGACGGATGGCCTTCTTCGCCCTGATGGTGACCTCGTTTCTGATGTACAACTACTACACCTCGATCGTGGTGTCCAAGCTCCTGGGCCAGCCCATCAAGTCCAACATCCGGACACTACAGCAGCTGGCGGACAGCAACCTGGAGGTCGGAATCGAGCCCACCGTGTACACCCGCATCTACATTGAGACCTCCGAGGAGCCGGATGTGCGTAGTCTCTACCAGAACAAGGTGGTTGGCAGCAAGCGGTCACCGGATCGCATCTGGTTGCTCACCGAGGAAGGAGTGAAGACGGTGCGGGATCAGGAGGGATTTGTCTACATCACAGGCGTGGCCACGGCCTACGAGTTCGTGAGGAAGTTCTTTCTGCCTCATCAGATCTGCGAACTCAACGAGATTCCTCTGCGCGACGCCTCCCAAACTCACACAGTCCTGGCCAAGGAGTCACCGTACGCGGAGCTCCTTAAACTATGGTAGGTTGAGATTATCAAGCCGAACAATTCAAATTTATTTTATTATTTATAATCTTCCTTATTCTAGTTACTTTTGAGATCTTTTAGAACTGCATTACATTAAAAATAGGTATTTTTGGTAGAAACGAGTTGTGAGCTTTATTTACTGATTTAATGGCCTTTAGTGAGAACTGTTCTGCTGGCGTTAATTTAAAGAATCAAAATGTATGTTCTTTATAAAAGAAAGATTTGTATTTCATGCTTTTCCATTATCTACTTCTAGTTCTCTGAAAAATATTTATTTTATCTTATGATTTTTCTGACTGTTTAGTGAGCTGCGGATGCTGGAGACGGGAATCCATTTCAAGCACGAGCGGTACTGGATGCGGACCAAACTCCACTGCTACCAACACAATCACACGGTGGCCGTGGGTCTGGAGTACGCTGCTCCCCTGTTCATCCTGCTCCTGGGGGCCATGATCCTTTGTGTGGGCGTTCTGGGATTGGAGGTCATTTGGTTCCGCCACTCCACTCTTCATTAAGGTAAGCAAAACGGAAAAGGTCATTGGCAATTGGCGGCCAATTTCTGGCAATTTTAAAACAAACAACGCACGTTGATGACAGCCAACTTGGTGGACTTGTGGCCCTATAAAAAGCGAACCATGGCCTGGAAAATCAAAGTGAAAAGTCAACAATGCAGCTGGTGCAGTTGGCCAACTTTTTGCTGGACAATCTCGTGCAGTCGAGAATCGGATTCATTGTTTTTTTCCACTGCTGGCAGAGGGATGAGAGTGGGCGCTGAAATTCGAACTCCCTTCTGATGATGCTAACCCATTCATTTCCTTTACAGGTGTGCAGTTTGCTCAGCAGTTCATCAAACCTATTCATCCCCTGCTTTATCATCAGTTTGTGCAAATGAACGGAGTAGAGAGCTGGTCATTTATGGAACTCACCTACATGGGACATACGCAACCCACTCTGGCGATCTATGTGGATGTAAAGTGCGATCAGGCTCAGGAATTGTTGGAGGAGGTTCATTTCTAGTTAACCTGGTACTTTGATCGTTATTCAGTTCCTTTTTATTTTAGGCCAGTCGAGAGCAGATATACAACCAGCACTACCATTGGCTTTTGCATGGCAACCAATCCGAAGTGGAGTTCTATGATTTATTTTTCCCATTTAACATATCGATCGATGCGGATGTCAGTTATGTAAAAGAGCAAATCCAGGAAATGAACTGCACCGTTTTATATTCTGTTTACGATGTTTACAATAATGGGAAAAACATTGGCGGTCAGCTAAACATGACTGGATCCCATGAAATGGGCTGTGATCTAATGATGTGTAAAAGGATTCGGTTTCTAAGTTCCTTGGAAAAGCGAACTAAATACGGAAACAGGGAACAACTAACAGACGTAATTCTAAGGGGTAAGAGAGCATTTTTAACTTAAAAGATTATATTAAAAACTCTTATTTAGTGGCAACTGTGGTAACTCAAAGACCTCTCACTTTGTCGGATGATGAGCTCATAAACTTTTTAAGCCAGGAGAACGAAACCCACATTGATTCACTGGCCAGATTTGGGTTTCACCTGACTTTAATCCTTAGAGATCTTCTACACTGCGAGTAAGTCTTCTAATCCTGGATGTAAAAACCCTATAAACTCTTGTTTTCAACCTTCTTTCGAAGGATGAAGTTCATCTTCTCGGATAGCTGGAGCAAGTCGGATGTGGTTGGCGGTTCAGTAGGTGCTGTGGTGGATCAGTCTGCGGATCTCACGGCCACGCCTTCCTTGGCCACCGAAGGCAGACTTAAGTATTTGTCGGCCATCATTGAGACGGGCTTCTTCAGGTCGGTCTGCATTTTCCGGACTCCCCACAACGCGGGATTACGGGGAGATGTGTTCCTGCAACCCTTCAGTCCTTTGGTGTGGTACCTTTTTGGCGGCGTGCTCTCCTTAATCGGAATCCTTCTTTGGATCACCTTCTACATGGAGTGCAAGCGAATGCGAAAGCGGTGGAGGTTGGACTACCTACCGTCACTGCTCAGCACTTTTCTGATCAGCTTCGGAGCAGCTTGCATCCAGAGTTCCTCGTTGATTCCGCGTTCCACTGGTGGCAGGCTTATATACTTTGCCCTCTTCCTGATCAGCTTCATCATGTACAACTACTACACCTCGGTGGTGGTCTCCTCGCTGCTGAGTTCCCCTGTGAAGTCGAAGATCAAGACGATGCAGCAGCTGGCGGAGAGTCCCTTGACCGTGGGATTGGAGCCACTGCCCTTCACCAAGAGCTATCTGAATGTGGGTTTGGTTTTAGCTACCCGTTCTTCTATCTGGAGTTTTCTTTATTGCAGTACTCAAGACTCCCCGAAATCCACTTGTTCATCAAACGAAAAATCGAAACGCAGGCTAAGAATCCGGAGCTGTGGTTGCCAGCTGAACAAGGTGTTCTGCGGGTGAGGGACAATCCTGGATACGTCTACGTATTTGAGACCTCCTCAGGTTACGCCTACGTGGAGCGCTACTTCACCGCCCAACAGATCTGCGACTTGAATGAGGTTCTGTTTAGACCCGAGCAGCTGTTCTACACCCACTTGCATCGAAACTCTACGTACAAGGAGCTATTTCGGCTGAGGTGAGTGGGTGAGGGGAATCGTTAAAGAACTCAGTAAGAAACACTATTTGATAACCAGAAATTTCTGGGGAATAAAAAGAACACGCTTTTTAACTTAGTAAGAAACTAATCCAACGCAGACATGAACTTGGCTTAAGATCAGAATCAGAGTAACTCGTCTTCAAATAACAGAAACACCTTAGTTAAGGAGAAATTGACTTATATTGAATACATTTTATTACTCTTGTAATATTATATATTATTATACATACATATATCAACCTTTTACATATTTGCTTTCTTTATATTACAGACTCCTGAGAGTCCTGGAAACCGGAGTCTATCGGAAGCAGCGCAGCTACTGGGTTCACATGAAGCTCAATTGCGTGTCCCAGAATTTCGTGATCACCGTGGGCATGGAGTACGTGGCTCCCCTGCTCCTCATGCTGGTCTGCGCAGACATCCTGGTGGTGATCATCTTGCTAATCGAGTTGGCCTGGAACCGCTTTCTCACACGCCCCACGATTACCTTTCACTCGTAGTGCTTTAAAATCCCTTTAAGCTGTTACGTACTCTATACTATTTGCACCCAGGAGAAAATAAAAACACTTTGCGTTAACTTTTCGCATCGCAAAATTATGCAGGGGCGAACGCTTTTCCTCACTTCCTGTTTTCGCGCCGGAAAATTGCAGCACGCCTCGTTAAACGGAGGGATGGATAGGGGGAATTGCCAGGGAGGAGGTGATGGCCATGTTTCCACGCGATTTTCGTATTTGCATTAAAAACTTTTCGTGTTTGGCGGTTACTTTTTATCCTCCGTTTTTACTTTTGGCAATGATTTTATTCATTTTCCACAGGCCATTTTATTTGCATTTTTATGCCCAGCCACATCCGAATTGAAAACTTTGTCCCCTGATGCCATGTGTGGTTGGTAGATAACCAAAAGTGGGCCCAATACGGCCTATTAGAAACAGTTAACAGTTTGGCGTTTAGTTTCCTGCTATTTCCACAAGCGAAATCAGCTATTTTCCCACACTCTTAATCAATAGCTCCGAATGATTTATGTTGTTTTAATGATTTTTGCCTGCGGCAACAAAAATATTTGAAGGGAAGTGTCAAAACTTGATGGGAATTTATTGCACAATAGAAATGAGTAAGGTAATTGGGTTACAATCAACGAAGGGGAAAAACAATTGAATAATGCCTTTCCATTAAGTTTACAAACAAATAGACAACAGCTACAGGCATTTTAATTAAATTATTTATGTTAATCGAGGGCTTGAGAATAAGTTTAAAAATATTCCAAGGGAATCCTATTTTTAAACGACTCCCTGCCGACTGCAAAACTGCAACTGACACAAATGTTTGCCAAACAGCACTCACTGGCACTCCGCAATTCCCTACATATTACTGTAATAAATTGCCTTAACAATTTGTCAACTCAATCTTGCTGTCAACAGGCCATCGCTTTAGCCATGGTTTAGCCCATAAAGGAAACTTTCCCTTCGCAGGGAGGGACAACTTTGGAGTGACTCGAAATTGACAGGCAATTGTGAATTATTTACAACAGCGAACACGGGTTTGCCTTTTCCCTTTTTTTTTTTTTTGCGCCATTTGTCAACAACATGTTTTATTTTGCTGTACTATGTATAACCCGGAGGCAAAGTAAAAAACTGTTCCCTGCTTTGCGGCTGCGGTGTGAAATTGGTTTTGGCGGTTTCCGTACGTGCTAAATGAGCGCGAAACGGATTTAATTTAAACGTTTCATTTGCCACCCATGAGAGCTGTTGTGGAGGGAAAAAAGCCAATGAATTTATATTGGCAAAACTCTCAACTAGTCCGATAATTAGATTTAAGTGTACTGCCGGAGATAAAGAGAGAGAGAGCAGGTTTATGGCCATCACCTCAGGCCATCATCAGTGGTTTGATTACCCTTTCTGTTCCTCGGAGCCTGTCATATACGAAATGCCGTTGCCCAGTGATATCTTTAGATTTATATGGCCCAATGCTGGGAACATCTTATCTGTAATTTAATCTGTTGCCCACTTAACGATAATGATAATGTCGATTGCAGATTGTCCGGCCGTACACTTGGTCCGCATTCGACAAGTCCTCAGTAGGTTTTCATTGCTCAAACGCGCCAAGACGCAGCCGGAAATAATTCGACAGTGTGTAGTACGTACGGCAGATGCTGTTTGTTATTCACCCCGGGGGAGGCATTGTTTATTGCATTCTGTCTCGGATTTATCGCCATCTTACCATTGAAAGTATCTCGCAAGGCGTTCAGATTTCCGTTTCAGTACGGGCTTAAGTGAAATTATTCTAAAATTAGCCTGCAATTCCAGTTAGACGGGTAAATGTCGTTTGCATAACCGAACCGTTTTCTGCTGAGTTAAATAACCTCAATGCGGTAGACAGAAAAGATTTATTTTTGAATACAAGTCGCAGGAATAGGGAGTACCCAACATTTTTTGAAGTACCCCTTAAACTCTTGTTTGAAACGAAATCATGTGCTCTGGTTAATTCCAAATTACGCATACGCCACGTGCTTCGGTAGTAAAGCGATAAGCCCAAACCGAACAACGATTAGTAATTATATCATACTAATCCGCACAAAAAACAAGCTAATAAGCCAACAGCAACGCTTTTCGCATTTAAGCTTCCTAATTTTAAACAACGTGCAATTAAAACGAGCTTTAGCTTTTCATTAACAGCAGTTTAGGGATAATGCATCGGCGAAACACGAAATACCCTTAAAAGTCTATTCAACTCGAGTATGTGATTTATGAACTTTAATAAAGAGCTAGCGCATGTGTATAAATATCTTCAAGAACACTCTGAGGACTCGCTATCTTCGATGGGAGAATATCTTATAAATCTTATCAACACAAGTTCGATTATCTCATTTTCCGTGATCAAGAACTGTTAAAGACAATTAAAGCGATAAGGATTTCCCACCATAAATATTAACAAGGCCTACAGATTCCCGTCATGGAGAAATGAAAATATCTTATCGTTATATTGTTGCTCTTGGAAAGTGTATAAACCCCAAGTGAAGGCACATGCCAACCTGAAAAACGTGACGCTCGCTGACTGACCTCAACTCCCCCGCTTTCCTCAATCGAATCGAATTGAATTGAATCGAATTGAATTAAATTATATGTGTGTAACTCGCGTTACCTGCTACCGATCTACGTAGATCAACCTGCCTGATCGGCACTTTGGCACTTGTTGCATCTGCAATTGTTTTAGTTTTTTATGCTGCCGCTGGCAACTCGCGTGATACCTCACACTTTGGGTCCCATTCACTTGGCTTCATTGTTGTCGCCGATTGTTATTGGTTCTCGTTCAGTTGGGAGGGTTCGCACAGGTTCAGTCACTCATTGAACGCCTCGAAGCGCAAATCGTCGTCGTTGCCGTTTTTATCAGTTGCCAGAACTCTTGGAACTACTAACCGGAAAATAGTGCCAGAAATGTAAGACTGTTAAAAAAAGTTAATACATTTTGAAAGAAAAATTTTAAATAGCCAGAAATACACGTTAAAATTCTGCAATTAATAAAAACTAAAACAAAAATAATACTATATTGGTAACCGCCTTACAAGTGAAAACTATCAGCAATATTTTAGAAAATTCTAAAGTTACTGAAAACTGGATAAAACTAGTGTAGCGGAAAAAAATAGAAGAACACAAATAAAGGGATCAAGAAAAACCCAATTTAAGCCCCTGCAAAAAATTAAAAAATTATTTTTGAAAATCGGGAGCAATATGAACTGTATTAACTCTGCTTCTATTTTGAAGTCCAAGGCAAGACATGCCAAACTTTATCTATCAGTCTCAATTTACAGTCGATATTTCGAAATGCATTTCGCCCGGGTGTCAAATTTTTTTGGATACAAAGCATAAGCAATTGGATAGGAAAGTGCAATTCGAATTGGGTCAACAACTTTATAACTGCGCAAATGGATCAAGTGAATGTGGTGGATGAGTCAGTTGCCAACAAAATGCAAGACGGCTAAGAAGCTTTTGCGATTGCCTGAAGTTCTAAAATTTCTGAGCGGACTAATTAAATTCACAAGTTAATTTGTTTTAATTATTTGCCAGTTGGCATGCTACAACTTGTTGGCTAACAGCAATTGTTATTACAGCAAGGTCAACTTAAATGATCTGGACAATTAAAACTGTCAGTCAAGGGCTTAAAAAAAACAGTTATTATTAACGAAATTTGTAGTCAAGAATAGTTTGGATAGTTTTTTTTTTAATCCCCTTTAATCAGTCGCTACTTCCTCTTTCTTCTTTAGCATCAGTCACAAGTTCTGTCGGATGTAAACAATTCAAATAATCTGCACTTTGCACTTTCCCATTCATTGCCAAAAAACCGTTTATCTTTGTATGCTAAACGGTATCCGGTAATTTCCCACATACATATGTTATTCATTTCCCCCTTAAGTTTCATGTAATGTAGTTTAGAACTGCTTACAATGTTGAGAGGCGAATAGAAAACTTTACAAATAAGTTAATAGTAGTAGTTACTAAGGTTTGAGTACTTAAACAGTAATAGTCTTGCTTTATTACAAATTCAAATAAATGAATATAAATATATACGTGCTGTGAAAATGTGCCGCAAGGCACTTAACTATGTAAATAACGAGGCTTTTAACCCGTCAAACCCTGAGTTTCAACTAAACAGCTGTCTTTTACTACCTTCAATTCAATTTGTACGCTTTTTATCATTTATTGCACGTATTTTTTAACAATAGTCCAGGGTATTTGTTTGAGCGACTTCCCCCAGGTGACCATATATTGTCAAGTTCAAGACTACCGACGCACGTTGTCAGCTTAACAAATTTAACAATTTACTTTAATTCGCCTCAAGCAAGTACTAGTTAACAATAAATAAGCAGATATTGAAGAGTGCAATGTTTGTAAAGAGCGAGTATAATTTTCCTTTCTTAAGAGTCAAAAAGCTTTTGGATTTACAAAGAGAGTGCTGAAATAAGTGTTTATTAAATAAAATTAGGGAAATTAAGAAAAAACAATATTTGAAGATACTCGTATATTAGTTTTTTGCACAATCGTTTATTGAACTTTGCTTTTGGCGGTAGCATACACAGTTTTTTAGTTTTTTGTTTAAGAAGCTTTTCCTTACTTTTTGCCGAATTTAATTTTTCCTGGTTAGGTGTAGGGTTTATTTTCAGTCACTTATTAAACGACTGAAAGCGCAGAACACTGTAGTTGCAGTTAAAATAAAATCTTAATCCTTTTACCGCTCTTACAAGTATACCCTTTATAAAATACTGTTTGCCTTAGTCCCTTTAAAAAAAAGTTTTGTTCTGTAAGCGGAATGTTATATTTTCCAGTTTTTATTGTTTTCAATAAAAACAATTGTTTCAAGTTCATACTCAGTGAGCGTGAGCTCAGGTTGACTAATTAAATAATTTTTTAAATATAGCGCGAACAAAATGCTTTTTTAAGAGCGAGTGATTTGCTGATTTCTTTTAAGAGTTTTAAAGCTTTTTTGAATAAAGAGAAAGAAGATTTCTGAAGTAAGCTAAGTTAAGAAAACGGAAAAACTAATTTTTTTAGAGGATAATACCATTGAAAGTCAATTTGCAGTAGCAAAAATAGCATAAGAGGATAAACTTTTTATTTATTAATGGTTGTTAAAAATATTATTTTTATCTCTTCCTTATTAGTTTGCCCGGTCAAAATGACGGCAAGCAAGCAGCAAGAGGCTGAGGCCGAACACGATCCCCAGGTGGTGGTCACCCCGGTAGATGCCTCTCGCAGTTCTCGCAAGGATCGGGGTCTCTGGAGGGATCTGACTTCCTATTGGATCCTCGGTCTGTGCAATAACTACGGCTACGTAGTAATGCTGAGTGCTGCCCACGATATTATAAAGCAGTTTAATCCGGTAAGAGAAACCATTTCAAACATTACTTCTTAGAAAAAATATCAGAAACAATATTTCCCTGCCTAATAGAGTCTTAATTTTTTAATTACAAAATTAATTTTTTGTTTTGTTACAGAATGATGATACCGAAGAGAGCTCGTCTGGTAGAAATTGTCACTTGGTATCCACAGGAGCTATTTTATTGGCTGATGTGCTGCCTTCGTTGTTTGTGAAGATGCTAATGCCCTTCTTTCCCTTTTGGGTTAAGTGAGTATGGTACCTCTTTTTCTTTTTATAAAAAGAAATATAATATTAAAAAAAAGAATGCGAAAATAAAAGAATTATTTTGTCTAATCCCCAGCTTTCGCATAGCTCTTGCCGTGGCCTTTTCTGCAGCTGGTTTCCTGCTGGTTGGATTTGCTGAAGCGGAGTGGATGGCCCTGTTGGGTGTGATCATCACTTCGGCCAGCAGCGGAATCGGAGAGACCACTTTCCTGGCCTACTCCTCGCGATACAACAAGTGGGTTTGCATGGCGAAACCAGTCTGAAGATTCTTTCTAATTCGCCATCTCACCCTTAGGAATGTGATATCCACGTGGTCATCCGGTACTGGCGGTGCGGGAGTCATCGGTTCCTTGAGCTACGCCAGCTTGAGATCCCTGGACGTCAGTCCCAGAGACACGATGCTGATTATGTTGATCTTCCCGGCGATCGAAGCTTTTGCCTTTTGGCTGCTGCTACGTCGGCCCCAGGTTGATATTCTTCCGGTCACGACGGTTGAGTCCACCGAGGTCCTTATTACCGATGAGAAGCCGCTGGTCGGTTTCAAGGAGAAGTTCTTCTACATAAAGCACCTCTTCAAGTACATGTTGCCCCTTTGTCTGGTGTACTTCTTCGAGTACTTTATCAATCAGGGATTGGTAAGTTAAATACCTCCCTTAAAGGTAAATTTAACTTTCATTCCCATCCGCTCTTCCAGTTCGAGTTGGTCTACTTTGAGGACATTTTCCTGGATAAGGACTCGCAATATCGTTGGCTGAACGTGGACTACCAAATAGGTGTCTTCATATCGCGCTCCTCGGTCAACCTCTTCCAACTGGACAAGATCTGGCTGATGTCCGTCTTCCAGTTCGTCAACGTGGTATACTTCCTCACCGAGGTCATCTGGTGGTACACGCCCAGCATTTGGATCGTCTTCGCCATCGTCCTGTGGGAGGGACTCCTGGGTGGCGGTGCGTACGTGAACACCTTCTACCGGATGTCCAAGGAGATCTCGCCAGAGCGCCAGCAGTTCGCCATGGCCATGGTGGTCCAGTCGGACTCCTATGGCATCGCCCTCGCCGGTTTCCTGGCCATTCCCGTCCACAACGCCATCTGCGGACTTCCTGCTGCGGCAAGGAGCCTCGTTTGGTGATGAGTGTCGTAAACAGGATCAGAACCAGGATCAGAAAATGCCTTTACCGTGTGTGTGTGTAGCTAATTAAGCGTGTATGTCTGTGCGTGTCCCGATAGTATTAATCACTGGATCACTGGACTCCCAGCAGCCAGATCGTTGGTTATGTAGTTAGTACGCTCCTTTTCGACTACTCTATAAGGTTTAGTTTAATAAACGAAAGTAAACTCTGTTTGTAATTCGATGTTGCAAAGTTAAACGATTTTAATTGCATTGGTAATACGTGATTACACTACTTTGTTTACATGATTAATCATTTTACTAAATCGCTTTTCTTTTTGTGCAACATGTAACGCTATTGTGTTTTAGATACTACTAAAGCATCGGTACGGGTAAGAGTGGATTTTAATCTACGAATATTATCAAATACTTCTCGAGTGATTAGATTTAACTTTCTTAAATTTACATTTATTCGAGGGTATTGTTAGGAGTTATTTAAAACAATTATTTGTGGTCGAGTGTTTTCCACTGCCAATGCCATGTTTTATAGTTATTAACCAGATTGAAATGCATACTGTTCCGAGAGAGAATATGCCCCACTTGCTTTGGGTTTATTCAACTGTCTCCGACGAAAATCCACTTAAATCGTACTAACATTTACTTCAATAATTATTGCGTTCGCTTTTGTTAAACGTGCGCAGTAATTAAGCCAGGTTGTTGGTGGCTGCTAATTTGGTTCGATCGGTGCCGAATCGAATGGCCAACGAAACCGAATCTGGGAGTGAGATGCCGGCGGAGACTGATTGGGAGATCGAGACCCAAACCGAGTCGTTCGAGATGTTACGTGGACCTCTCGCGGTGTCAGTCGCTCGGAAACCGCCGTGCAAAGCGGAACGCGGCAGTCGAATAGTAATTCGTGTTTGTCCAATTCGGAAATTGGGTAACCAAGATGCGGGGCTTATCAGCGTTTCTGCTCGTACTCTGCCTCCAACGGGTGAAGTCGGATGGGGCTGCCGGAGCACGGCGACCTAACATAATCATCATAATGGCCGATGACATGGTGGAACTTGTTTCGCCGTCGTAAATCAAACCATTTCTCAAACAAACCGAATTTCAGGGCTTCGATGATGTGAGCTTTCGAGGTGGCCGGGAGTTTCTGACGCCCAACATCGATGCCCTGGCCTATCACGGACCGACTCTACGCCCCGGCGATGTGCACTCCCTCCCGGGGAGCTCTTCTCAGCGGACGATACCCAATTCACACAGGTAAGTACAATTGTGGGGGTGTAATATAAATCTTAAAAACTTGGAAGCCCATAAAACAGGGTGTCGAGCATCACCTCCTCTGTTTAGTTTATTTGGCAGGTATCAGTTCAATCTTCAAAGTGTTAATAAAGTGTGAAAGTCTCTTTAAAGTTTAAGTCAAGTTATACTAGTCATAGCTTTAAGTCAATGCCAGACATCAACGTCAAAAATCTATTTAATGATTTACACCATTGCAACAATTTTATTTTCTAGACTCCCTTATTTATTTTAAGCATTAAAATCCATGAGTTTTCTGCACATGTTAATCCTTGCCTTACTTAAATCGAACTTTAGGCACCCAGCACTTTGTGATTAGTAATGAAGAACCTTGGGCCCTGAGCCTCAATGCAACGTTGATGCCGGAGATCTTTCAAGGCGCCGGCTATTCAACCAACTTGGTGGGAAAGTGGCATCTCGGCTTTTCTCGACCGGAATACACGCCCACCCAACGGGGATTCGACTACCACTTCGGCTACTGGGGTGCCTATATTGACTATTACCAGAGAAGATCTAAGATGCCGGTGGCCAATTACAGTTTGGGCTTCGACTTCCGGAGGAACATGGATCTGGAGTGCCGGGATCGTGGGGTTTACGTAACCGACTTGCTGACCAACGAAGCGGAGCGGTTGATCAAGGAGCATGCTGCCAAGGAGCAGCCGCTTTTCCTAATGCTCAGCCATCTGGCAGCTCATACGGCCAACGAGGATGATCCCCTGCAGGCTCCCGAGGAGGAGATTCGAAAGTTTTCCTACATCAAAGATCCCAATAGGAGGAAATATGCGGGTGAGTACCTTAAATTTAATAAACGAGTAAGCTTAACTTCAAGCTTATTGAATTGAAAACATACATTATCGATTTTAAAAACCATTTTACTCTTTAAGTCCATTATACCACTCCCTTTTATCCCAAAAACTTAATTTTAATTCATTAGGTCTTTGCTGAATCGTTAAATTAAAATACATTTCAACAGTTGCTTTAATAAGATATTAAAAGCGAAAGCTTTATTTGATGATTAGTTCCTTGGGAAAGTGCTTTTTTGTTTCTAAAATTTAATAAACACGTACAAATTTGAATAAAGATTACCCATTCACTTGCTTAGTCCAGTTCTTGTATCCTTGCTTAGAGATCTCATTATTGCTCGTCAGAATGATATTAAGCATAAACCATCCGCGATCGAATCAAATTAGTAAATGTTGTTATTGTTACATTAACGCACTAATAATCTCACCTTAGCGATGGTATCTAAGCTGGATCAGAGCGTGGGCCGTATACTCAGCACGCTGGCCGCAACGAATCAACTGGAAAACAGCATAGTGATCTTTTATTCGGACAATGGGGCTCCATCGGTGGGGATGTTTTCGAATACGGGCTCGAACTTCCCGCTTCGCGGTCAGAAGAATACGCCGTGGGAAGGCGGAGTTCGGGTGGCAGGAGCCATCTGGAGCTCCCAACTGCAGGCACGTGGCTCGATCTTCAGCCAACCCATCTACGTGGCCGATTGGCTGCCCACTCTGTCACATGCGGCGGGCATTGAGTTGAATGACTCTTTGAAACTGGACGGCATTGATCTGTGGCCCCAGTTGAGTGGAGCAGCGGATGCTCCCCATGTTCCGAGGGAGATCCTGCACAGCTTGGACGACGTGTGGCGGGTGGCTGCCCTCCAACTGGGACAGTGGAAGTACGTGAACGGCACCACTGCCGCCGGCCAATACGACTCGGTGCTCACCTACCGCGAACTGGACGACCTGGATCCCCGCGAGAGTCGCTATGCGGTCACGATACGCAACTCCGCCACTTCGCGAGCTCTCGTCCGGTACGATCTGCGCCGCCTGACGCAACAGCGGATCTCGGCCATCCGGCGATCGGCCGAGGTTCATTGCGGCGACTTCAAGACGTCCTGCAATCCCCTGCTGGAGGAGTGTCTGTACGACATCGCTACGGATCCCTGTGAGCAGAACAATCTGGTGTATTCCGACAGGCACTCCGATGTTTTGTCCGCCCTTCGAAGACGTGTTCAGGAGTTAAGAGCGAGTGCCTCGAGGCCTGGAAATCGGGCCAGCATGCCGGACGCCAATCCCAAGTGGCACACATGCGCCTGGGAGTCCTTCGAAGTGCAAAAACCAAAAAACGGTTAGTTTTTATCAATGACCAGTTTTCCATTACGATTTCTTAACCTTTACTCTTACAGTTCCCTTACAATGCGATTACCAGGGCGAACCCTGTTAGATGTCCTGAATACATTATGACCCTTAACCGGAAGAGGCAAATTTTTTATAACAAAATCGAATATTACAAAAAGTTAGGACTTAAAACTGCCAAAAATTCATACATTAGCTTAATCTTCGGTAATTAAAACTTCAAAATAATAAAATTAGCTATTTGAATAACAATTGTGCTTAAAGAAATCCTCTGCCTGATATTTTATAATACTCTTAGATAAGAACTTAGAGATTTTTTATAATAAAAGAGTTATATCTATATACAAATATTTGTTTTAAAAAATGTTATGCGGAAGCTTACATATGTATTTATTTTTTTTAAATAAATAGATTAAGCCCATAACACGTTTGAATTTATATAGAACGTATTCCGACTAAGGAATAAAACATGTACAATATCTTTAGTAAACGTTGTTGCTATAAACATTTCGTTGCCTTAATGACACTTGTTGTTAACGTCTTAAACTCTTTGTTTGAATGTTTAAATTGACAAAATAAAATACTGACAGTGACATTCGGCCTTTCTTGTTAAAAAAAAATATGTTTTTTTTACATTTAAAATTTAAATCACTTTTACAGTATTTTAAGAACCACTGTTAGGCCTGTTAAACAACATCCACACATAACATTTCCGTTAAACAGAAACAGCGTCCACAAATCTATCTGGCAGCTCCTTTTCATTAAAATATAAATTGTTTTCCAAGATATGTATATGTTTTCAATTTAAATTAAAGAACTTCCGAAAATCTTAAATGGCATTGGAAAAGTTAGAGATAAATAAAGCCAATGCTTGCAATATATCTAATTTTCCACACTGCCAGTGCATCCCGAACAGCTGATAAAGCATACACACAAGCGTCGAAAAACAAGGGATGACAAAGCCGGATGACAGGATATAAGGCAGAACTTGATTCAGAACCCTAAACTGAAAAGAACCATCATGGAGGAACGTGCTGTGTTGGCCAACATTGCATCCATAATCACCAAGGATCTGCTGATAGACCAGCCGCCAGTGGACATTAAATCTGGTAGCTATCCACTGTTGTCCTTCGACGAGGACGACGATGAGGCAGAAATATTTGCTCTGATGCAAAGGAAACGGGCGTTGACTTCCAATCGAAAGCGCAGGATGCCGCAGGGGCCGGAGGACCGTAAACAGGACATCAAGCTGCCCAAACTGGAGTGGCACCACGCAGAACTGAATCTACTTCACCGCTATACGGACTCCCAGTTTGAGTCTTACCTTCACATGCGCAAGCTCACATTCCTGGTGAGTACAGGTTTGGGTTTCCTTCGGGATCTATGCTTAGAAATCGTTTAGACTCTTTGGATATCTGTAAAATATCTTATTCTAATGCACTCTCAAATAAAGTACAGAGATATATAAGTATGCATAAGTTGCCTTTCAAAAATAAAATTTTTTTTTTTAAACAGTTATAAGTCATCTAATTAAATAGTACAAAAGTACAACTATTCGAGCTGAATTACTAAATCAAAAGACAATTAAAATTTAAGTTCCAAAAATGTTTTGTGTCATATATGTACATATGTAATTCAAAGCTATTTAACAGTATAAAATCTTAAACCGAGTGATGGCTTTAAGTCGGGTTTGAATCAGTACAAATAACGCTTTAAAATTATTATTGAGAAGCATATAAATTTGCTTTTCAGAAAATTCAACAAACCCTAGAGGGAATCCTGAGCGGGATTACGCTACCCGGATATCCGACTCCGCCGGCGCAAACTATGCTATCCCTGGCCATGTGGAAGCTGTCCACCGACGAGCACTTCGAAGAGATCGCCCGGAAGTTCGGACTACCATGGGCTCTTTGCCAACAGGTGGTGCGAGGATTCTGGCATTGCATCTCCGACAACTACGAGAGCTTCATCAAGTGGCCAAACTCGCTGGCCGCGCAGCGCAGCACTCTGCAGGGATACCAGCAGCTGGTGGAACTTCGATGCTTCCGGGAACTGTTCGGTATCATAACGCTGAGGCGGCTAGACGTCTTCCTCGAATCGGAGCACGCCGAGGTCCCGGTGGTGCTACAGCTGATCTGCAATGCGGAGCGAAAAATCGTTGACTGTTACGTAGAACTGGCCGTAGAATACAGCTTCGAGGACTCGCCCATCGGTCAGACTTTGGCCCTGAACCCAAGGACCATGCCGGCGGGCAGCTATCTCATCGGGAATGGGGTGTTTCCTCTCAAGTCCTACCTGATGCGGCCCATAGAGGCCGAGTGCTTCCGCAAGGATGCGGTGTTTAACGAACTGCTGCGTCCCGCCTTCCAATTGGCGGAAGATGTCCTAGATACACTGGCTCGACGTTTTAATTCTCTCTACGCCTTGGAGGCACGTGATTTAAACGAGGTGCGGCTGATCGTGGAGAGCATCTGTGCGATGCACAACCTCTGCGAAGAGTACCAGGACGAAGGATTGGAGAGCGCTGCTCACAGCAGCTTTAGCTGGGGCGGACTGGCGGAGGGCATCAAGGGCAGCGAGAAGGACTCAAAGGGACTGCAGCGAAGGGTGGAGCTACTTGATGAACTGGTGGCTACCGAGCCGGGAGAATGAATTTATGGTAAAAAGATTACAAATTTATTTATTTGGGCTGAAGTATTTAAAAAATATAAATATCTTATTATTTTACTTTACAATAATACGGTCAAATTAATATGTATAAACCAATAACATTTATTTTTTCAATTTTAACATAAGCTGGGTCTTTAGAGGGTTAATCAGCTGATGATGGTAACAGCAGTCTGTTATTAATTGATTTTAATGATCTGGCAACACCGCGTTCAAAACAAAATAAATGCACGTGCGTTGTTTTAGCTAAAATGGATGAGCATGATATTTTTAAACTGATTACTGCGGGTGTACGCTTCTCAAAGAAGTCTATGGTAAGCCGAAACCCAAATCAAAAGCACACAACGCCTTATTACCTAAATTGCAGAAGGAAGCACCTGGAAGGCCTCACCCAGAAATTAAGGTTTCACAAGAAGCGGAGCCGGTGAAAAGAGAAAACTCAGACGATGACCAAGAATCAACAGAATTCCGCTTGCTGGCTGGTGAATCCAGCAGTCAACCGAAACGTAAGAAACCTAAGGGGGGGAAGATTCCCTCCTCCAAAGAACTGGAGCTTCAAAAGGCTGCTGATCTGGCAAACGAAACCAGGAAGCAGTACGGCATCAGTGTACTTGGCAAGAATGTTCCACCACCGGCGGCTAGTTTCGATGATTTGACTAGTAACTTCAAGCTACTGCCCCGCCTGCAGCAGAACCTTCTGGCCCGCAACTTTGACCGACCCACCCCCATCCAGATGCAGGCGCTGCCCGTGCTTCTTCAGCGCAGGGCTTTGATGGCCTGTGCACCCACAGGATCGGGAAAAACGCTGGCTTTCCTCACGCCTATTATCGATGGCCTGAGAGCGCACAAAACCAGTGGCTTGAGAGCGTTAGTTCTAGCTCCCACCCGCGAGTTGGCCCAGCAAATCTACCGTGAGTGTGCGGAACTTACCCGCGAAACAGGCCTGCGCACCCACTTCATTAGCAAGGTGAGCGAGGCGAAGCAGAAACACGGCGCCGAGTGTAAGCAACGCTACGATATCCTCGTTTCTACACCAAACCGCGTCAGATTTCTCCTGCAACAAGAGCCACCGCTGTTGGATTTGTCGCTCGTCGAATGGTTTGTTCTTGACGAGGCGGATCGACTAATGGAGGAGGGTCAGAACAACTTTAAGGAGCAGCTGGACGACATCTATGCCGCCTGCTCGAATCCGGCCAAGTGTGTGGCCTTCTTCAGTGCAACATACACGGTGCCAGTGGCCAAGTGGGCATTGCGTCACCTTAAGAACCTGGTGCGAGTAACTATTGGAGTTCAAAACAGCGCCACGGATGCGGTGCAGCAAGAGCTACTGTTCGTGGGATCCGAGGGCGGAAAACTGGTGGCCATGCGGGACTTGGTGCGGCAAGGCCTACAGCCACCCGTTCTAGTTTTCGTCCAGAGCAAGGAGCGCGCCAAGCAGCTCTTTGAGGAGCTACTTTACGACGGCATCAACGTGGACGTGATTCATGCAGAGCGAAGCCAGCATCAGCGCGACAACTGTGTGAGAGCCTTCCGCGAAGGTAGCATCTGGGTGCTCATCTGTACGGAGCTCATGGGCCGAGGCATAGACTTTAAGGGCGTTAATCTGGTAATCAACTACGACTTTCCGCCCACCACAATCTCTTACATCCATCGGATAGGAAGGACTGGACGCGCAGGACGTCCAGGTAGAGCCATAACATTCTTTACACAGGAGGACACGGCCAATTTGAGAAGGTAACGCTGAGCCTGAGCGGGCAAAGATGATAAGATTTTATCTGACCAATTATTTTCCCCCAGCATTGCCCTTATAATTAAGAACTCTGGAGGAACCGTACCGGAGTATATGCTACAAATGAAAAAGGTTCGCAAGTCGGAAGCCAAGATGAGAGCCAAAAAGCCGCTAGATCGCGAGGATATATCGACCAGGATTCGACCGGAGAAAAAAACCGACGACACTCACAAATCCGCCAAAGTGAAAAAAGTCGAGAAGACGGAGAAGGTTCTAAAAAAAGGCAAGAGCAAAGATTTTAAGCCCAAGCACAACAAGCTCAACAAAATCAAAGATGAACTTAAGTCTTCTGATAAAAAAACAGAAAAACCGTTAAAAACAAAAAAGAAGAAACTGTAAATGTATAAGATAAACTTAAAAGTCATTTTGAATAAAGATAAATAAGTAATCTATACTAAGGGATATAAAGTCTTTCGGAGTCGTAGTAAAGGATATATACACCGATATTTTTACCATGATTGGCCCTTGTTTTAAGTGCTTATTTTGTGGCTGCTAAATTGCAACTTTAATGCTAGTAATTAAATTGTATATAACATATGACAATGGTCGGTTTTAGTTTTGATTTAATACCTCTTCATGGTTTGACTTTCTGGCGAAATGTTGTAATTTATATTGTAAAATAATCCAAAGCTTAAGAACACAGTTAAGATTCTCTACGTATCATTTTATATTTCAAAAACTTTTTTAGCAATTCTGTTTCCTTTTGTTTTTAAATTGATACCCGTGATTAATCGATAGTTGCAAACATCGATTTTGCGAAATTTCTAGAAACATCGATAACCTTGCACGAACTACGCTTTTTGTTCCAGCACTATAGACAACATCTCCGACACGTCAGAATATTCTTCAGAATATTTGTCTTTTATTTGAGCTATTTGAACAGTTGTCGGCTTGCATTGGACAAAACTGGGAAGTAAACGCCAGACGCAGACACTTAGAACCATGGCGCAGAACGTGGCCCTGCTGGGATTGGCTGTGATTGCGATTTCAGCCTTGATTTCCACGACAACCGCCCTTCCCGTGACACAAAATAAAAAGGATCCTAAGGCGGAGGAGTCCTCTACTCCGGCCACCGCCGACGTGGAAACGGCCCTGGAGTACGAGCGCTACCTGCGGGAGGTCGTCGAAGCCCTTGAGGCGGATCCCGAATTCCGGAAGAAGTTGGACAAAGCGCCCGAGGCCGACATTCGGGTGAGTGGTGCGGGGACTTCCCGGAACTTTGTAACGAAACGACGTCTACCGATCGCGTTCTCAATAAGTAAATGAGTATTGGCTACATTGTAGAATACTTAGAACGCATAGTTACATTTGGCACATGTAGCACCTTCTGTGTCCAATTATTAAAAAAAAGAGTCGTGGCAAAACCAAAACAGAATTTCCTTAATAGAAAACTTTCTTTTGGCTTTTGTATATCATACTAATGTCGATACCTCTAAGATTTTACCTAAAAAGCTTCATTTGTCGACTTTCCTCTAATGAATTTTCAAATTTGCAGAGTGGCAAGATCGCACAAGAGCTGGACTACGTAAACCACCATGTGCGCACCAAGCTGGACGAAATTAAGCGTCGTGAGGTAGAGCGACTGCGCGAACTGGCCAATCAGGCCTACGAGCTGTCCAACGACATTGACCGAAAACACTTGAAGGTTTCGCAGCATCTGGATCACGAAAACGAGCACACTTTCGAGATCGAGGATTTGCGCAAGCTAATCCAAAAAACTTCCGATGACCTGGCCGAGGCTGACCGCAAGCGGCGTGGCGAGTTTAAGGAGTACGAAATGCAAAAGGAGTTTGAGCGCGAGGCGCAGAAAAAGGAAATGGACGAGGAGTCACGCAAGAAGTTTGAAGCCGAGGTCAAGGAAAAGGAACAGAAGCACAAGGACCACGAGAAGCTGCACCACCCGGGTAACAAGGCCCAACTCGAGGATGTGTGGGAGAAACAGGACCACATGGACAAGAACGACTTTGAGCCAAAGACTTTCTTCTCGATCCATGACGTAGACAGCAATGGTTACTGGGACGAGGCGGAGGTCAAAGCTCTGTTTGTTAAGGAACTGGACAAGGTCTACCAGAGCGATCTGCCTGAGGACGACATGAGAGAGCGGGCCGAGGAGATGGAGCGCATGCGTGAGCACTACTTCCAGGAGACGGACACTAACCACGATGGCTTGATTAGCATCGAGGAGTTTATGATGCAGACTACCAAGGAGGAGTTCCAAAAGGACCCTGAGTGGGAGACTATTGATCGCCAGCCGCAATACACGCACGAGGAGTATCTGGAGTACGAGCGCCGGCGCCAAGAGGAGGTTCAGCGTCTGATCGCCCAGGGCCAGCTGCCGCCGCATCCCAATATGCCGCAGGGATACTACGCTGCTCCACCTCCTCCAGGTGTGGCCTACCAGCAGATGCCACCGCCAAATGGTCAACTGCACTACCAGCAACCCGACCAGGTGCACGCCCAGCAGCAACAGCAATACGCACAACAGCAACAGCAATACGCTCAGCAATACCAGCAGCAGCAATATGGACACGGACAGCAGCCCGTTCAGCTGCATCCCAACCAGGTGTACCAGCACGCCGGACAGATTCCGCAGCAACAGCAGCCTGTCTATCAGCAACATCAGCCTGTCTACCAGCAACAGCAGCCCGTCAATCAGCAGCAGCAGCAACCTGTGCAGCAGCAACAGCAGCAGCAGCCAGTGCAGCAACAACAACAGCAGCAGCAGCAACCTGTGCAGCAGCAGCAGCAACAGCAACCTGTACAGCAGCAGCAGCAACAGCAACCTGTGCAGCAGCAGCAGCAACAACCTGTGCAACAGCAACAACTTACTGCACAACAGCAGCAAACCGCTCAACAACAACCTTTACAACAACAACAAGTCTACAATCAAAGCCCTCCGCCAGCTCAAAATCAACAGGTGCCAGTGCAGCAGCAACAGAAACAACATCAGGAAACAGCAAATCAGCAACATTAAACATTCCCTGGCTGACGCATTTCATTTAGGCGATCTAAGCAAAGCATTACAAAAACTTGGTAACGAGAACACAATGTGATTGGACTGAAATAGCTAACTTAAATCAATATATCTCACTATGGTTATGTAGAAAATGTACAATGAAATAACTGAATGCCAAAAGGAATTCCTTTGTCCATAAAGTTTTCTTCGTTGTTTAAGTACATTTTTTCTTATCACATAGTTTTGCATTTGCGCGAAGTATTTTTTAAACGAATTTTTTGTACATATGAGTTTATGCCCTACATAATAAATCTTTGGCAAAAAACGAAAAACATGATCCTTCCAGTGTTTACCAGTTGATTGATGGGTGAAAACATCGGCTTCTACTAATTATTAATTTGTGCGCTTCTAAGCAGATTTATTTTGTATTGAGTTGCATTAAAAACACTGTAAAGGTGAAGAAGTAATTATTAATAATTTTAAGGTACTGGCATTCTGGTATACCTGTCTCTAGTAAGGCAACCTTTTTATTTCAATTTTAAAACCCACTTTTCTTTTTTTTACTATACCTTTGCAGACATATTAGAAATTTGCAGCTCAGCAAAAGAGACACCAAAGACTTTATTAAGTATGCATTGGATACTTTCAACTTCAACTGTTCGTTGCTTAAAATCTGTAAGAAATATTTCAATGAGCTATGCCAAATTTAAGATAAAGTAATATAATGAGGTCACTTATTTTGATAACTTTCTTTACAACAATACAAAGCTTAAAAAGAAACCGAAAATATGTACTACATTTTTTAAATCGCAGCATTGAGTACATATGCAGTTGATTTTCTAATATATGTATGTAATAAATTGGCAGTTCAACAATTTTGTACTGTTTTTTATACCTCTGCTGCAGAGGTAATTATAACTACAGTTAGAAATTTGGTTTTTTTGGGGTAAGGTTTTAATGGCCAAAAAAATGAGCTTAATTACATGTTATTGTTCAACTTTTGAAGAGTATTAGAAAAAAAAATTATTAGAATATATTTAGAATTAAGCCTGTGGCTGTTAATCTTCCTGAGCGCCTTAAGAAAAAGTTGTTTTGCGGTGAACATCATAGGGCGTTAACGAATCATCTTACAAATAAAAGGTGATATTCGTTGTAAACATAATGAATTTCCCGAGGTAACCAGGAAGAGTTTTTAAAAAATTTTTTTTTGTATATTTTTGGGAGCACTTGAAAGTGAAAAGTGCGATTTTAGCTAAAAAAAATCGCTGTTAATTTATTTTTAAAAAATAGAAACCGATTAAAAATTAAAAAACTCCCTGATTACCTGCGTATTTATGTGGAGAATTTGTGTTAAAAATTTGAAAATAACCGGTTAAGTAGATTTTGAGTTCTGATGTTCACCGACTTTCAAAATAACGTTTTCGGGAAAATCGATTTTAAGTAGGTATGTATTTTTATACGTTAAAATACGGCCAAATACGGTCGATTAAAACGCTGTAACTCCGTTAGTTCGACTCTAATTGATTCAACATTTTTTCGCAATCTTCTCGACATATTGCTCTCTTAGAAAAAAAAATAAAAAAAATTCGAAAAAAAAATTTATTAAAACCTTACCCCCCCTTAACGAAAATTTAAAAAAATTCTGGTCCATAAGGTTTACTCAAACTAACATCTGTAGTTGGATGGCATTAATTTTACTACGTAAAACATTTGCTGGACACTATAAGCACCGATAAAAATACACAAAGCTCTTGAGTAAAGCGGTCTTGCCCCCGACTTTTTTACGATTATTGGGTATTGGGGTTTTTTGCACGGACAAGCATGTTTTAACGCCATATTCTCAATTCGGCATTGCCCACACATTACTTTTGAGAAGCTTTTCGGAAATATAATTTGACAACCAAGTGCTGGCGACCAAACACAGATAAATGCGTAAGATCCACCTAAAACTAAAAAAAATGTTGGCTAATTGGGCTATTCTCGAATATGATCTCGTTACCTTTAATGGACATGTTGAGGGGAATGCATAAGTCCAAATCGGCGGTTATCAAAGGATCTGTACCATGTTTATTAGTCAAATCTTTTTTAAACCAATTGGAACTTTCCAAAGTGTGTTCCGCAAAAGCACTATATCCTGATTCACTCTCGATAATGCAATTATCCTTACTTGAGCTTCTGCAGTCTCCACACACTGCATTTTCCTTACTCACTGCGGCCAAAATTGTAAAAAAGCATTGAGCGAGAATTAGAACGCATAATAGGTTGTGATTTGACATTTTACGATCTTATTAAAATAAAATATGTATAATACTAAAGACGATAATTTCAATGACTGTTGTGTAGTGTGCAATGCAGTAAAGTATATAGAATGCACAACTTAAAAAAAATCACTGCGTATCAGTACATGTGTTGCAAAAAGAACAAACAACGGCCATAGATACGTTTTAAAAAATGTTTTTTATTCATATTTTCTGTGTGTTTCTACAGCTAAATAGACTTAGTCAAAAGCTTCGTTTCCCGTTTTAATTAACAAAATGTGCATGGTTAAAAACTGTGTACCAGTGAACTAGGTCACAAATTAAGCCCTGCCTACGTTGTGTTTTAAAAAAGGCCTATAAATGTCGTATGACTAGCTTATTAGTATACTGCCTATACTTAAGAAAATTTAAAGTCTATAAAGGAAGTATATAACAGGCAAAACAATTGGCTGAAGCGTGTACAATGTACATATTTGACAAACTGAGTGCTGAGCTAACAGTCTGACTTCTGCTCTTGGCGAAAATAAGTAGACACAATTTTTATATAAACAAATTTGGCCAATAATAAACAAAAGCCATTATTGTAATAATATTTTTACTTTCGTATTACAAATCTTGAAATTTTCCACTTCCTCCACGCACTAAGTCAATCTGTTGCTGGCAGCAGGGCTATAAATTGAGTGGTAACAGATTGAGTACAGACACAAATCTTTGGGTGTCCCACGTTGAACTAGATTCGCAATGAGACTATATCTTTTACTGGCCGTGGCATTGATAGCCATTGGCTTGTCCGTCGTTGATAGTGCCTCCTCGGACGAAGATTCAACTTCATCCGTTAGTGGATCTGGTTCTGATACTGACACTGGCTCTGGATCTGGATCTGGATCTGGATCTGGTTCAGGCGATGGCACGGAAACCGAGACTACTGTTGCGCCGACAACCACCACAACCACCACGAAAGCCCCAGCCGTCCACCACAGAAGGACCCATCGACGTAGACGTCGCCTCCTCCGAAACCGCCGCAGGCGCGCAGAAAGGAGGCGCCGAAGGGGTTAATCTACACAACCTTTTTGGTACATTATCGCAAAAACCTTTACCTGATATAGTCGACCATCTTTTATGTCGATAAATATATTAAACGATTGCAACTATCAATATCATAAATTTTTAATACATTATTCTTTAACTTTTGTGTAACTCAATTTTTCGTGATCGCTTTATATGTTTTATATTTTTTAAGCTAGCAACTAGATTTTAAAGTTGCTCTTTCATCTTGGAGATCATAGGAATCACTCCCCTCTTTAAGGAAAGCATTTGCACTTTAAACCAGATATCCTAAAGTAATTAAGAAGTTGTGACTAGTTTTTTCTTGTCATTTGAAATCACGTTTTTGGTAAAAACCACAGATGTGATTCGGATTTTTCTTTTTAAATTTAAAATTTATTAAATTGTTATTTAATGGGTTTCTTGACTTCTGTCGATGCGCTGTAGTTTTTGGCATAGAATCGGCCGAAAAGGAAGAGGAAGGGCACCGTATAGACTCCTCCCATCGCGCTTAACCAAGTTCCGTACTCGCAGCCCCGGATGACCATCTGGGATGTCCAGATAATGCCGACGGTGAACTGCAGCAGCTGGAGGGCCGTCAAGTAGCGCTTCCACCAGAGGAACCGCTGGACCCGCGGACCCAGGACACTCAGCGCATAATAGCTGTACATGATAATGTGGACGAAGGAGTTCATCATGGCCGGAAAATAACCTGCAGCACAGAAAGTATATGACCACTTTAACCCGTTTGTAGAAGTAGGAACAGGATAATACTTACTCGATCCCGTTGGTTTCCACTTGACGAAGACCCAGGTCATGAGGAACATGGTGCTGTGATGATAGACGTGCAGGAAGCTCAGTTGAGTCCACTTGTGGCGCAGGATGAAGAAGGCCGTGTCGGCGAACTCCAGTAGTTTTGAGAAGTAGAACCACCAAAAGGCCGCGGCAATCTGTTTTACAAAGGGTGCCTTTCTCAATTTGATTCTGTCAGCTACTCTGCGGGCATTTCATACCCTTGCAGAAGATATATTATATCTGAACAGCTCTTTGCTGGCAATCATTCGTTATAAAAAGCCTTAAACCTCTGATGAAGTTTATTTTTAAATCTAAAGCTTGATTGCTGTGCTCCGAAGCTTTGGTCGCTAACAAATGTTACCAAGTTATTGTTTACTTTTAAGTTGGACTAAGATATTTCTGTATTTAACAGGTGTTCAAAAGCCTTAGATTGATTAGAAATATTATAGCAAATTAAGCCATCTACTACTGTCTTTAAAATATTTCAGATAAAAAATTCGAAAAAAAAATTGGCTGAAATCAAATTTGGCAGATTACAAATTAAGCAATTGCCAATAGTTCTAAAACAAGTCCTAATTTATTTATTTAAAATTTTAAGAGAAAAACTTTAAAATCGGAGCTTACAGTAAACTTAGGTTTAATGAGACTTTTTTTAAATCGAAAATGATTACTTCGATTGATTTTGAATCTGCAAGGGTATTTATAGCTACGGACTGTTAAGTCTACCCGTTCTGCCCCTTTTTTTGGCACCAACTTACACGCATTTCATGTGGGTTATAGCTCACCCGACACGGCTGACAGCCGAAGCTATAGTCGAGGGCCCGGGTCGCCGTGAAGAGCTCCAGGCAAATGTGGGCATTCAGCAGGGCCATGGCCACACTGTGGCAGAACAATGGCACTCGCAGCTTCATCGGCTTTCTCCTATGCACAGATAAAAAAGATCGATATGTGTCTAATATTCACTGGTTAAAAAGTTTATCATTTAAAATCTCTTCGATGAAGTATACGTAAATAGTTTGATATTGTGTTAAATTAAGATTAAAAGAGATTAACAATATATTTATTGTGCATTTATATTGTTAAGCAAGGTATCTTGATAGTAAAATAAAAGGTTTAGGCACCAAAAACTAAAAAGTGTGTCATTACAAAACAATGACTATTGATATTGCTGACAAGTCCCTAGCTAACCATAGTGTTGCCTATTTTTAAGCTTAGTTAAAATATATAAATATAATATTATACTGTTATATTATTCATAAATGTTAACTGTTTGGAACTGGGAAATCCTATTTTGAAGCATAGTTAAAATTCTAATATGCAGTATGAGATGATGGTACAAATGAATACAAAAACTCGTCGAGAACTTCATGAATCCTTTCAGTGAGTGCCGCAATGACCAGTGGGCGTTTGTAATGGCTCGACAGGTGGATGGATGAATGGACGGGCTGACCTCACCTGGCTGCCCATTTGGGCCCGTAGAGCACCATCAGCAGATAGAAGGCCAACAGAGCGGCAATATTCCAAGGCGATTCCACCAGCAGCCACGGACGAGTCCGTGCGTCCGCCAATTCCTCATATGGAAATGAATAGTTGCCAATTTCGGTACTAATTCCATCGGACACCATTTAATATGTGCTTTAGAATTCCCAGCTGCGAATGACTAAACTCGACTCGCGACACTGAGCTAATATACAGGGATTATTACCCCGATCGTTTCGCTTTTGCGTCAATACTTTAATTAGATGTCGCTTACCTTTAAGACCTTCAATTAGCGGTTTATGACCGCTGTTCAACTGGTGTCTAAGGTCGAGATATTATTACTTGGGTCGGTTTTGGGCGAAATTTGATAAGTTTCTTATTTAAAATAACAAAATTTTGATACTTAATTGAGTTTCATTCGCATTTTTAAAAACGCATAACAAAGTTAATATTTCATCTAAATTAAAAACAATAATTGGTTACTCTGGGAAAATAAAGAATTTTTCAAATATGTTACACTTATTACCCAAGGTCATGACGTTTTTTCTGTTGTTAAATTTCAGATGAGTTTAGAGAAAAGTTTAAATGTCGTTATGAGTGAGGTTTTAAAGCAGGTTAATGTGCCAACCAAAATGGGTTGTTTTGTTGTAGCTTGAATATTAAACTGAGAGATTTGTATACCTAAAGAATATATTGTTCTACTTTGCGGTCAGAGCACTTCAGTTGCAGCAGTCTTTCTTTGTTGTCGGCATTACATTTATTTCAACTCCATTAGAGTCTTGATTAAGCAGATGCACTCATTTTTCGATTGCCTCTTAATCAATGAAGCGTTAAATGTAGTTACGTAGATATATCTTCGGTGGTGCCCTACCATCAATATTGAAAAGTGCAATTGGAGGAGCAAAAACAACAAGAAAAACAATTGGAAGAACAATAAAGTGTGCAACGTGAGAACGGTTTTCTGATGGTGATGGGGATGCCAGTTGATGTTAGGTCAGGAAAATCGGAAAACTCGGGAGGGGGGAGGTATAAGCTTAGCCTGAACGCCAAAAACGAATAGCAAACATTTCACTAAAACGTTTTGAAAAAGTGTAACAGTTTCAAGATATACTCTGAGCGGAGTGGTATTTTAACTGATATGAAAGTGTTTTAAGGACTAGGTAATGATATTTAATATCTGTGTAAAATATTTTTCAAAATTGTACCCAGATTGCTTAATACTTAATACACTGGTATTGTTTTTAATCGCCTAGTTAAAGTTTTAGGTAAATAAATACAGTTTCATTTGTTCAAATTCAAACACATTTTTGCACAATAGGGTAAATAGATAACAATTTGCTTTCCAATTGTACATTACAAGAGTAATGTAATTTAAAAGCATATATCTTTTTAAACGGAATTCAGGCTGTTAAACTCCAATGCTATCTGTCTGCTTAAGGCAATTGAAGCCCCTGGAAAAGGGTATTCCAATATCGATGAGAGGTAATAATTTAAGGTCCAGTTGTAAGCCCTTAGCGCTGGTGGGTTGCGCTTTTCTCTGGCTTTTTGCCCTTCCATGTCTGCTGCCTCGACTCCATTTTCTGTTATTGTTTTCTTTATTTGAATTGCAGTACGTGTTTGCACCTCGGGCACTTTGTGTTCCTGGTACTGCTGTTTACATTTCGGTTGCCATCGGAGCAGCTGCGTCCAAAGGGTTTTGCTCCGCATCTACACACTACGAAACATCCATGGGATGTTTGCATTATTATTATTTCGTAAGCCTTGTTCCGGCGCTCGTAAAGCGCAATTGTATCGCAAGTTGACCGCAGCAGTTGGACCCATTTTATGGGCTCAATCATGGGGTTTTGGGGAGTGCTTGTGGAGCGCCGCCCCCTTGAATCAAGCGTCAATTTTCATTAAAATAATGTCACAATTCAGGCCAAAAACGGGTTCAATCCCATGCTTCTCATGGGGCACAATCGCCTCCCACTCTGCGGTTAACCGCTTGGCTTTGCCCATCATCAGGAGGTTGCGCATATGCCATTATGTCCTGCGGCTAGGCTCTGTCCCTTTCCCTTTGTTGCTTCCTCTTCCAAATTGTACCGAATCCACAGATCCCTTCTACAGTATATCCCTGCGACCACTGTGATTACGAATGCGTGTAATTAAGTTAGTCTGAAGGTTTAAGCCACTCGCACTGTCACTATCTTTACTTATATACCTACTGTATCTAAGCAGGGAAGTTTTTATTTTTAACTTTTTTTATAATAACAGTATTTAAATACAAAAGCGTTTGGTCTCATTTAAAAAAAATATAATTTAAATAGGTAATTCAATTAAATATAATATAATAAGCTAACCTCTATTAAATAACTAACATACAAATTGAATGATATATATGTATACTAAGATATAATTATAGTTTCAAATAATGTTGCATAGTTTATTATAATATGATAGATTTCCTTCTAGGTACTTTTTTGCATTTTCAAAAGCAACATTTCGTCTATACACATAGAAGACTATGCGGTTTTCAAATGTAAACGAAGTTATTGACCTACGGCAAATACATTTCAAAGGTTGAAGTTCGACTGTCAGGTTGATTGTATTTCGTCATTCTCTACGTTGTCCCTCCATTGAATATTTGTGAATACCGATTCATTCAGGCGTTCACAGGACTCTGAATAACTTATTTTTGTGGAGTGATGTGTGGGTGATGTTCAGAGTTCCATCTCTGGCAGTTCATCGCCCTGTCGCCCCAACTGGATCACGTGGTTTATTAAATAGATTACCGATTTCTACCTGAACTTTTTGATGCTATACATGTTGAAAACGACGAATACAAGTTGATATTCAAAAGAGATATTAATTTAAAATATTTACATGCTTTGTAAACATTTTATTTATTGTTTAATTATTATTACTATAATTATGGTATTACTGGTTAATACTACTTAATTTCAGTTAGGATCAACTTTGCTGATTAAGAGTTTTAATTATATGATTGCTGATCTAAATGATCTAATAAGCTAAGGACCTATTTCTTAAGGTCATAAATTAGACGAAGACTGAGATGCTATTGTCAGCAACAGTGGCTTGCATGCCATATGAATTTCGGATATCTGCTGTATTAGTTAAATAGGTTCAAACAAATTGAATGGCTTTTTGTAAAAGTTAGGAATTAATTTGGAGAATTTTTTACTTCTTATGGATATGTAAGTTTTGGAAACCGCAAAAAGAAATTTAACTCCCAATTAAATTGAAGCTCCACAATGTTTACAAAACAAACAATTTTAATGCAGCCCATAACTGAACAGGCAAATGGACAGTACAAGAATACAAATAAATATTCTTTTATTATTCTGTGCACCACAGAGATATTTATACCCAGTGGACATTGCACTGGCCGCATCATTATATCAATATTCCTGTATTGACAGCAGCGAGCAATTGATGTCAGCGGCAAAAGCGAAATACCATCAAGCAAGTCAAGCTGCCATCGAGCGTTGTGCTTTTCTCCGTGCTTCTTGATTTCCTACTTTTCTTAGATTTTTTAAAGACTGGAAAAAAATGGAATCTCTGTTTATTTCTTTGGGATCAAGTGAGTTCTCATGAAGGTTTTCAAGAAATAGTAGGAAGTGCTGCTGACTTTCCTTAAGGTTAAAGCATATTAATTATTATATCATAATTAATTTTATTTAAATATTATTTCACAGTAATTTCGTTACCAACATTTTTTTCTGTGCAGTCCTTGGCTTGTTATTGCATTGTGATTTTCTTGTTGCTGTTTGCGGGGGATTATTGAATGCGAATGACCTGACCCAGTGGCTTCTCCTCGGACTTCCTCCACGCCAATGATGCTGCTGTCCTGTGGATGTCCTCTGTCGACTCGAATCGCTTTTTGTGTTTACTCGCATTTCCTGCACATTTCCGGCTCAATGGGAATGTGGCGAACTGTTCGCCGATGCTCGCAGAAGCATGAGAAATTGTGGGCTTGATTGGTAAAATACCTTTGCTTTATAACGGTACAACTACTTCGGGTATAATTTCAGTTGGAGCGAAATCGGTTTTGGTTTTAGCCGGAAAAAAACAAGTTGATTTTGACTGTGCAAATCGGAAAGACTTTTACCTATATCCCATTGTCTTATTTGGATTAAGCACAAGTTTTTTAATTGAATGAATGTCTTCCCCGTATCTTTACTCTTAAGTAACATTTAAATAAGAATTAAAAATTAATTATCTTGGATTTTAACACAGATATTTATTTGATGTTTTATATATTTTAATGTTTTAATTAATATTTATACCCTTGCAGAGCAAAAGGGTATTATAATTTCAGTCAGAAGTTTGCAACGCAGTGAAGGAGACACCTCAGACCCCATAAAGTATATATATTCTTGATCAGCATCACGAGCAGAATCGAAATATGTATGTACGTCTGTCCGTCTGTCCGTCTGTCCGTCTGTCCGTTTCCGCGCAAACTAGTCTCTCAGTTTTAAAGCTATCGTGCTGAAACTTTCCCAAAAGTTGTGTAGTTGTTGCACGCAGTATATATGTCGGAACGGGCCGGATCGGCCGACTATATCGGATAGCTCCAATACAAGAGAATGAAATAAAAAATTCTCACTCTATTGTTTTTCATCAGATCGACTTGAATTCTTCAAGATGGCGTTTTCTAACTGTTACTGAATTTCGGATTAAATTTGATCAAAATCGGATAACTCTATCATATAGCTGCCATAGGAGGGATCGAAAATTATATATAGAATTAATGGAAATAAATTGATAACATCGTTGTTTTTCATCAGACAAGTATAATTTTTGGAATATAGAGTGTTCTTACGACTCTTGAATTACGAGTTAAATTTGATCAAAATCGGACAACTATATCGACATATTTGATGACTGCAAGGGTATATAAGCTTCGGCTTGCCGAAGCTAGCTTCCTTTCTTGTTTTAATATAATTTAGATTAGATTGGTTTAGATTTGGAAGTGATTGCCAATCAACTTTCACCCTGCATATAAATTCTGCGAGTCATTTGTCTCCTTACCACTTTTTTTAGCAGGTGCAACTGCGCGTGACAATGTTTGTTACATATTGTATTTGTCTTTCCGTTGACTGAGTTTACTTTTTCTTGGCCATCACCCATACGCCACGTTGTCGCATCGCTTTTAAACGCGATACTTGCA